GGGGGGGGGGGGGGGGGGGGTCATGTAGTATTGGGGGAAAATTGAACATTTGACTTCAGCGTGCAAGCTTCTCATCCATTTCGGAAACTCGGACAACCAACATTCTTCTGGTTGGTTCGGTTAAGAGACAATGTTTTCAAGTTACCTTCAAGGCTCCGAATGAAGTTAGCAACTCCTTTACTTGATCATCGTTGAGATAGTTCGGCAGTCCACCGATAAAAATCTAAAACAAGTTAAAAGATTAGTCTTGGAATCTCACTGAAATTATCAGTGCTCAGGATCCGGATCCGCAATATTTTGGTTTCCTTGATCCTGATCCGCTAAAATATGCGGATCCAAGGGTCAAAATATCAACAAAAAACTGCAAAAATAATCTGTTGCTCCCTAAACCCGAGTCCGAACTCTTGAAAAAAGAGAGATTATCAGAAATGTCCTTTACCTGTTCAGAGTAATCGTAAAATAAGCGAAAAAAGGGGAAAAATTACTTTTAATTTATTTTGATTCAAAATTCAGTAACTCTTTAAAGAAATGTTCAATGTTCATGTCCTGGATCCGGATCAGCATCAAAATCAAATGGATCCTAAGCACTGGCATTATAAACACTCACTCACTCAGAACAGAATATAAATATAGGTTTTTGCATGCATATTTTCAATAGAATAGATACATTAATTTTCTAAGTTTAATTCAGCTATATAACTCAACTAAAATACCTCGCAAAAATCCTTGTTTCGACAGAAAATAAAATTTTTTCGCGTTACCAAAAAAGAAAACCTGATTTTTTGATGACGAATTCTAAAAGTAATATCAGAAAAATATTTATATCGCGGTAGGTAGGGAAAATATCATTTCATTATCGCGGACCGATTTGTGTTAAGAAATATCTCAAGATTTTGACAGACTTGTCTAATATACCTTGTTTGGACTGTCCGGCACCACTGTACTTATAACACCAGGCATGACCCCGGCCATACCACTAACACCAGACTCTAGGCCGCTGTTACTAGGTACAGGCTGGTAGTTCAAGGGTCTACGCAGTTTCAAGGACTGTCCCTTGAAGTTTATACCGTCGAATGCCATCGCTTGCGTCGTCTCGTCGATAGATCGACACTCGAGGAACGCAAAGTTCTTGTCCCTAGATAAATAATTAATTAATCAGATGGCAGAAAATTGCAAAAGTAAATAAACATGATGAAAAGTTGTAAGATCAGGTCCAATTTTTCAGATTATTTCTGAAAAATCCATTTTCAAGGGTATATGTTTTCTAGAAAAATCTTACCCATCTCGTTGAAAATATTTTTTATCTAGTGAAATACAAGTGCTGGCTCGGAACGGCAAAAATTATGTTTTTATGATGCTCATTTTGGAAAAGAACTGATAATCAGGGAAAAATAAAAGACACTTCGGTAAAATATGTAAGTTTTCACTCTATAATAGTTTTTTTTGCGGCAATTGCATTTTTAAATGTAATTGAACTTTTCAATCCAATGATATGTGATTTACATATGAAGGTAGACTGAGTAAAATGTACCTGTTAACCTGACACGCTAGGATAGGATTACCCTCGGCTTGAGCTAAACCATTCAAATGCATCTGCTGGTTGAAGAAATCTATCCAATTCACAGTTCAAACAAAATTAATTAATTACTAAAATAAACATACAGGAAATCTCCTGGAGTGAGGTAATATCAAGTTAATTTCCTTAAAGTTAGACGTAGAAATAATTTTTGAAGTCAGGTATCAGGAGAAAGATCTGAAAGCCCCCCCAGTCCCCCCAGTTTGGAGGACCCAGTAAAATACAATTTTGAAGTAAAAAATCCAGGTTATTTTGTATTTAAAAGTATACCACTGCAACGGAATTTATAAAATGGACTGTAGGCGTGATTTAAAGTTTTCCTTCCATTGGTAAAGTGACATGAAAGATTCACAACTGTATCCTAAAAGCGTTGTCTGATCAAGTACGAGTTTAAATATATCCTTGTTTGTGTTTTTTGAAAACTTATTATTTTCAATTGTGGTTTCTCTACAAAGTGACTAAAATATTTCTTGCTTCAGAAATAACTGAGAAACTCAAAATTAAAACTTTCAATTCTAGAAACACCGTGATTTCTTCAACATTGGTCACACAAAGCTTGAAAGGTTACCGCTTTGAATTAGGCATGCTCCTCTTTAAATAGAACTTGAAATTAGTCCCTTTAAGGTTGAATAATGTCACATATTTGGGTTAGGACTCAAGCAATTGGATAACTGAAGAAAACTTCAAGTTCTTATTTGTGGAATTATTAGTTCTTTAAACACTAAAAACGGAGTATTAACTCTTTAAAAATCATAATTAAAAAAAATGAAAAATTTGAATGTTAAGTTAATCATTGGTTTGAACTGGTTCTCTCCTATCATCTCCTGCTCGTTAAACCCGAAGGGGATGTTCCCAACGTAAACCCTTCTTGCTTGTCTAGTCACACAGCTTCCTACCACAGCAACAGCAGCCTGTACACATACTGTTTATAGGATCAACTGCAGACCTTGGGATCCGGATACGAAAAAGGATCCGGATCCGTTTTTTACGATTCCAAATTCAGGCACTCAGTGAAAAGTGATTGAAATTGGTACATCACTGTATATCGAATATTTTCGCGGTTTTTCAAAATTAAGGAAATCAGAGGAAAATCTTAATTTCAAAAAAGAATAAGCAAAGAAAAATTAAGAAAATAGAGACAATTTTAACAAACTGTTCCAAAAAGTTTGAATTGAATAGCTGTATTTCAATACTGTATTATAGTCGATCAGGAGGCTATCGCCAAAAAAAAATAAGTAGACAAAGAAAGATGAGAAAATTAGACATTTCAGGGTGAATTATAACAGACAGAGTATATAGTTATTAAAACATGAACAGAGAAGACGTTCTCAAAATATAACCCAGTTAATGATAAATGATATTTGATATTGGCTGTAATAGTAAGGAATAGTTTTTAAATCTGGAGGTCGGAATTTTTGGATGAAATAGCGCTAAACCTTAACACAGAGTTATCTTTTAATAAATAATAAATGTGTGAAATTACAATTCGATGTTTTATTTTAGAATAAACCCACTGAATGAGAGGATTAGACAGTTCAGTACGTATTTAGCATTCAAAAGTTCCAACCTTAAGTTTAAGTATAGAGTGTATACTGAACACTACAAGAACCCAATGAACAGTAAATCTTTATACCTTAGCGCTTAGGTTGCACACAGATTTGAGCGCAGACTAACTAGCGCAACCTATTCTACCAAATCATGAATATTTATGATAAATTTTGCTATATTTATTTAAGACCTTTTTATAAAATACAGAAAGAAAAATAAATATTCATGTTAAAAATTTATGCCTTTTAACCCCTAGCGTTAACCCAATGACCAGGAACCCTAAAAACCTATAAACCTAAAAAATCAGAGTTGAAACCTAGATATATGAAAATCTAAAAAAAACCTGAAAACCTAAAAACACTTGCAAACCTGAAAACCTGAAAAAGTCTGAGAACCTAAAAGCTCCAAACCCCTAAAAAAACTTTCAAAGCTAAAGCCTAAAAAGTCTGAAAACCCTAAAAACCTGAAAATGAATCCGTGCTCCTAAAACAGCACAATATGTTTGTCTTGTTAAATCTTTTGACACTATATCTCGACGTTGTAGTGGATAAAAATCAGGATTTACAATAAGTAAGGGAAATAGTGAGACCATTATTCTTAAGCGGGAATTTTCTTACACGTTCTTCAAGCACTAGGAGGGAGAGGTAAAAAAAAGTATGAAAATGAAGGGGGGGGGGGAATAAAACATAAGATCGGTGGAAGAATGTTATATAATGAAAACCTGGGGAGTATCCGGCATCAGAGTTGCCGGGATCTGACCGGCCTGCTGCATACTCTTGTACTGAATCGGAGTAATGTGCTCAAACCCTGGCGGGGGAACATCCCAGTACAGAGAGGGCTTCCTTCGCTTTGTAGACTTCTTCTTGTCCCTTGACCTCGACCTGCGTCGGTCACGGGACCTAGATCTTTTACGATCTCTGGAACGATCTCGGGACCGCGAATGTTTATGACGATCTTCACCCATACTCTCTGAAAAAATTTAATTATAATAACGACGGAAACTATTACTTACGAAATAATTTTAATTCAATTTAATATATTTTTATTTATTTAATAAGTTAAAAGTTTTAAATATGTCTTTTTTATCACACACATATACGCCTTCTGATATATAAATAATTTACTGTATGCGAAACCCTGTGATTTTTTTACTGTTATTTTTCGATGTATCGTTTAGAATCAATAAAGGGTAATTTCCTAGAGAACGATTTTTGGATCCCCCCCTCTATTGTATTTTGTACATGGATAACACATGTGGCCATCCTAGCCGCGGCGCTCGGCCCCTAGCCTGTCCTAGGCGCAGCGCTCGGCCCCCTAACCTGTCCTTGCCATGTACAAAATTGATAGGAGGGGGGGTCCAAAAATCGTTCTCAAAGAAATTACCAATTTATGTAAGTAGCCATCGCCAAGTGGTAAAAAATTGCTTTTTTATGTCTAACATTGTGTTGACATGGTTAAAACACAAGAGGACTGGGAGATAAACTCATTAACGACACACCGGTAAACTTGTGAATTTCAATTTTATCAAAGATTGAATTAAAAACAATTTAAAGGCGATTTCCATAATACTGATCAGAAATTTTCAAATAATTAAAAAGATTTAAATACTAAAATGCTACAAACTTAAATAAAAAATATTGGACAAGTTTTTTTACTTAGTTTTATCGGCCACCACTGATGCACAAAATGTTGGGACAGTATGAATGGGGAATTTAACGTGGCATTCAGATAGGAATGCGCATTTTCCTCTGGACCCTGGAAACTCTCTTTTCTTTCGTTTATTCCGTTATCACTGCTAGTTTAATTATTTGTAGGATTTATCAATTTTCAGGCCCAGGGGAGGCCCATGGCAAGTGCCCCCCTTTTGTGTGAGACAAAAAAGAAGATGACGGAAAAAATTGAAAAGAAGGAAAAAAAGGGACCCAGGAAACATTTTTACCGGGACCCAGGAAACATTTTTACCGCCTATGAGACTACATGCACAGGTGCGTACGAGAGCATTCGTGTAGGGGGGCACATTTGTGGCCCCCCTTTTGGCAACATTGTGCCTCCCCCTTAAAAACCCCCTTTTTTGAAGAAAAAAAATATTGATACCTTTTTATAAGGCTTTTTTAAGTATGTAAACTTAAATTTATGTAATTTTCTGAAGGGGGGGGGGGGCAAAATGTTGCCAAGGTGGGGCACAAAATCAGGCAATCCCTCTTAATACTGTGGTGTAATTCAATTGTGATGAACAATATAGATGGAAACGTTCCTGGAAACCCTATTATAATTCAAATGTCTTCTGTAGATAAATTTGTATTTACAGAGCTCGCACGTAAAAAAATTGACATTAATGTACCGGTTAAAAATCTTGTTTTAATGGTGTAAAAAAAACTAGTTAAAAAACTGGTTTAAGACACTTTATATGGTTTTAGAAAAAATGTTATTTTTATACTACTTAACACTAAAATCCAACGTTAATTAAATCTGACTTGTCTTCATTGGGTTAATGCAGGCACCTGACTGTATAATTCTTCTTAGTATGCAATATGCATTCCGGGATAGAAATAGGTATTTTATATATCTTATGTAAAATACAGCAGTTTTTATCATACTGAGTCTAAAACTAAAGAACGAAAAGTTTTGACTTAAATTTAAGTTCATGGTTAAATGCCACTTCTGACTTAATTTAAACCTGAACTTTAACCGTGTGGTTAAAATCTTGAAATCCAGCAATCCCTATTTGTCTATCATCATCCAACTAATTACGATATATTTAGAAGTAAAAACCGATTAAATAAATTTCACGTTATAAATTTATTAATGTTTGCATGTAAACCCAAAATACTGTTGTAACTGGAAATATGTTTTGTCTTCCGTTACATAAATAATTTAAAATTTAAGAAAACAGCTGATCATACCAATACTTACGTAATAATTCTCCGTAAATCCTTTTCTCTGATTGGTTCAGATTTTTCCCGGGAAATTCAAATTTAAATTTGAGAACGTTTAATATTTAAGTAGTTATTCATTATTTTACAGAACTTTTAACCTCGAACTTAAAATTCGCGCATTCTTTAGTTTTGGACTCTGCAGTGAGAACCAGAAAACTGAAAAGGGAAGACGACCTTACAGAGAAACAGAAGTGCATTTCATGTATTATAGTAAAAAAGCAAATATTTTTACTAGAGACTTATTCGCTATCCTTTTCTAGTGAATTGAACCTGGTAAAACTGCACAGTTGATGTGTCTCATGTTCATAAGTTCCGTTTAAAAGTCGTGTTCTTACTTGCAGAGTTTTCTGGTTCTTACTGTATGTTTAGCTGTAAATACTTTCTGCTTATTCAATATCATACCTTTTTTGTCAATAAATTGTCATATTAATTGGGACACACTGTGTGTAAGTGTAAATATGTATATGTACATATATTATATATTATGGTATTCTAGTAAGACGGATAATCTCCTAAGAGTCGGATGTATGTATGTAGAGTGAAGACTAGATAGAAACTATCATCTGAATAAAAACAAAGATTGACAAAGAATGGTTAATGATATTCAATATGAAATACAGGTATAAAAAATTCGGTATCTGGAAACTTTATACGATGGGGTTCTTAACTGGGACATTTCAAACAGTGGAACCCATAAACTGGGACATTTCATACTGTGGAACCCATAAACTGGGACATTTCAAACATTTGGACCCATTAACTGGGACATTTCATACAGTAGGACCAATAAACCTGGGATATTTTACACAGTTATAGGACCCATAAACTGGAACACTTCATACAGTGTGACCCATAAACTGGGACATTTAATACAGTAGGACCCATAAAACTGGGATATTTTACACAGTAGGACCCATAAGCTGTGACATTTCATACAGTAGGACCCATAAACTGGGACATTTCATACAGTATGACCCATAAACTGTGACATTTCATACAGTGGGACCCATAAACTGGGACATTTCCTACAGTAGGACCCATAAACTGGGACATTTCCTACAGTAGGACCAATAAAACTGGGATATTTTACACAGTAGGACCCATTAAACTGGGATATTTTACACAGTAGGACCCATTAAACTCTGACATTTTATGATACAGTGCGACCCATAAAACCACATAAAAATATGAAACAGGATAAAGACGAATGTAAGACTAAAATCACCTAAATAATTTATTTTCAATCTTCTCAGGCCCGTAGCTAGGAATTTCTAAAGGGGGAGCACAAAAGTTCTAAATAGCATTGAAAAATAAGCAGGGGCGTATTCAGAAATTTGTCCAGGGGGGCTGAAATTTTTTTCTTTCCAGGGGGGGGGGCTCAGCACCCGTTTGGGGCATAAAAACCCCCTGAAATCAATAGATTTCATTGGTCCAGGGGGGGCTTAGCCCTAATAGCCCCCTCGTAAATACACCTTTGAAAATAAGAATCGGGCGCGGCGGCGTAGCGAAAAATTGTGTTGACCTGAAAAACTCAATAAGAATAAAAATTAACGAATGTAGACTAAAAAACTAGATTATTATCAAATCACACATTAGTTTATTAAGTATAGATATTTTGCCTGTTTTCGTTCCCTTCATTTCTATTGAATAATTGAAAATCTATTTGCATCAAAAAACATGGAGGAATGAGATATAGAGATTTGAGTTAAACTTTAAATAAATGTACTAATGAAAACTTTTGAATCACGGATAGCCAATACTTATTTTTAATTCAGGAAAGTAATTTAGTAAATGATGTAAATTCCTGTAAAGATAAAAAAGCTCAAGCCATGAAAAACTAAAATTCGAAGAAAAAACTTCCCTGCAAGCTTGAGGATAAAAACAGCTTCTGCTAAACCTGTCCATATTTTAAAAACAATTTAAATTTGTCTCCGTGTTACTCTATGCTGTTGTTTATTAGAATAATCAATCTAATAAAAGAAGAGAAAAGGATAGGCTTCTCAAAATAAAAATAAAAATAATGTAAACCCTATTATTTCACAAGATAGGATAGAAATTAAAATTTCCAAATGATTTCTTTCAGAAAGCACTCAATTTTTCTTTAATTTGAAGAAAAAATAATTCTTTGCACGCAATATTGGTCACAAAAATTAGATTTTAAGCCAATTATCTCCCTTTTTTTCTTTCTTTCTTTCTAATTTTTCGTTTCCTTCTTTTCATTTTTTTCATTTTCTTCTTTTTGTCTCAGAAATTGTGCCCTCCCTTCGGAAGTAAAAGGGGGGGGGCCGTGTCCCTGTAACCCCCTTCTAACTACGGGCCTGAATCTACTGGCATAAATCTTTTGATTTCCCAAGCTTTCAGAGCACTTTACGCCAATCTTCTATTTCATTTGTGAACATTTTCTCTTTGTATTCTAAAATTTTAGAATACTACTAATAATAAAAAAGTTTGCGTACTTTATAAAAAATTGAAATTCAAATTTTGTTATGGATGATTACTGAAATTTTGATCATCCAATAACCTTTCCTGGGGTCGTGTCAAGCAACACACACAATTTGGGCCTGATCGGTTCAGCTGTTTTGACGTATTTTATACAAACAGACCGACAAGCATATAGACACAAGATTGCTTAAATTTCGTCTTCCTTTTCACAGTTGATGGGTGCCACTGTATTTACAAAAATCATAATCATATAGGATATTTAATAGACAGGGTCACACATGTTTTTCCAAATAGTTACCTTCAACCACATGTTCTTGAAAACTACGACTGTTATTTATTACTCATCCCATTCATTTGCTGCTATCTTATACTCATTATATGATGTCTTTTCAAACTATCCAATATCTGAACTAAATTGAAATTATCAATTTTTTGTGTTTGTTTTCTAGAAACTGGAATTTTATATATTGACTGCTGCTGGGGTCTGTTTAATCTTATTCACCAGCTTTATATTCACTACCATAGTTTATATAATCAGGTAAAACAGAGTGTTCCACGAAACATATCAACTTGAATTTTCGGTTCACAATCGTCTTGGTAATGTGATTTGAAAAAGGAATTGAGTCTTTGCTACAAACTCTGATTTTCTGTAATCCCTATATCTTTACAACCCAATATTTCAAACTATTAATTCTGTTAGATCAAATATGCTTAGTTTGGAATACCAAAGGTTTACATTATCAGGTTGCTAAGATACAGGAGTGAGAAAATTAGAGAAGATTCAATTCCTTTGCGACATTCATTCGTCATGTAAATGGTATTTTACAAGTATGATTCTTGAAACAGTAATCGCATACTTCCACTGGGATTTCTAAATTGTGGTCTGTTTTATTTTATGTTTTTTTTAACAATACTGAAGAAATAGAAAGACTTTAGTTCAGATTCCAAAATACTAAAATTGAATAAAAACTGTCTGAGTCTGAAAAAAATCTATGATTACTTTAAAATAAAAAAATCATCATGCGTTGGGATAGACTGAAGGTTGCATAGATTGATCATTACGATATTAAAGACGATATTAAAGACGAATAAGTTTTATTATTTTCAGGCGGCGCCGAGAGGTACAAATATTGTTCTATGGATGCTCATTTTGCGGAGGACAACATAAAACATAAAACAATACTCCTTCAGAAAATTATAGTCTGCTCCCGAGTTCAAAAGATGGATTTTATGGAGAAACTTCTAGGAGGAAACCTTAATTCATTATTAGATTCTACTTTCCCACTTCTAGAAGACAACCTTGAACCTAAGACGGGTTCTAATCTGACACTTTTAGGAATAACCCTTGAACCAAAGGAGGATTCTACACTGACACTTCTATACAGCAAACCTTGAACCTAAGGAGGGTTCTACTCTGACACTTTTAGGAGAAAACCTTGATCCTAAGGAGGGTTCTACTCTGACACTTTTAGGAAAAAACCTTGAACCAGAGGAGGGTTCTTCTCTGACACTTCTATGAGAAAACCTTGATCCTAAGGAGGGTTCTTTTCTGACGCTTCTACGAGAAAACCTTAATCCTAAGGAGATGTTCTACTCTGACACTTTTAGGAAAAAACCTTGATCCTAAGGAGGGTTCTACTCTGACACTTTTAGGAGAAAACCTTGATCCTAAGGAGGGTTCTACTCTGACACTTTTAGGAAAAAACCTTCTTCCTAAGGAGAGTTCTAATCTGACACTTCTAGGAGGAAACCTTTAAGATAAGGAGCTTTTCTACTCTGACACTTCTAGGAGAAAACCTTGGTCCTTATAAAGAGGGATCTTCTCTGATACTTCTAGGAGAACACCTTGAACCAAAGGAGGGTTCTTCTCTGACACTTCTAGGAGAAAACCTTGATCCTAAGGAGGGTTCTTATCTGACACTTCTAGGGGAAAACCTTGATTCTAAACATGGTCTACTCTGACACTTCTAGGCGAAAACCTTGATCCTAAAGATGGCCAACTCTGACACTTCTAGAAGAAAACCTTGATCCTAAAGATGATTCTTCTCTGACACTTCTAGGAGCAAACCTTGATCCTAAGTAGGGTTCTTCTCTGACACTTCTAGAAGAAAACCTTGATCCTAAAGAGGGTTCTTTTTAGACACTTCTAAGGAGAAAGCCTTGATCCTAAGGAGGGTTCTTTTTAGGCACTTCTAGGAGAAAACCTTGATCCTAAGGAGGGTTCTTCTCTGACACTTTTAGGAGAAAACCTTGATCCTAAGGAGGGTTTTTCTCTGACACTTCTAGGAGAAAACCTTGATCCTAAGGAGGGTTCTTCTCTGACACTTCTAGGAGAAAACCTTGATCGGTTCTTCTCTGACACTTTTAGGAGAAAACCTTGATCCTAAGGAGGGTTTTTCTCTGACACTTCTAGGAGAAAACCTTGATCCTAAGGAGGGTTCTTCTCTGACACTTCTAGGAGAAAACCTTGATCATAAGGAGGGTTCTTCTCTAAAACTTATAGGTGAAAACCTTAAACATAAAGAATGTTCTTCTCTGACACTTCTATGAGAAAACCTGGTATTTTTGTATTAAATGGAAGTGCTGGGAATAGTATTGTTGTGTCTGGGTTGAGTGGAAGTGCTAGGAATAGAATTGTTGTATTTGTAATTGATTGGAAGTGTAAGAAGTAGTATTGTTGTATCTGTTTTGACACCATGATACTTATACTGAGAAAACTGATGTATATCTGAATATATCTGAATATATCTGAATATATTTGAATATATTAGTAAATAAACAATTAATCATCATAATTTAAATATCTTCTGTAATTCATTTAAAACATAAAGTTGATTCATAAATATAGTAAGTAGATTTATAAATACAGAAGATAAACATGAATCTAACTAAGTAGAAATCAATACGAGATTAATTGTTCTTGTGAAGTTAAATTGTTTGCTAATGTGATTATATGATAATCACGTTCAAGTAGATATGTGAATGATTGAGTGCAAGTTGATAAGTGATTATGAGTGAGAATATAGCTATACGATTGAATGAGCTATTGAGTATATGAGACACTAAGCTAGTGGGCTAATGAGTTTCTGAGCTAGTCTTAGGGCCATTTAACTAGTGAGCTAATGAGTATAAAGACCAGTCTAGTAAGCTAGTGAGCTAGTGAGTTTAAGGACCAGTAAGCTAGTGAGCTAGTTATTATGAAGACCGGTCTAGTAACCTAGTGAGCTAGTGAGAATATGGACTAGCAAGCTAGTTAGCTGGTGAGTATGAAGACCTGTCTAGTAAGCTAGTGATCTAGTGAGTATAAGGTTAAGTAAGTAAGAGAGCTAGTAAGTATAAAGGCCAGTAAGAAAGGAGAAAGCTAGTGAGTTAGCATTCATAATGAGCTAGTGAGCTAGGATACTTTTGAGATGAGAAACTAGTTAGCGGTAAGCTAGTTGGTGGTAAGCTAGTTTTCTAGTCTGCTAAATTGAGATATTACACTATTGAGATAGCTAGGAAGCGAGTGAAATAATTAACAAGTAAGCTAGTAAGCTTGTAGGCTAGTGAGCTTATAAGCTAGTGCGCGTATAAGCTATTGAGCTTGTAAGCCTGTGAGCTTGTAAGCTTGTGAGTTAGAAATCTAGTAAGGTAGTGAGCTAATAAGCTAACAATCTTGTGAATTAGTAAGCTAGTGAGCTAGTAAGCTAACAAGCTGGTGAGCTTGTTAGCTAACAAGCTGGTGAGCTATTAAGCTAACTAGCTAGTGAGCTAGTTAGCTAGTTTAGTTAGCTAGTGAGCTAGTTCGCTAGTTAGCTAGTAAGCTAACAAATTGGTTAGCTAGTAAGTTAACAAGCTAGTAAGCTGGAAGGCTAGTAGTAAGCTTGTGAGCTCGTAAGCTGGTGAGCTAGTGAAATCGTTAGCTAGTGAGCTCGTTAGCTAGTGAGCTCGTTAGCTAGTGAGCTCGTTAGCTAGTGAGATCGTTAGCTAGTGAGCTCGTTAGCTAGTGAGCTCGTTAGCAAGTGAGCTCGTTAGCTAGTGAGCTCGTTAGCTAGTGAGCTCGTCAGCTAGTAAGCTAGTGAGCATATATGAACTGCTGAGTAAGCTCTCTGCTCCTATTGGAACCCTAACTCCCATCACATCTGTAAAGACAGGGTTGTTGATAGAAACTCAAAATATTAAAATTTTTCAAAATATTTTTTTTACAAAAATCTTAACATAATCATTTATCAAATTATTAAAAATACAAGTTTGAGGAAAAATGATAATTACTCGCTTTCTAGTGTTTTATATCAGTCAAGGCTTGAAGTTAAGATCTACTCAAACTATTGATTTATTTTACGCGGTAAACGATAGTTTTTCGTTTAGTTTTTGATATACATTTACACAACTAACTGACCTTCGTTCTTTGAAAAAAGCGATGAGTTTAAGCTAAATAACGAAGTTTAGTTTTGAACTTTCGACAGTTAAAAAATAGTAGTTTTACTGAAAATAGTGGTATCTTCGCATTGAACATTTTTTATTGATTTTTATTATTTGTTAATAGATGGGTCTTCTTGCAGATTTCCTCCTCGTATAATCCTCGTAACTTAAATATCTTAGATTCCTTATATTGAATATTTAAGGAAAAGTCCGGACAAACATCTGTTGATAAAGAAAAATTTGACGGTTCAGTTTTGTTTTGTCTATTTAAATTCTAGTTTGAATAAGTATAAGTTTTTAAATCACAAAAACTATAATTGATCTATCTTTTACTTAGATTTTTCTAATCATTATTTATGTCATGACGAGAGTAAAAAAGTGACATAAATTTTCAGGATAAATTTAGTTTAACAAAATGGCAGAGTTCGAAAATGCGTTTTTGGATGACAGGTTTCTTTTCAATTAATATCTGTTTAATTCAAGTTTTGTTTAAATCTCAAATTCAAAGGAACTGAACAATCGCCGCAATCCCTGTTTTTCTAATCCTTATATTTGTGCAACCTGTGGCCGAATTTAAAGAATTTGAGCGGCGGTTTAAATTTAAGCCGCGGTTTAAATATGGTTGGTTCCAATTAAAATTGTATCAAATGTTTCAAGATTTAAGCCGGCGCTTAGTTTAAACCGGGTTTTGGCGGATTTAAACCGCGGCTCAAATTCTTTAAATTCCATCTCAGAAGATGTAACATCGGTATTTCAAACTATGAATATTGTATTATTGAAAAGTCAAAGTTTATAATATCAAATGTTTTAAGGGATTGGAAAAAATCAGTTTGTGGCGATAAATCAGTTTCTTTAATAAATAAAGAATAGTTAACAAATAAGCTGAAACACATTATTGCGTAATTAAGTTTCTTTTCCTGTTAAACCCAAAACAAAAAATAAACCTATATTCGAAAATTTTCTTTCATGAAAAAAGAATGAAGGATATATTATCTATAATGGTCTTAAATGGAACGTCGCTGAGAAATTTTGTAACTTGTAATTCTTAACCGTAACTCTGTAACTCAGAAAAATTTCCCTTTCAGAGATAAATCAGTCTTAGCTGTGACAAATTGAAATTAATTAGCTTCATTTCTCAAAATGTATAAAACAAAGACGACTTTTATCTCACAATTTCCTGGATTTGACTTTTGAATATTATTATAAGGTTAACACTTTGCTATCAGAAGCAAGAAGCAGCGCTTAACAGCTTAAGGTAAAATATAGAAATACAGTGGGAATCACAAAACTTTGGAATAGGAAGACGACATTCCATCTTCAAGTATATCTAATATTGTTTTAAAGCAAATAGTTTTACATTTAGCTTAAAAATCCCTTCTTATGTAAAATGGGTCTATGTAAATTGACCAATCGCTAGCTGTGTATTATGGTATACTAGCTGAAGGGCCCGGCGTTGCCCGTGGAAAAAAAAATTAAAAAATAGTTGAAAACAAAATTAAAAAATAAATAAATTTATTTTTGAAAAGAAAAAAATCGAGTGTTCACAAAAAATGTCAGTCCAATCGGTCCAGCCGTTTGGCCGGCCAGAGGGAACATATATATGAATGTCTTGTTTTATTATAAAGATTTACTATGTCTATCTAAAAGCTTAATTTGAGTCTTAAACTTCCTATTCAAAAGTTTTCTGGTTCTTACTGTATATGTAAACTTAATCTATCTAATCTATCTAATCTATCTAATCTATCTAATCTATCTAATCTATCTAATCTATCTATTTAGGAAGGTGTATGGGGATGGATACGGAAAGCCGAAAAAGGAAATATAATTGTATTCTAAGTTATTTTTTACATTTCTGAACAAATCCCCCCACCCACACCCCAGCCTCTCATTATTATAATTTTGTTGTACTAAAATCTTTGGAAAAGATCTATCAATAAATTAATTAAGGAAAATGATAAAAATTCCAAAAATATTTCATATTCAAAATAATTTTTTTCTGTAGGAATTTGCTCATCAAACTGAAAGTCAAAATCTAAATTTGGGTTGATTATATTTATTGCTTAATTAATTGCCACAAACTAAAATTTTCGAATAACTATATCTTTGCAACCCAATGGTGATTTTATCTGGCAAAATTCATAGTTTGAATTAACTAAGGTCTAACATTGAGTTGTTAAAATATAGGGATTAGAAAATCAGAGTTCGTGACAAAGACTTAAATACTTTGTGAATGTTTAACCTGAAAATTATTATGCCACTGCTCATATCTTATTTTCCTGACAAGAATATTGAATCCAGGGATCCATGTCTGAAATAAGAGGACAAAAATATCAACAGGAAACAAGAATATTTTTTATTATTGCTCTTAGAACAAGTATTTTAAATCTAAAATTGTTTCCAGCTCATGGCAAAGCCTATAAGGTATTCAGCGGCTGAACTTAATATTCAGTAGACAAGCTTGAAAGATGACTGGCTTAAAGTCTTAAATTATGGAATTATGGAATTGTGGCAATCCCCGACTAAATTAATTCTGTGGCTGTGGACAAGCCATCCCCGACTAACCCAAAGAATTCTAAACTTAGCCGGAGATCAAACACAAAAGTATTGTTATCAGGTAGAGCTGGACTTCTTATTTCCCCGTTTTAAAAACGTTCAGTTGTTTTGCTTTCAGAAGACTAAACAAAGTTGTGTAATGTATATATAGTTTGATATATTTCAAAACTATATCATCATAAAGTTTGTTCTTATTAACCTATTCAAAATGTTGTCTCTGACAGAAAATAAAAGCTTGAACTATTTTCCAAATTGTTCATCAATGAACGATTGCATTTGCTTCGCTCAGGAGTATACAGGGTTTCCCACAAAGGATGAAACTGTAAAGACAACTTGAAACTCTGAAGATATGACGAACTCAAGTTTAAATTGAGTATTCTTTCTTGAATACAATCTTTTTATGGCAAATTCAATGATTGAGAAAAGAAAGAAACAAGTTTACAGTCGCAGGTAATCATGAATATGATAAAACAGATAACAAATTCCGTACAGTCGTCTTTGAAGTCTCATCCTTTGCGGATAACCCTGTATCTTCTATCATAGTTAACATACCATTTTATGATGACAAACTTAAAGAGAATATAATTTTGAGTTATGTCAGACTTTGCTAAAAACCTTGAATGTTAAAAAAAAAATATGCTCAACTCTTCCCTCAATAGATGCTGTATGTACTGGGCACGTTTAATCCGTTTAGACTTTCTTCCAAACTTTTGTTAACGGTTCGAACTTAGCTATAAGAACTGAATTCCTTTCGTTCAGTTAACGATCTTTTTAAAGTTAGCGGTCGTTAACAACCTCAATCTTATTCACGATGTTATCATGGAAGATATTTTAGAAATCGTTAATGGTGCTAATCGTTAGATAGCCGTTGACGATTATTTCATGCAAACATGATATTTAGATATGTCCTATGCCTTTTCAACCCCTTAGATTATTTTATTTCTGAAATATCTTTGTTAAATGTTAGTCTGTAAATGAAGAAGTTGTGGATCTGTGCAGAGTTATATCTTCGAGGGTAAGTTTTATCTTATAGTTTAGCTGATACCTTTATGTAAACTGTAAACACATGTACGTACGTTGTACATTGTACAGTACTGTACAGCTGTAGGCATGGTAAAATTTTCTCAACATACAACCAAACATTGAAATCTGTAATCTGTAAATCTATAAAGCTACACTTTTTTCTTCAAAACTACCGAGTTTTTGTGATTTAAAACGGTAGTATTTCAACCTCTTTAGAGTAACGATGATGGAGATAAACTTTTTAATCTTCTGAAATTTTACAACTTACTACAGCGGCTTATCTAGAAGGCGAGCAAGAAAATGGCAGATATTTTCCCTATTCCATTAATGGGAATGACAATATAAGACAGTTTAAAGGGACAGCTGTAAGGTAGTTAAACTGAGTATGCAGTGTTGTTTAAGTGCATTGTCGACGTTCAAAATCATGAATTGGGTGGGTACGTTTTCAGAATCGGTTTTAAAAAAAAATATTAAATAACGACGACGAAAAATATAGTAAAATTATACAGTAAACTAGTTGGATGTTTAGGAACCTATTTCTCAAAAGAAATTTGCCAATAAATCAATGTTAGAATCAATTATTTCGTTTTCATCATTATATTGAATTTCTTATTTTCTATGAATTTCTTCGCAGATTTCTACAAATTCTTCTGATGTCGTCTTTTCAATAAAAATTCCAGAAAATCTGCAGAAAATATTTGTGAATAATTGAGGAATTATAGAAACTAATAATTGAATAAGATTACTTGTTTCCGATGATAAGATTAATTTTTATTTTCTCAACCTGTTCCTAAACAACTAATTTGTTTACTGTAGAATTTTGTTTACATTTTTTGTCGTTGTTATTTAATAATTAAAAAACCAATTCTGAATACGTATTCACCCAAAAGTACGATTTTGAACGTCGACTTTTCGCTCAAATTCAGGAGTTATATATCTTTAAAATTTTTTATATGTCTCAAATGATTCCTAAAGAATATGTCTACCACACTGCATAGTCAGTTCAACTACCTTACATAGCCGGTCTGTCTCTTTTAATCGTTTATGGCATTATTTTTCTAAAGGCTCATTAAAATTACACGTGTTCCCTTTAAAGCCTATTAGAGTTGTATGAGATCATCAGCGCGAAGAAAGTGAATTTAATATGCTCACACTTCTTGCTAATCACGTTAGCGCAAATTTTACTCAACTTTTTTTATCAATTTGTTTATCCGACCTGATGAGAGGGGGATAAATCATATCTTAAAGATGATGAACACAGTAGGTAATATGATGCATACAGTAAGTAAGATGATGCATACAGTAGGTAATATGATGCATACAGTAGGTAACATGATGCATACAGTAATAGGTAAGATGATGCATACAGTAGGTAAGATGATGCATACAGTTGGTAATATGATGCATACAGTAGGTAATATGATGCATACAGTAGGTAACATGATGCATACAGTAGGTAACATGATGCATACAGTAGGTAACATGATGCATACAGTAGGCAAGATGATGCATACAGTAAGTAAGATGATGCATACAGTAGGTTAGATGATGAAAACAGTAGGTAAGATGACGCATACAGTAGGTAACATGATGCATACAGTAGGTAAAATGATGCATACAGTAGGTAACATGATGCATACAGTAGGTAAGATGATGCATACAGTAGGTAAGATGATGCATACAATAGGTAAGGTGATGCATACAGAAGGTAATATGATGCATACAATAGGTAAGATGATGCATACAGAAGGTAATATGATGCATACAGTAGGTAAGATGATGCATACAGAAGGTAAGATGATGAATACAGTAGGTAAGATGATGCATACAGAAGGTAAAATGATGCATACAGTATGTAAGATGATGCATACAGAAGGTAAGATGATGCATGTAGAAGGTAAAATGATGAATACAGTAGGTAAGATGATGCATACAGTTGGTAAAATGATGCATACAGAAAGTAAGATGATGCATACAGTATATAAGATGATGCATACAGTTGGTAAAATGATGCATACAGAAGGTAAGATGATGCATACAGTAGGTAAGATGATGGATACATTAGGTAAGATGATGCATACAGTAGATAAGATGATCCATACAGTAGGTAAGATGATGCATACATTAGGTAAGATGATGCATACAGTAGGTAAGATGATGCATACAGTAGGTAACATGATGCAAACAGTAGGTACCATGATGCATTCAGTAGGTAAGATGATGCATACAGTAGGTAAGATGATGCATACAGTTGGTAAAATGATGCATACAGAAAGTAAGATGATGCATACAGAAGGTAAGATGATGCATACATTAGGTAAAATGATGCATACAGTAGTTAAGAGGATGCAAACAGTAGGTTTATCTATAAAGTAGTAATCTCTGTTTAGTTGTTTGTATGTCCGATCATAAATCATGAAACCCGGGACCGATTTGCCTCAAATTTGTATTGGGGAACTCGGTAGAACCAGGGAATGTTCTTATCTTGGTTTAAATATTCTAGCTTGAGTATGTTGACTTTAATATCGAAAGTTTAGCTTCCATGCAAAGCTGAATTCCCAAGCTAGTAGATAATGAAATCTAAAAAATTAATTTTATTGTTAAAAAGGAAGTCAGATTATTTACAATTACTAAAATTTGACTTTCCTAATCTAGGAAGTAAACTATTTTAAATTAGGCAAAGTCATTTAAAGGAAGTTTGGTAATTCGCAGATGAAATTATAATGAAGGTTCTATTCCAGGGCAAGAAGTATAAGAATGGCACCAGTTCTATTTTGTTCGGAGACCTATTTAATGTTTACCAGAAGATTTCAAATAAAGTGGTAGGTGTCCTACACAGAGCTAGGAAAAACAGGTATATATACATTTGTCTCCCCTCCTAAAAATAAGAGCGCTGGACTGCATAATGTAGAGTAATGTTGTGTAGGGTAATATGCAAGAATTAAAGTGGGTAAACTTTAATCCTCACCTTTAACGCACTGATTTTTGTCAGAGTCCCGTACGGCGAGAACCAATGCTTTAAGATTTCTGTAAAGACCGTCTTAGCTGACTTATTATGAATAGGAACTACAGCACAGAAACTACTAAATTGGTCAAGCAGCGTTAAAATATACTTATTTTCATTTGTTGACAATGTTAGTGGACCTACAAGGTCCATGGACAAGACGTCATTGACGTTTTTTGCAGGGTCCTCTAAAGGTTCAACATTTTTCAAATTTACCTCTTCTCTGTGCAGGCAGCCTTCCCATTCAGTGACAAAAAGACTTGTGTCTTTTCTCCACCCTGGCTAGAAAATAATACTATATACATGGTTGAGAACCCTTGGTTGGGTCTACAGTATCTCATTATTTGTCATCTAAAAAATGTAACGTTAAGATTGGTGCATTTTGACGGTGAAACCTTGTGGCAGGGGGAGAACGATGAAACTAATGTTACTTTGCTCAGAAATATCCGAGATATTGAGGTAGTGCATCTTTTCATATTCTGACAGATTATATATAGTTTATCATATTTTTTATATTTTTTATTTATCTGTTTATCACAATAATGTTGTATCAAATAATCGTCAAAACGGCTGAATTAATCGGGCACAATAAAACCCTAAGAATGGTATGTTTATGATGCGGGTCAGAATTCAAGGATGTCATAAAAAAATGATTTTTTAAAAATTCCCCAATAATGACAGAAAAGTCTGCGAATTCTTTTATAATGTACGAACCAAAAAAATGTATTGCAGGCAACACAATAAAAAATAGAAAAAAATAATAAAGAGATGGCTGGACCGTAGCAATTATTCAAACAACTTAAAATGTTTTTTAGGAGCACTACAATAAAACAGGAGAGCTACTCTACAACTCAGATGCAAACAATATTTTTGTCTTTAGGTCAGTTAAATATTATTATCAATATTATTGCTATTATAATTATTATTATTATTAATAAAATTTCTAATTATCATTACTACTATTATTAGTTTTATTAATATTATTATTATTATTATTATTATTATTATTATTTACTATCTTTACTATTATCATTATTACTTTACTATAATTTTACTTGAAAATAATATCGGCGTAAAGCGTCTGTAAGTGTCTGTACGTTATACAGTATTATTAATGGGATGAATTAAATATGTGAAGTTATCAAGTTTGAAATTCGGCAAATTAATCAAATTTATTTGCAAAGTTTTTGCCAACATGTCAAGATGGATCTGCTTCTTCTAGAAACCTTGTGAGATAAGATGCATATCATAGAATGATTAAAAAAGGAAACTCAAGATGAAATAGAACTTAAGATTTTTCTATAATTTCTGTAAAGTGTTTATATAAATACCGGGTCAAGGTTTGATGTATAATTTCTTACTTTGCACTAGACTATCTTGATATTAGAAAAAATATGAATATTTTTGCCTCGGATAAATGTTCCACAAATTATTCGCCCCTTTCATCCTCCAGTATTATAAACCGTTCTTTGCATGAATGTTTGTCAATTTTAAATACTTTTTCAAAATTTGAGTTTTCGACATGAATTAGTTTTTTTCTCACTATCAAAACTTTCTACAATATAGTTTTTAAATGTAAAGAAATTAGAAAACTTTCCTCATGTCTGTGCAACCAGAGACCGAATTTAAAGAATTTAAGCGGCTCAAATATGGTTGGTTTCACTTAAAAATGTTTCAAGATTTAGGCCGGCGCTCAATTGAAACCGGTTTTTGGCGGATTGAAGACGTACGTAGCTTAAATTCATTAAATTTGGACACTATTTTTCTGGATGCTTTAAAATGTCCGATTATGTCACATTTGAGAGTACATTTAAAATTTTTTTGATTAAACGCGTTAACAGAAGTTTCCGAAAATAACTATGGAACTGTTCTAGATCTAAAAGTCAAAGTTTGACATCTCAAAGGTTTACAACATCACAAATATACAGTCGTTGTCGTATATATTAATATAATTATATATTAATTATATTAATATATTAATAAAATCAATATTTTTTTTATTCCTACCAAGCTTTTAAACAGCATAATACACATATACATGGAAACAAGGAGAAGTTGTCAATTAACAGCTTCTCATTGTCTAATTGTAAGCTTAAAGATTTTCAGATCAAAATCAAAATTTGAATAGAAAAGTCGTCTTCATTATGTTGTTTTAATCCCCGACCACTGTAGGTAAATTAGAATTTATAAGGCGAGTGTATAGTTCCTTTTCTTCTATCCATAAATTTGGCTTGTCTGTCAGTCTGTTTGTCTGTATGTTTGTATCCAATAAACGTCAAAACGGCTGAACCAATCGGGCCCAAATTTTTTGTGGGACATCACGTGACTAGAGGGAAGGTTTATGAATGATAAAAATTAAAAAATGTGTTTAAAGGTTTTTAATTTTGTAAAAAATTTAAATTCTTTCGAAAATCCGCGAATTTTTTTTTAAAAATCCACAAATTTTTTTTCTTCTTTGTTTTTAATGTTAAAGAAAAAGAACATATTCACAATTTAAATAGAAGATGGGCCCTAAAAGCCTAGCAATTATTAAAAATCATTATTCATTATTTTCTGATTTAGGCAAGGAGATAAAGGAGTGAATACTATATGTGTCAAGATAAACTACGGGGAAGAAAAGGTGAAATATATCTTTTTAAATATTGAATAAATGAAACTATTTATAATATTTCATGTTTTTTATCTGGGTAGAAATATAATGATATAAACTCATTAGGTTTCTTGTAGGGACTAAAAACGTAATTTCTGAAGTGAAAGAGAAACCAACAATAAAAATAAACAATTTAAAAAACAAAAATCGTGCATTGCTATGAAGATCAAAAGTGACTTGCGCATTTCTTTCACAAGAGAAACAAATTTGAAAAATTATCAGAATTAAACACCTATCGACCCAGAAGACGACGTTCTCTTGCAGATATCTGAGCTGGGAACTTTTGAATGGTGTATATCGGGATTAATGCTTGATCCACTCTTTTTCTTAATCTCCAGATTAAATAATGCTTGTTTCATTTTTTCATATTTATCTCCAGATTAATTAACCAATCGGGATTAAGGATATCTTTTTCTAAAATTTTCAGCTCTGATCAGATTAAGGTTTTATATATATAGCTACATTTGTAAATCTGGTATTGCTTTCTTTGCATTAAACTACGGAATAGAGAGACTACTGTTAGCGATCCAAAGGTTGCAAGCTCTCACGTTCAAATGCATATAAAATATGACAAAAAATATAAAAGTGTTAGAAAGATACAATCGAAAGTCTAACCGTTGCAACACCTAAAATTCGGCAAAGTCTGAAAATTTTTGCATGAACACACAAATGCAGATATTTAATAATTAAGGATCTTGATTTTGATACTTGTGAGGTTATCCCTGCACCAGCACTTCCGGTAGTAGAGGATACAGGTAGAAACTCTTTCCGGTAGTAGAGGATACAGGTAGAAACTCTTTCCGGTAGTAGAGGATACAGGTAGAAACTCTTTCGACTCAACAGGTCGAGAAAAGTGTGCCTGCACCTCCGGTTTATCTTATTGAGCCATTTTACCACTTTGAATTGAAATTTTTAAAATTGGTTCAAATAAGCCTTTATAACTTATTCTCCTCTCTCTCGGTCATCAAGGGTTCAAAGGTTATAGATCTATAATTAATAAGAAAGTCACTTCAACTCATTTCACGATTTAAATTCTATCACGTCAATTCGTTTTATTTTTATTCATTATGATTAAAACATTTCATTTTCATTTTGTTTTACAATGAAATAATTCTTCATGGCCTAGTTTTGATTTGTTTTTCTTATAACATCCAAAGTCATGATGTTATTGAATGAAATAAGAACAGCAGAAAATAAAATCACTTCATTGTTTTGAATATCATCCATTTTCATTTCAGATTTCCTGGTGGAAGAAACAACAGAATATTTCCAGGTTCGAACAAAATAAAAAAAAAATATTTCATTCATAATTCTGGAATTGCCTTCAGTATTGTGTACAAGTCTTATATTTAAGATTGAGATGATCCCTCTAATATTTAAGGCTGAGATGACCCCACTAAGAGTTGAGGAATTTCAACCAAAGCCCCGAAAACCTCAACCTGTTATCGACATTAGGTAAATATTTATGCACAGTCAAAAGTTTTTTGTTTGCAAAACAATCAGAAAAAAGTTGTTAAATTTTATTTTCTTCTTTAAAAAAGGCTGTGAAGGGACTGAAATCGTCATTTTAAGTGACAGTGACCATAATTTTACAGAGTCAAATTTATGGCGGTGCCCCTAAAAGGCTTTGCCTGATTAAGAATAAGTAGAATCTTCACATTGATTAGATAAAGAGTTATATGGTACCATTGTGAATCAGGAATACCTCTTTTTAAATTGAAATTCACTGATATGACTACATTAGTACCGTTAAGAAATCTTAGATATAAATCACGAACCACTTTATTCATATAGATAGTAGTTTACGACTGTTATTATCAAATTCAGCTTTATGTTCAACCATTTTAGTATTTTCAATGCTTCTATTATCTAGAGTATCTGGAGGAATAAAACCTAGATCTGACAGAGTAGTTCTAGATTTTGGATCAGATAATCTAGTTTCAAGTGCTGTTATCTAGCTTCTACAGTGTACTTGATGTTATCTAGCTTCAATAGTGAGCATGCTGTTATCTAGATTCTACAGTACAGTGTGCATGATGTTATCCAACCTCTACAGTACAGTTATGATGTTATCTAGCTGCAGTTTTCTTGAAGTTATCTAGCTTGTACAGCAAGCATGCTGTTGTCTAGCTTGTACAGTGAGCATGCTGTTATCTAGCTTCTACAGAGTACATGATGTTATCTAGATTCTACAGTACAGTGTGCATGATGTTATCCAACCTCTACAGTACAGTTATGATGTTATCTAGCAGCAGTTTACTTAAAGTTATCTAGCTTGTTCAATAAGCATGTTGTTATCTAGCTTCTACAGTGTAGATGATGTTATCTAGCTTCTACAGTAAGCATACTGTTAACTAGCTTCTACAATAATCTTGCTGTTTTCTAGCTTCTACAGTGTAGATGATGTTATCTAGCTTCTACAGTAAGCATACTGTTAACTAGCTTCTACAATAATCATGCTGTTTTCTAGCTTCTACAGTGTAGATGATGTTATCTAGCTTCTACAGTGTACATGATGTTATTTAAGTTCTACAGTGTGCATATGATGTTATCTAGATTCTACGTTGTACAAACTGTTACCTAGCTTAAACAGTAACCATGCTGTTATCTAGATTCTGCAGTAACCATGCTGTTATCTAGATTCTAGAATAGTCATGCTGTTATCTAGCACCTAGAGTGTACAAGCTGTTACAGTGCACTGTGCATGATGTTATCTAGCTTCATACAATCTACACAAACAGTTCATTGAATTGTGAATGTGTGAAAATTCTTTCATAAATAAATGCAGCTCTGTAATTTATTAATGCGTAATACGTATAAATGCATACTTACAGTTTCGTTACCTATGTATACATTTTTTTTATTTGTACATAATGCAAATGTTTAACATACTAAAAGTACTTCTATCTACGAACATATATTTGTTGAAGTGTACAGCGTTGAAAATTTACGTATTTAAGTCCATATCAGGATCATGAAAAATTACTACCTTAATCTTTTTTTCTTTTTTTAAATGATCATGTTCTATGTACATTAATGTAATTCTTATACAATTATTTGATGAATTCGAGAATAAAAACAAATCCGGCCTTATTTTTTCTTTTTTTCTTTTAATTTTTTAGCATGTTGCCTAAAAAAAATATATATCAAATAAGGATGAAACTATTTCATCGACAATTTATAATTCTTCTTACACCAATAAAAAATTATACTTTGGAAAATTAGAAAAAAAATTGGACAAAGAAAATCTCAATCAGTAATTGGTGACTTAAAACATTGGACAACAATGGACGTAGATTTTTGATTTTATCAAAACATGTTGATGGGTATCGAAAGAATTTATCAAATGTCGTCTTGACAAATTTTCAATGAGTTTTATACTATATTACGTAAATTTCAGTATTTGCGAAAATAAATAAATAGCCATGAATATGCGGGAACAGTTTTGAAGAGTTTCATATAATCATTTAATTAAAAAACTAGACATCTGCAACATTCCATTATAAGAAAGTGAAGAATACGACATTTGATGAATTCTTTCGATGTATTCGTTATTAAGGGTTTCACTGTATTTAAATTTCAGGCAAAATCTATTTTTTAGCCAAAATTTGTCTTAAAAGTAGTATTGTGCTTGGAATATTTAAGTATTTATAGCGATTTTTTACGATGATAATGTTTTTTTAATTCTTAATTTTACTTAATTACAGGGTGTCCCAAAAAACATGGGAATTCAGTGACGAATTCGATATCGTCTTTTCAAATAATTCTTTGATTTAGTATAGTGATACCTACTGAGAAAGCTGTAATCTGTAAGAGTTTCGTCTGCTATGTTTACATTTTGTTTGTTTATGTTTTGACTGCAACCGGTTGTACTTAGTAAAACAAGAAAATTACAGTATACAAACAGAGTAACCTTGTCCGTATTCACTGTTCATCTTGCGGAGACATTATTGACACATCTTTGCAGTCTTATACCCTTTTCATTAAATAAACTCTAGCAGACATAATAATATTATGGCTTTTGAAATTAGGTATTACAATGCTAATTCATAACAAAGACGATATCGAATTCGTCACTGAATTCCCATGTTTTTTGGGACACCCTGTACTTAAGCGATGTAATCCCACAAGAACGTAAATATTGAATTGTTAATCCAAGTTTTAAAAACAATCTAAATTATTTTATGTTCTTCAGTTGTATCAATTGAAGCTTTAAGACAAATGCAAAAAATATCTGACCATTTCTATCAAAAAAATCCATTTTGAATTTTCACTTAAAACTGTCGTCTTCATAGAGGTACTTGTGACACAAGAATGTCGTCTTCTGCAAGAATATCTCCTCAGTTTTTTCAGTCCAGTTTATTCTATTAAACAATACTAAAACAACAATACACATAGGAAATTTGAATAATCCGTCCCCATGCCCATGGATAGTGTTTTTCAAAGAAATAACTCAGAATTGACTTGACATTTTTTAACTCTATGTCCTAAATTGTTGTAATTTCAAGCTATCCTTTACTCAAAGAGGGTCATGTTCAATTCACACGGTACCCTTCTAACCTGTTACCATCTTAACTTTTATAAAGGTGCAATTAAAAATATACATCTTTTCGCCTTTTGAAAAAGCACCATTTATTGGAGAATATATCGAACAGATATATATATTGCTATGGGGTTGAACAGATCTCGAATTGGTTAAAGATTCATGTTTATCCTGATAATAAGTTCGCATAGATACAGCTGCCGTCGTAAACATTTTCAAGACTTGGTCAACTTGAAAGTGATGCTACGACTAGATACAGCTGCCGTCGTAAACATTTTCAAGATTTGGTCAACTTGAAAGTGATGCTACGGCTAGATACACCCTGCCGTCGTAAACATTGTCAAGACTTGGTCATCTTGAAAGTGATGCAACGGCTAGACTTTTGATTTTACCTGACTAACTTGATTTTTTGCGACATGAGAGCTTTCAACTTTCAACTTCAACCTTGTAAATCCTGGAAATTTAGTTTGAATATTTTTGAAACCTTTGATCTTAAACTTTTCCGACGCTAATTTATTTAACAAAGATTAAAAAGTGTGTTAGAATTATTGTTAAAAAAAAACAAATTTCACAATTTTTAAACTTACGAACATGAAACCACATATTACTTTGTATGGCTTCATAACCTACATTGATATTATGACACGAGAGAAACATTATTTACCTTTTCCTAAACCAACTTTATGATGCAAAATTCATTCATAACTGTTTATTAAAACAAAATATCGATAAGTGCATCTAGCCTAGCCAGCCTGAGTAGAATTAACACTTAAACATTACCAGATACTGCATGCTGTGATGCAAATATGTTGCAAAGATATTAAAATAAAAAAAATCAGAGTTTGTGGGAAAAAACTCTGTTCCTTTATTATTATTTAAAGTGGATTATTTTCTCTCTACATGAGATTGATGACTAAATTTAGAATATAAATAACATCAAACCATATTTAGAATATAAATAACATCCACCATTTATTTAGAATATAAATAACATCCACCATTTATTAAGAATATAAATAACATCCACCATATTTAGAAAATAAATAACATCCACCATTTATTTAGAATATAAATAATATCCACCATTTTTTTAGAATATAAATAACATCCACCATTTATTTAGAATATAAATAACATCCACCATTTATTTAGAATATAAATAACATCCACCATATTCAGAATATAAATAAAATCCACCCTTTATTTAGAATATAAATAACATCCACCATATTTAGAATATAAATAATATCCACCATTTATTTAAAATATAAATAATATCCACCTTTTATTTAGAATATAAATAATATCCACCTTTTATTTAGAGTATAAATAACATCCACCATATTTAGAATATAAATAAAATCCACCATTTATTTAGAATATAAATAACATCCACCATATTTAGAATATAAATAACATCCACCATATTTAGAATATAAATAAAATCCACCATTTATTTAGAATATAAATAAAATCCACCATTTATTTAGAATATAAATAACATCCACCATTTATTTAGAATATAAATAACATCCACCATATTTAGAATATAAATAACATCCACAATATTTAGAATATAAATAACATCCACCATTTATTCAGAATATAAATAACATCCACCATATTTAGAATATAAATAATATCCACCATTTATTTAGAATATAAATAACATCCACCATATTTAGAATATAAATAACATCGACCATATTTAGAATATAAATAACATCCACCATATTTAGAATATAAATAACATCCAGCTTTAATTTAGAATATAAATAACATCCACCATTTATTTAGAATATAAATAACATCCACCATTTATTTAGAATATAAATAACATCCACCATTTATTTAGAATATAAAACTGGATGGAGGAGGGGGTTCTAGAGGATGAACTAGTTGATATTGAAGACTAGTAGAACTATAAACTCAGCTGATCATACCATGGTTTATTACGCAGAAATACTCTGCTAATGTAGAAAAGTAGAAAAGTATAACTTTAGAACTGTATTATTAACTGTGGAACTGTAGAACTGTAGAACTGTGGAACTGTAGAATTGTAGAACTATAGCATTGTACTATTAACTGTAGAACTGTAGATCTGTAGAAGTGTGGAATTGTAGAATTGTTGAACAATAGAACTGTAGAGCTGAAGAACAGTAAAAAAGTATAACTATAGAACTGTAGAACTGTGGAATTGTAGAACTGTAGAACCGTAGAGCTGAAGAACAGTACAAAAGTAGAAATGTATCTAATTCCTATATCTTTGCAACCCGAAATAATAGATATTTAAAATTTCTGTTGGATTAATTAATCTAGATTTTAAATTTTAAAGGTTTACACCATCAGGTTGTAAAGATAATGGGATTAGAAAGTTCGAGTTTGTGGCAAAGACTCAATTTATTTCTCAAAATTACAGAATTTTTGCAAAAGTGTCAAAGTTTTAGTTTATGAAGTGAAAAGTTAAAATTCTTTGTTGGAAACCCCGGTCAATATTTACCCATGTCTGATATTGTCATAACCCCGGTCAATATTTACCCATGTCTGATATTGTCATAACTTTATGATGTGTTCCATTAGTTCATGTTTATACAAGCTTTCTTTCATCTTATTTTTCCTCTAGTTTTTAGTTTTGCTCTAAACGCGTTCTGATAAAATCAGCTAAAAAATCATAAAACTGTCATTAAATAAAATAGAAAAACTTCGTTCGAAACTTATTTTGATCATACAAACCCATGAAAAGATAACTTCTTCTGCTGACACGATACCATCTTCCATTTTCCGGGAATATTTATACGCCATATTATTCTTGAAAACAAAAACAAAAACCTAATTGTGAAAGTGTTATTTAGCGTAAATTTCGATAAGATTAAAAATTAGGGCCAAATGACAATGTTATAAGAATATATAAGGTAGAATTTATTTCGTATTATTGTGTTCTTTGTAATTGAAATTCAGAATTTGATTTCTAGCAAGATATTTAATTACTTGGCAAGTCGAGAGGAAAACTTAAACTTTGGAAGTTTTAATCTATTTAATACAGTTGCTAACTTGAGGTTCACAGTTTTACATAAATAACTAGAGTAAGGTTAGACCTGGCTGTCCTAGAGTGTACGATATCTTATTTAATACAGTTGCTAACTTGAGGTTCACAGTTTTACATAAATAACTAGAGTAAGGTTAGACCTGGCTGTCCTAGAGTATACGATATCTTATTTAATACAGTTGCTAACTTGAGGTTCACAGTTTTACATAAATAACTAGAGTAAGGTTAGATTTGGCTGTCCTAGAGTATACGATATATTATTAATTTTTCAATTTTTAGGAATCCAGAATATTTTCAACATTTACAATTAATTTGAAACTAATAACTTATAGATAAAAGTGGTTTGTTTGTAAATATAAATTTTCAGAAAAAATCATGGAAAAACCACCCGCCAAGGGTTTCTCATAGAAGATCAAGGTTAGGAAAGTACTTCAGAAGTACTAAGTAGGATGAGTACCCCTTTAGCCAGGGGACCATATGGATCAGGTTGAAGAAGTACTACGGCAAGAAGACCGAGTTGACAAGGAAAACAAGGTAAAATAAGTACTACAGCAGGAGCACACTGGGGTTGTAGTAAAGGCCGCACTCTTAAAACTTTGTCCAGAACTGTATCAGTCCAGGTACAACCCGTCCGCTATAAATGTCAAACAGGACACGATCCACACGGCTACAATCCCGTGAACTATCAACGCCACTACCACTGGGAGCGATCTCATTAGCTTATATGTAAACAAGGACACTAGCAATAAAGCTATCAATGCCAAATCTCAAGGCACGATCTCAACACGTATGTTTAAACAAAACCAAATTACTCTTTTCACTATAATCAAAGCGAAGTCTCTATTTCAACTAGAGTATTTGAGGTTTACGAGTTAAAGTTTACGTTGTAATCTATATCATATGATTAAGACAATCATGCATAACATATTTACAGTTAAAATTAGACGTAACTAGAATGTACGTCATTTTATATCACATGAATAAGCCAATCATGCTACTTATAGTAACATATTCCTTTGAAACGTAGTTCAAAACGAATGATGGGTTTTATGTATAAGTTTACAAACAGATAATTAACAATGTACAACATAGTTCATGTTTACAGAATATCGTATTACCCCATATGTATTACAGAGTTACCAAGTACTCCAAGAGTACCTTGATACTGAAGTACACTAGGAATATCCTGCTACTGAAGAACTCCAGGAGTCCCCTGCTACTGAAGAAAACCAGGAGTCCCCTGCTACTGAAGAACACCAGGAGTCCCCTGATACTGAAAACTCCAGAAATATCCTGCTACCGAAGAATTCCAGGAGTACCCTGTTGCTGGAGAACTCAAGGAGTACCCTGACACTGAAGAACTCAAGGAGTCGCCTGTTATTGAAGAAATTCAGGAATATCCTACTACTGAAGAACTCCAGGAGTACCCTAATACTGAAGAACTTCAGGAGTACCCTGATACTGAAGGACTCCAGTAGTCCCCTAATACTGAAGAACTCCAGGATTCCCCTGATACTGAAGAACTCCAAAGAGTCCCCTGATACTGAAGAACTTCAAGAATATCCTACTACTGAAGAACTCCAGAGAGACCCCTGATACTGAAGAACTCCAGGAGTCCACTGATACTGAAGAACTCCAGGAGTCCACTGATACTATAGAACTGCTCCAGGATGGGTTCCTCTATGTCTGGTGAGATGGATGAGGGATTGCCTCCACTTAACTACCAGGTAAATATTTATTCATTCATCTAGAATACACAGAGAATCATGAACCCCTTTCATAGAACAAAATCCTGCTCTTATTGAACACCATTTATTGAACAGAATCATGAACACCTTTTATTGAACAAAATCATGAACACCTTTTATTGAACAGAATCATGAACACCTTTTATAGAACAGAATATGAATACCTTTTATTGAACAGAATCCTATACTCCTTTTATTGAACAGAATCCTGTAAATCTTTTATCTATATCTATCTAGGTTGCTATGTATAACCGGTTGTTTAATGACGACATATCCCTAAACGATCTACCCTGTATGAACTATCTATCTAGGTTGCTATGTCTAACCGGTTGTTTAATGACGACATATCCCTGGACGATCTACCATGCATGAACTATCTATCTAGGTTGCTATGTCTAACCGGTTGTTTAATGACGACGTATCCCTGGAAGATCTACCATGCATGAACTATCTATCTAGGTTGCTATGTCTAACCGGTTGTTTAATGACGACATATCCCTGGACGATCTACCCTGTATGAACTATCTATCTAGGTTGCTATGTCTAACCGGTTGTTTAATGACGATGTATCCCTGGACGATCTACCCTGCATGAACTATCTATCTAGGTTGCTATGTCTAACCGGTTGTTTAATGACGACGTATCCCTGGACGATCTACCATGCATGAACTGTCTCCGGGTAGAGATGGGAGAGAGAGCTTGTTATACAGGAACCAATGAATCAAAAACAAACAATTTATCTTTCAAGTTTTAATAAAAAATGACTTTTCTACCTAAACGTGTATACAATTTAGTTTATGTGTTTACATCATTATAAGAGAAAAGGAGTTCTTGTCACCAACTAAAATTCCCTATTCCCTATTTCTTTGCAACCTGGTGGTGTAAATCTTTGAAATTTCAAACGTAAGTTATTTCGGCAGACTAAATTCATAGTTTAGAATATGAAAAGGCTACATTGGATTGAAAAAATATAGGGATTAGAAAATTTGAGTTTGTGGCAAAAACTCAGTTCCTTTGTGAAAGGTTTTTAATTCTTTTAAACTCTAGAAAAATTTCAGACTTGACGCTCAAAATAGAAAAAATTTCATATTTTATTAAACACAAAGAAAACCTTATATATTGGTGAGATTTTCAGGTATTTGTGATAATTGTGGACAGACTCCTCCTAGTTTAAGGCAAGCTATAATATGAAAAATATATATATTTAAAATCTAAAATATTGAAAATGATGCAGATGGATGTATCCTGATGCTCCAATACCCCAACCCAGGCACACAAGGAGACGTTATCCCAGGTATCCAGAGGTTGCAACTTTTAAATAAAATAATCCTAATCCTCAGTTGAAACGTTCGATTTAAAGCGATTAAGTGCAAAATCCGTTGAAAGAATTTCAAGGCTTTTGATTGGTCGATCTTCAAAGATATCCAAAGGAATTTGACACAACTTGTCAAGACCCCAAAAATTAGAGATTAACATTGCAAAAGATCCAACCTTATCAATTACAGAATATTGCCAACAATCTATATTTCACATGATTAGAAACGTGCCGTTAAAAGCATTATCTTTTGATTCAATATAGATTAGAAACGTGCCGTTAAAAGCATTATCTTTTGATTCAATGTAGATTAGAAACGTGCCGTTAAAAGCATTATCTTTTGATTCAATATGGATTAGAAACGTGCCGTTAAAAGCATTATCTTTTGATTCAATATAGATTAGAAACGTGCCGTTAAAAGCATTATATTTTGCTTCAATATAGATTAGAAACGTGCCGTTAAAAGCATTATCTTTTGATTCAATGTAGATTAGAAACGTGCCGTTAAAAGCATTATCTTTTGATTCAATATAGATTAGAAACGTGCCGTTAAAAGCATTATCTTTTGATTCAATATAGATTTTTGAACCTGGTTTGTTTCAGATTATCTGAGGTTCGGAGCCAAAGCACTGATAGACCTGACCCTGTTATACCAGCAAGCAGGTCATCCCACAATTCGATTTTTAAGAAAAATTAAAAATCATTTCGGCAATTCAATTTGTAGAAAAATTTCTTTGTATACTTCAAATCAAAATCCCAAAGGTAATGTCACTTTGTACTATATATAGTATAATAATCATGAATTCAGCGATTAAACGTTGCTTAAGTTTAGGATAGGTCGACAGGAAAAATAAGAACAGGGTAACGCACAAAATGTGAAACTGGACTAATTTTAAAATCATGGTTTTCTCTAGTTTATTCTTTCTTTTCACAAATTTTATTTGCTTTTCCAGAATTGTTAGTAACCCTGTACCTAAAATTTTATAAACCAGAGCTGGGAACTTTTGAATGGTGGATATCGGGATTAATGCTTGATCCACTCTTTTTCTTAATCTCGAGATTAAATAACGCTTGTTCTCATCTTGGTTTTAATCTCCAGATTAATTAAAGCATATTAAGGATATCTCAGTCTTAAGTTCTCAGCTCAGTTCAAACAATCTTTTTCTGGTATTATTAATTTCTTAACATTAGAAGACGACGCCTCAGCGTAGACTCTATACAGCCTGGAATCAGCCTTGCAAGGTAAAATTGCTGTTTATAATTAAATAATCAAGATCTGTAAAATCTGACTTTTGGCGCATTTCGAGAAAATAATGTTCGGTCTATGTTTGCGTTCACAATTCTTTTTAAATTTCAGTTTCCCAGAAATTTTCAGTGAAAATCAATTCTAAACCATGAGTTCTGTAGAGTGCATGTATTTACTATTTAAGGAATACGTACACAGATATTGATTTTCTTAGAATGGTCCTAGATAAGCCTGTTCCTAGAATATGTCTTAAAATTTTTTACTGCCCAAATATTTAACTTTGGACGTACAGAGATATCCACAACGGAGGAGACTTCATAGACGACTGCAAGTAGTTCATTCAGTTGTTTCCCTTACAGTCATGGTACAGTATATCTGAGTTCCTTCCTTACCAAATGAATACGTTTAATTGCCATTAAAAAGGCTATATTTAAGGAAAATACCGAATTCATGATTCGTCTTCTCAAATTCAAGTTTAATTATATACATCATTTACATACAAGTAATTTTCAGGATAGAAACCTGTACATTTACACACAACTACAGACGAGTCGTGGGTGTAGATTCTTCAGGAGAAGACAAGGATACCTGTACATGTGTAATCTGTATACAAGGTAGGTATAAGGATACTTGTATATGTGTAATCTATATTCAATTTGCAAAGATACCTGGATAGTGGATACATGTTCATGTAGGTAGGTACATGGTTACCAGGGATACAAGGATTCCTCTATATTAGAAAAACTGTGTATTTCCAGCTTAACCTTGAGAACAGTTATAGATTATTAAAGATCATCGTGTCCTCCAAACTTTTTATCGTAAAACCCAAAGAAAGAAAGAACCTCAAGGTTGCAGCCTCTCTCATGTTCAGTATTCAGGGTTCACCTTGAACCAGTTCTATGGATGTATTAAATAGAGAAGCTAGTCTGCTAATTGACCTACATTAAATATTTTTATTCCTGGAGTAGGAAAGTAAAGAAAGAAAAGAAAGAAATTAAGAGTGGTTAAAGAATATCTTATGAAACTATAATCTAGACCTCTACTTCAGCTAAAATTAGAAGAATAAATAGCTAGAGCAAGATTTAGAACCAGAACTAGAGCCTAAGCTAAAGCTATACCTGTAGGTTTAATTATATGAAGAGCTGGAAGTGGAAGTTAGAGATAAGGTCTACATAGTATACAATAAACAGGACAAGAACTAGAACTTGAGAAAAAATTAGAGCTAGTTAGATTTGGAGCAAGAGCTAGTTAGAAATAGAACTAGAGCTAGTAAGATATAGAGCTAGAGCTAGTAAGGTATAGAGCTAGAGCCAATAAGACATAAAGCTAGAGATAGTTTGATATAGAGCTAGAGCTAGTAAGATATAGAGCTAGAGCTAGTAAGATATAGAGCAAGAGAGCTAACTAGATATTGAGTTAGAGCTAGTAAGATATAGAGCTAGCGCTAGCTAGATATGGAGGTAGAGCAAGTTTGATTGGAAGCTAGAGCTAGTTAGATATAGAGCTAGAGGTAGTTAGGTCTAGAGCTAGATATAGTTTGGAAATAGAACTAGAGCTCTAACTAGAGTTTTTGTTTTTGGAAGATATCCCATATTTTGAATTCGGAAAGAGAGCTGGACTTAGTTTATGTTTTGTACTCTCTTCTTTGTTTCCTTTAGTGTATAGATATACAGAGAGTTGTGTATTTAGTTAGAAACTTAGTTTAAACAAAGGTTTCAGGACTCAACTTGAGGGAATATCAAGCAGATATAACTTTATGGAACCAGGAAGATTTTTAGAACATTAGAGGATTATTAGATTATTAGATAATATGGGAAGCATGTTATGTTAATGGAATATGGGAACTATATATCCAACCGGATATCCAATTGGGGGAAAATGTACAGGATGTAAAGTTAATGGAATATGGGAACTATATATCCAACCGGATATCCAATTGGGGGAAAATGTACAGGATGTAAAGTTAATGGAATATGGGAGAAAGTCGGAACGTGCCCAGCCCTTATCCCAAGGAGTGTAGTAAGTTGAGAGAATAGGGAAAAATACCAAATTAAAGTAATATTGGTCCCAATGAGATTAAGGACATATGGGAGGATTTAAAATATGGGGATTTTCTGAAGAATAAAAAATTAAGGCTAAGAGTTAACCTGGAATTATACTTGTTGAGAGAACCAAGGAAAAATATAAAATCAAGGGGAAATTTGATCTAGTTGATCAAGTAATTCCAAACTCTATTCTAGATTTTGTTGATGGAGCTAAGGTTCGTAGACTCGGATGCCTTCATATATTCCATGTAAACTGCGTAGATGCCTGGTTAGCTAGGAACAGGTTAGTCATATATTCCACTTAAACTGCGTAGATGCCTGGTTAGCTAGGAACAGGTTAGTCATATATTACATGGAAACTGCGTAGACGCATGGTTAGCTAGGAACAGGTTAGGCATATATTCCACTTAAACTGCGTAGATGCCTGGTTAGCTAGGAACAGGTTAGTCATATATTCCATGTAAACTGCGTAGAGGCATGGTAGGCTAGGAACAGGTTAGTCATATATTCCACTTAAACTGCGTAGATGCATGGTTAGCTAGACACAGGTTAGTCATATATTCCACTTAAACTGTGTAGATGTATGGTTAGCTAGAAACTGGTTAGTCTTATATTGCACTTAAATTGCATAGATGCCTGGTTAGCTAGAAACAGGTTAGTCATATATTCCACTTAAACTGCGTAGATACCTGGTTAGCTAGACACAGGTTAGTCATATATTCCACTTAAACTGTGTAGATGTATGGTTAGCTAGAAACTGGTTAGTCTTATATTACACTTAAATTGCATAGATGCCTGGTTAGCTAGAAACAGGTTAGTCATATATTCCACTTAAACCGCGTAGATGCCTGGCTAGCTAGAAACAGGATAGTCATATATTCCACTTAAACTGCGTAGATGCATGGTTATCTAGGAATAGGATAATCATTGATTCCACTTAAATTGCATAGATGCCTGGTAAAAAACATTTTAAAAACAACCTTTTAAAAAAAGTAAAATGATAGTTTTTTTTTTAAATGAAAAACTATCGTTTTTGAAAACGATATTTTTTGAAAACGATAGTTTTTAAAAATAATTGCTTAATTTTTTGTTTTTCTTCGTCCTTTTTAAAATAGAAATGGTTGTTTCTCAAAATAGTGGAAACGATTCATTCCTAGGTATAGACTAAAGCCTAAAAATATTAGGAGTTGATTGCAACTAATACAATAGTTCTATCTGATGTCCCTGTCTTGAGAAATTGATATAAAACTGTGTCAAAGGTTTACCAAAACTCATATACAGGGTGTCCCAAAAAACATGGGAATTCAGTGACGAATTCGATATCGTCTTTTCAGATAATTCTTTGATTTAGTATAGTGATACCTACTGAGAAAGCTGTAATCTGTAAGAGTTTCGTCTGCTATGTTTACATTTTGTTTGTTTATGTTTTGACTGCAACCGGTTGTACTTAGTAAAACAAGAAAATTACAGACATTATAGACACATCTTTGCAGTCTTTTACCCTTTTCATTAAATAAACTCTAGCAGACATAATAATAATGGCTTTTGAAATTAGGTATTACAATGCTAATTCATAACTAAGACGATATCGAATTCGTCACTGAATTCCCATGTTTTTTGGGACACCCTGTATATGTGATATGGTGGTGGGTATATGAATCAAAATTTTAGACAGATAATATTAAGCAAATATGGAAAATTAGGATAACCCAGAAGTGCCTAAAATTTTTAGGTACTCTTCTATTAAAATTTGAATATAATAAATATTCATTTTTAATAGATATAATTGATAATATAATTGTTACTTCTGTATCACGTGACCAGAATTTCCACCAATGGTCGTACAGTATCTGGTCATGTGGCTCCGTTGGCCATGTTAAGCATATGAGTTTTTGCATAACTGAGACACAGTTTTATATCGATTTCTAGAGACAGGGATATTAAATAAAACTAATATTGGTCGTGATCAACTCTTAAAATTTTTAGGCTTCAGCCTAAAACCTCTTACATTTTACCTGAACAGTCCCTTTAAACTACCTGAATACCCTTAAACTACTTGAATGTCTGGGTATCCAGGAACAGGTCAGTCATATATTACACTCAAATTTATTTTATTTTTAGTTATACATTATCTTTTTTTCCTGGCTGACAATTCATGTTAACCACTTCTAGACAGTTGACTGCACTTCTAGACAGTTGACTACACTTCTAGACAGTTGACTGCACTTCTAGACAGTTGACTACACCTCTAGACAGTTAACTGCACTTCTAGACAGTTTAATACACTTCTAGACAGTTGACTGCACTTCTAGACAGTTAACTGCACTTCTAGACAGTTAACTGCACTTCTAGGCAGTTAACTGCACTTCTAGACAGTTGACTACACTTCTAGACAATTGACTACACTTCTAGACAGTTGACTACACTTCTAGACAGTTAACTGCACTTCTAGACAGTTGACTGCACTTCTAGACAATTGACTACACTTCTAGACAGTTGACTACACTTCTAGACAGTTGACTGCACTTCTAGACTGTTGACCACTTTATTGTAATGGCTGATTAAACGAAAACTTGTTGACTGCTGACAACTCAATTGATAACCAAAAAAAAGCGATACTATTAAATATGATTTTGTTTTATATGCGCAGGTGCTGTCCTGTATGCCGCGTAGATATTGAAGAAGCCGCAGCGCAGTTCAGATAAACCCTATGTCGTCTTCTTTATCAAAGACATCAAGTGAAAGTGCTAAGGGTTATCCTTAGACTTATTGTGCCGATTAGACGAAAATCTGGCCTACAGTAATATTTTAAAAGAAGTTAGACTATATTTCGTATTGACAGGATTGCTGAATTTGTTGTGAAAAGATGTTAATACATCAAAGACAGATAAGGCCGACCATGAAACACGTGGAACCTGCCTATAGGTCTGTTCCCTAACTCTTTAAATATGACATGTTTTATGCGGTGTGTTTTGTGCTCCCTACCTACGTATAAAAAAGTATACTGAATTCATTTCTTTTGACTTGAAAAATCATCTGGTTTCATAACTTTGTATATCTGTATCGTACTGTGTATTTGCAATTTGAAAAAAAATATTTTTATATTTTCTTAGATTTGGATTTAAGTTTGGAAATGGATTGAAGAATATATTTGGCTTGAATTTGATAAATATTGAATGAGAAATGTAAAATGTAGCATTCTGCATTAAAACTATTTTGTACTTTTATTCCTTGCAATTTTGGAAAGGATACAGAACAGTAAATTTAAATTTTGGCAAATTTAAAAACTTGAGACATTAAGAAATAATTTTATACAAAAAGATCGTTCGCTTTCATGCAGTCAATTTCATTCGTTTATGATCATATCGTCAATTAAAACAAACATTTTCCTCTCTCACTCTGTTAATAGTTTTTATGAAACTTTAGTGTACTTTATCATTATTACTCACTTCATCGTGAATTTCAAAATGAACGTGCTATAAAGTAATCATCCTGCTATAATATTAAATTAGCTGTACATTACAGCACGTGTGCTATAAAGTTTTGATTGGTTCCCGGATTTTCTCTAAAAAAAAATTTAGATATTTCCACACAAAAAAATTCTACTGAAATTAAAGCAAAATTGAAATCTGCAACTTTATATCTTGACTTCTGCTTTGTTTCAAAGCTTATTTGATCTAGAAACATGCCATGCATTGAAATAAGACAAGCACACAAACGTTTTATAAAATTACCTATACCACTGTTATTTTGGCACGACGTGCTATAAAGTTTTTGGACTATATCTCTAAAAAGGCTTGAACGTTATCGATAAAGAGAAAATTTCTGTCCAAAAACTTTATAACATTGCGAACCAAAATAACAGTGTTATAAATAGTTATTAACAATTCAGTTGATCTCGATTTGGTTTGGACTTGAAGTCAGTAAACTACCGAGAAATTAAAGCATAGCTTTTGTCTGCTGACTGCTGAAGACAAATTTTCCTTGATGCAGAGCCGACATAACTTTTCTACTTTCTTTTCTTTTTAAGTGGAGGGTCCTTGCACACCAAACAAAAATTGATACCTTTATAAATTGCAACCAAGATTTTGTAAAAATCCGATTTCATAAAATTATCTTCAAACATAAATGTTCTTTTTTGTGTCAGTGTTTTAAAGAAAGTTAATGTATTAGTAAACAAACACCTAACATAGTAGTAATAAATGTACTTTAACTCATTTATATTGTATGTTTGTAAAATTTTCAGAAATAAATTAGTTAGAAATTACACCATATTCAACGCCATTTGAAAATGTTTAAATATTGGGACTAAGTAAGGTAAATTCATGTACCAATATAAAAGTTTGCCTATGAATTTGACGCTTTTTTATCACTCATAAGTCTCTTTTATTGATCTGACTCTCATTTTTATCTAAAAAGAACTTTTGACAGGGAATAAAAACCAGTAAACGTTTTCAAAAACAACATCTCTTTGTAACATTTTCAGGGTTAATAATTTTTTTTTTTAATTTGCTTACTTTCTCTAGACTGCTATGTCCTTAAGAATATTCAGAAAGTTCTCAAATCTAAACATTTGCCATTTAGGTGGTTGGAAGACCGTAATCCAGCACAGAGTTGAACATCTCTTTTTCAGCATTTGAGGAGATTTCAACTCCTTAGAATGTAGCGCCATCATCCTAGGGCACTTTTGCGATTTGAGTTTGTTCATTTTGTATTTTTTTTTTGTATTTTTTTGGGCCCATTACTAAAACTATGGCTTGAATCCAGACTTTTTAAAATATATGCCAAAATACTAAAACTATGGCTTGAATCCAGACTTTTTAAAATATATGCCAAAATTTAATTGAAAATACAGAATCACAGCTTGCATATTCATCTTTCTTTTTGAAGTTTTTGTTTTTCATTACCCTTCAGAGCGTCAAAACAAAATCTTTTCCTTGGGATTTTCAATATGACAAATAAAGCTAAAGAAGTTGTTTGTGAGTTTTTTACTAGAAACATGGTATATAGTATATACCACAAAATAGTCACTTTATAATTTCTCCAGCACTGGCTTAATCACTATTTTGTATACACAACTTGATCTCTCTTTTCAAGGTGGGTTGAGATGTTTTTGTTTTTATTTTTTCCATCAATTAGTATAATAGGATCCTGTTCTTAGCATTTGTTAAGTTTTTGACCATATTCTCTATGAGTTTGTTTGTTAATTTTGAGTGTTACCATCTCATAGTTTTTTTTAGTTACACCCTTTATTTGATAATAAACGTTGAACTTATTGAACTGTATTCAGAATTGAGGTTTATGTTTTTCATATTTTATTATCTAGAATTCAGATTTATGTTTTTCATATTTCATTATCTAGATTTTATATTTATGTTTTTCATATTTTATTATCTAGAATTCAGATTTATGTTTTTCATATTTTATTATCTAGAATTCAGATTTATGTTTTTCATATTTCATTATCTAGATTTTATATTTATGTTTTTCATATTTTATTATCTAGACTTTAAATTTATGTGTTTTATATTTTATTATCTAGGATTCTAACCTTTTTAAGAAAAAAAATTTATATCATTTGTTTATTACCATTTTATTACTTAATTAATATGTATAAGGAAGGTGCGCTCTATTGGTTTACATGATATTAATAGATATGACTGAATTACCTAAATTTGAATCGTTCTGTCAAGTGAATTGTAAACCTTAATGATTTTTTAAAATCATGGAAACCATGTTTGATTGTATATGTGCATGAAGAATTTAAGATATTCTAAGCATGTATGTTTGGCTTGGCTTTCTGGGCACTGCCTTTATTCTTGTAAAAAGTTTACCTTTTGAATATATAGTTTTCACATTAATTCGAATGACGGATTTACCCAAAAAATTAACCAACATTTTTTAACACAAAATCAGTCATATTTGAAAGGTTATTTGTTAAGTGTTTTCTTTAAATGAAATGAAACTAACTGAAAAAAATATCTGTAAAGAACTCAGAAATTTTGATAGAGAGAACCCCTTTATACGATATTCACTAACGTAACTGAGGTTGAAACATAAAGTGAAGGTTTTTATTTATATGCTTAGAAATACATTTAATCTATTAAACAATAATTTCTTATAGAGCGGAAATATAATAAATCAAAATTAAATATAAAATAAAATCCAATTAAAGAAATACTAAATCTATGGATTAATGAATGAGTTCTGTTGCGCAATAATAGAATCAAGAGCAGCTTGTTGTTCTGCCAGCTGTCTTAGTTCCAGAGCTGATGGTTGAACCTCACGTTGATCAGCTGTTCTGGAAGCTGTTGCTTGAGCAGTTTCACTCTCTAATCCACTCAGCTGTAATATTAATTGCGTAACAGGTTAATTTACTCTAAAAATTTGTTTTTTTAGGCAAATAATCAAGAAAAAAATCAATTTTTTCTGGGTGAAACAGCGACGTCAAAAGTTAGAATTTATCATCGATATATTATCTTCAAGGGCGTATAAAGTGCCCTATCCTATAGACTCGTAAACTGCCCTATTGAATTACTAAAGGAAAACAACGAATTGTGCAGTGTTCAGGGGCGGATACAGGATTTAAGTGAGGGTGGGGGGGGGGGCACGATTTTTTAGGAACAACGTTTTTTTGACTTAAAAGACTCAAAAAGAATCAAAATTAATGACTTAAGACTATAAAACTAGATTTTTAACTTTTCACACATTATAGTTTATTACGACAGATATTTTTCCTGTTTTACACTAGGGTTTCTTTCCCTTAAGCATGCTATTGAGAAGCTATTCTGAAAATAGGAACAAAAATCTGTCAGGGGGGGGCGAATGTCCCCGCCCCCCTGTATCCGACCCTGATTGTGTTTCCCCTTGATTTAGGATCCAAACATACAGGGCTTCCCACAAAAGATGAGACTTCAGAAACCACTATACAGAAATTGTACTGCCTGTTTCCTTTATGTTATCATTCCCTGTAACTCTAAAATTATTAAATAAGTCATTTATAAACTATATCTAACTCTATAAGGCAAAAGATTTAATTCAACCCTGATGTCGTCATATTTCAAAAGTTTCATGTCGTCCTTACAACCCTTGTCAGTCACCCTGTATCTAACAATGTTGCACCTGTCCTGGCAACGTGAAAAAAATCAGTTTTGAACTAAAAACCAAAGACTCTCTATCAATATAAAGATGATGCATTACAAATATATCTGACTATTGTGTGTAAAATCCACAAGCCACTGTTTGAAAAAATCAAAAATTAGAAATTTCAATTTAGAAAAACGAAAGTGTTTTTTATGTTTGCTTAAAAATAACTCTTCAAGCTATTATAAAAGACGACATTATGAAACTTTAACAGTATCAAATTATTTTTTATTAATAGAGAAGAAGACACGTATTACAATTTTTGGCTGACCTAAGAAATGTGTAGAGATTTCGTAGATTTTCTGATACGCTATATTTATTATTAGAGAGTCTTTGCTAAAAACTAATGATATCCTCATTGATTTAATTATATGTAAAAAAGATCATCCTCTTTTTTTCAGTCAAATCTTTTAGGGTCTGAACACTAATTAAATCTCAAAGAAAAACTTTTTACAAAACTTACTCTGTCAATTTCTGTCTGCAAGGATATCGCCAGAACTTCAGGATCCAGTTCCAGAAACTGGTTTATTGCAAACTTCTGTACCTCTACCGGCTGGGACAGGAACTAAAATAATCAATCAATCAGTAACCTAAGTTAGAATCTACAATAGATGTTATTTTATAGAAAAAAAACTAATATTAACGTAGAAAGAGAAGTTTCAGTTCCTCAGAAATACATTTTTGTATTTACAATGGCTCAAATTAGGATAAAATTATAATTTGCAAATTGCCTTTGTCTCCACCATTTTTGAAATATATAAAAAAATTCCTTATCTCAAATTAAAAAATTAAAAAATGGTAATGTTCTAGGATTGCCAATTGAAACTAGAATTTCATAATCTTTTAAATTCTTTATAATTAATTTTCAATAAATTGAATTCACCTGGTTGTATGCATACACTTGCTGCTGTAGAGTCAGCTTCCCAAATTGCTGAAGGAAAAGCTGCTGCTTTTCTGGGCTTAAGCTCCGGAGCAGCTGCTCTGGATGAAAGGTTTGCCGCTCCTGCTCAGGAGCAGCTTGGGATTGAAGCTGTGATTGTTGTTGAGGGGAGAGCTGGCGTGGTTGTTGAGGTTGGACTGAAGGTTGTGACTGACGAAATTGTTGATCCGAGGCTAAAGGTTGAAGCTGACGGGGTTGTTGAGGTTGTCGTTGAACCTCCTGCTCTTGAACCTCTGAAGTAAATCTCTGTGGCTGATTAGACTCAGGATTGAATTGTTGTGGACGTTGTCTTCTTGGAAACTGTTGTTGAGGTTGTTGGAAACTAGGATTATTTGGCTGTTGAGGAAAGTTTGGCATTTCAGGAAACAGAGACTCTTCGTTTGTGTTACTTTGCTGCTGTTGTGGTAGGAAACGGGAGTTATCTGACTGAGGAACAAATTGTTGTCGTTGTTGTTGCTGAGGGTCTGGCTGTTCAGGCTGTCTTTGAGGAAATGACTGCTGCTGTGGTTGTCTTTGAGGGAATGTCTGCTGTTGAGGTTGTTCTTGAGAAAAGGTTTGCAGTTCGGGCTGTCTTAGAGGGAATGTCTGTTGTTGTGGTTGTTGCAGAGGAAATTGCTGCTGTTGTGGTTGTCGCTGAGAAAATTGCTGCTGTTGTGGTTGCCGTTGGGGAAATTGCTGCTGTTGTGGTAGTTGCTGAGGAAATGATTGTTGCTGTTGCTGTTGTGAAAATGTCTGTTGCTGTTCTGGAAAAGACTGTTGAGATCTAGGCTGTTCGAACTGAGAAACAGGACGGCGTTGAAGTTGCTGTTCTTCTTCTATCTGTTTTGGCGGCTAAACATTCAAAACTATGATAACAAAGAATTTTTGAAATATCTCTTCTAAGAGGTTTCACGGTAATTTACCATATTTTAACAATGCATTTCCAAACAATAAAATCTACGGGGTATGACAGATAAATCCTTGAATTCAATATCATTTTTCACCATTAGATTAGCACAAAGACTATCTAAAATTGATGGTGCCTACCAAAGTCATTATAAAATTGATATTATTGCAAGTAATATCTATATCATTAGCTTACAGGGTGATTCTGAGATTGCCACATAGTCTTTTCGAGACTGTAAGCTTAATTTCAAGTGACCCACCATGAAAATTATAACAATACCCTTTGAATCTTTTCTAGCATTAGTGTCAACTCAATACAATTGACTTTGGATATATTTTTCAAATATTCCGAATATTTCATATGTTCAATACGTGGGTTTCAGAAATTCAAATAAACATATTAATTTTCTGTGACTTCTGGAAAGTAAATATTAATATTTCTTTAAACAAAACAGAATTTCTGTAGAGAAATCAATATAATTTAATTGAGTACTGGTTTGAATCAAACAAGCCAATTTACAAATGGAGGGTCATTTGAAATCACTTCTACGTTCCCTTTAACAGGGATGGTAAAACGGATTTTTTAAAAACTTTTTATACCCGGTAATATTATTTTTTTTTTGGCATTGACAACTAAATTGAGAATAATTATGCTTATTATTAGACAAACTTTTCAAAACTAAACAATGCTTATTTGAAAAAGTGAAGAAAAGTAAAAAAAAATCAAATCATGTAAATAATTATATTAAAATAAGTGATCAGGGGCCGAATTTAAAGAATTTGAGCCGCGGTTTAAATTTAAGCCGTGGCTTAATTATGGTTGGTTTCACTTTAAATTGTATCAAATGTTTCAAGATTTAAGCCGGCGCTTAATTTAATCCGGGTTTCGGCGGATTTAAGCCGCGACTTAAATTCTTTGAATTCCGCCTCTGGAGCCAGTGAACCAAGTGTTTATTAAGTTTACCAATGAATTGTTTGACTGACCTGTTCGTCTGTTTCTGGACTGAAAGGACTAAATCCTTGAATCTGAAATTCTCTCTCCTAAACCAAAAAATATATATAAAGAAATATGTGAATAAACAACATATTTTGATCTTTAAAGGGAGTGTTTCCAATAAAGGGGGTTTATGACAAAGACAAATGATGATTGATTTATAATTTGATTATTATAATTATAATTATTATAATTATAATTATGTATAATTATAATAATTATGATCATAATTATAATTTGATTTTATTTAGTTTCAAAGTCCATAAGTTATGATATATGAAAAACAAATCTAAAAAAAGAGGACAAACTTTACACTCTTTTATGAAAGATTTAGATGGATTTTTTTTCGAGCACTAGAAAATGACTAAATCTTCATATATTCCTGTAATAAAGCTAGTCGCTGCATATCAGTCAACTCTACCTGACGCAGATCCAATCCCTTAACAATACAATATACACAGTAAACACATTAAAATAGAAAGACGAACTCTATTCTATCTTTGAATGCAGTCACTGCTGTTAATATAAAGATGATTGAAGAACTATAGGTCCAGGGGAACAATTCAATGCACAGTTTCTTTCTTGCTTGGTAGATCTTAGGCTACATTTTCAGTCTAAAAGTCGTCTTAGACATCTACAATATTTTAGTATGTTTATGATATACGACTAGTTACTTTGTGTATAAAATCATAAGATTTGAAACTAAAATGTTCTACCTGTAAAGGGGTTAATAGCGCTTTCCTGTCTCTAGATGTCAGTCTGAAAGCTGGTAAAGAAGGAGAAGAGGAAGGAGAAGATGGAGAAGGAGGTGAAGGGAAGGTAGGGGAGGGGTTAGATTGATCGTTGAATCGTTGCTGGGACGGACGGGGTCGAAAGACAAATCTAGAAAGAATTGTTATAATCTAAGAATTAGATTTACTTTTATCTTTTTATTACTTTCTATATTTATCATTATGTTTAGGTTATCATGTTCATTTATCATTGAACAAGCAATATAATACTTAATTTTGAAGTATTAATATTGTAAGCATGAAGAGCTTACATGTAAATATGTCTGTAGTCTATGTTAGCAGTAGGGCGGATAATAACTGCCTTATATCCTGGTTGTATGTAAGATAATTGTCTGTTGGAAATAAAACAACGCTCTTCCAGGAGTCACGTTCTGGACCCAAGCCGATATTGACCTTAGTGTTCTACTTTAAACCCGGGCCAACGATCTCTCTCCACGAGGTGGCATGAATAGGATTTGCCAGAATAAAACCGAATCAAGTGGTAGTACCGTCAAAGAATCAGACGAAGGAGGTTGATCTGCCGTGAGGCGGAAGATAGGCGGACGATCTGTCAAAAGCTCCGGCTTGATTCAACAAGTTTCTAATCGAATATTTAGTTGTTGTTTTATGCTGTAAATATATTTTTTTTTACTCCCTGTAAACTTATGCATTTTATTCAAACCCTCCAACTTTTAATTAATACAGCTATAATGCTTCTAATGGTGATGATTATATAGTAACTAGCCTTAGAGGGCGCTTCGCGCCCATCTTCTAAATTAATTGTGAACATTTTCTCTTTGTGTACATCGTAAAACAAAACAAAAATAATTCGCGGATTTTCACAAACAATTTCGTGGATTTTCAAAATTTTAAAAAATTTAAAGGAGATCGAATTTTGATGGAGACAAATATTTGCCATTTTGATCATTCATAAACCTTCCCTGGGGTCCCTAGATGTCCCACAAAAAATTTGGGCCCGATCGGCCCAGCCGTTTTGACGTTTATTGGATACAAACAGACAGACAGACAAGCCAAATTTATATATAGACTAGCCTTAGAGGGCGCTTCGCGCCCATCTTCTGAATTATTTGTGAACATGTTCTCTTTGTGTACATCGTAAAACAAAACAAAAATAATTCGCGGATTTTCACAAAAAATTTCGCGGATTTTTAAAATTTTCAAAAATTTAATGAAGATCGAATTTGGATGGAGACAAATATTTGAAATTTTGATCATTCATAAACCTTCCCTGGGGTCCCTAGATGTCCCACAAAAAATTTGGGCCCGATCGGTCCAGCCGTTTTGACGTTTATTGGATACAAACAGACAGACAGACAAACAGACAGACAAGCCAAATTTATATATAGATATAGTATTTATTTATTAAATCCTGAAAATATAAGCCATGAATATTATAACTGTCGTTAATTGTTTTGTTATTCTAAAAAAAAATTTAGAAATAAAACCTGTCATCCGGGGAATCCGGGGCTACATCCGGAACAGCATCAAAGAGGGGTTGTATGCCAGATCTTAATATATTTATATAAACATATATATAGCTCTTCGCTCTATATTTATATGTTAGCTATAGCTGGCCAAACGGCTCTACCAATTTATTAAAAGAAAAAATCAATTAAAAAGATGATATTCTTTTGTTAAAACGATTTTTTTTAAATTAGAAATTTTTTAAATAAACGGGCAACGCCAGGCACAATTTAACTAGTATATTTTATACATGAAGTAATTGATGGATTTGCAATTAAAAGGGTTTGTTTATGTTGTATGAAGCAACCCTTGATTTAAAGATTTCTATCTTTGATTTAGAGGTTACCCTTCTTACATACTTTTCTTAAAGGAATTGTTCTTTGCCACAAACTCTGATTTTCTAAACCCTATATCCTTGCAGCCCAATGTAGTAGACTATGAATTCTGTTAGATCAAGTAATCTTGGTTTTTAAATTTGATATTATGGCATATTATTTTACTAATATGTAGTTACTAGTTTCTACTAAATTGCTAATGATTTCTTTAATATAAATAGTATAATAACCTTAAATTCAACTTGCATAATATATATTCCTTTAAGTAGAAAATTATTACTTTTTCTTTGATAAACTACACACTTTACCTTGAATTTAAATCAAGAACTATTTCTTTTTTCTAAATTGCATGCTTTTTCTTTAATCCAAATCGAAGACTATTTTTTCAATTTAAATTGTTTACAATTCCTAAAATGAAATTAAATTGTTTTCCTTTCATCTAATTTGCATACGTCTCCTTTAACTAAAATACATACTTGAGCGAGCCATGAGTCCTTGAGCCTATGCATTTTATTTCTTTGTCTCTAATTTTAAGAAATATAAAAATATAAATATATGTATTACCTCTGCAAACGAGCTTGTGGTATAATTAAGAGAGAGAAAATGATAAACAGCATCTTAAAATTTAATTTTATTAATTTACTAAACAATTACAATATATCATTATTCATCCAATTAAAATCAATTTAGATTATTTAAGACATTGTTTAAAATAACTGCTTGATATATCTATTTGAGCTACATTTACACAAATAAAATTGAACTACATATATATATAAAAAATGGCTTCTATACTATACACATTGCTGAATTACCAAACACCGATAATTATCTTTGTATACAAACAAATGTCCTGCAGTATCTGAGAGGCTAACAAGTAAATTATGATTTTTTTTTCATGGGTGATGATTTGTGATGTAGTTGAACGAAATATATGTTGTTACTGTAAGTTTACCATGTAGTTGGACGAAATATATGTTGTTACTGTAAGTTTACCATGCTGAAATATATGTTGTTACTGTAAGTTTACCATGTAGTTGGACGAAATATATGTTGTTACTGTAAGTTTACCACGCTGAACAAATATTTCTAAAGGAATTAAGTCTTTGCCACAAAATCTATTTTTCTAATCCTTATTTCTTCGCATCCTGGTGGTGTAAACCTTTGATATTTCTAACTTAGTCTATTTGATCTTTTAGAATTCATAGTTTGAAATATCAAAGGTAATTTGCAACATGTAGCAAAGATGTGTAGGAATTAGAACATTTGATTTTGTTGCAAAGACTCAACTCCTTAGCATTTAAATCCTGTTTAAAGGTACTGGGATCTTAATAGTTACATTATAGCCGTGAAATTAATCAGGATTTTACCAAATACTCATTTCAAACTAAACTATACGCTAGAAAAAAAAACTCTTTACAGAATTGAAGTATCATACCTAGCTAGGCCCGCTTCAAAAAGTACAAGTAAAAGTTCAAACAAATGTAAAATGTAAGTAGCGAAACCATGAAAGCTGTCCAGTCTTAATAGTTAATGCATAATTTTCATAATTGTGAAGATTGAGCGTGTACGCAGAACTAACAAAAAAATTCAAAATCCAAGAAAAAACTTCAGAAAAAATGTAAAAAAGACAGATTTTGATATTTTACCTGATGGAGGTCCATGCTGGAGAATACAAGGTTTACTCAGATTCTAAATCAATAATTTTACCATAAAAATGGATTTTTACGAAGTCATTTCTCATTAAAGCTAACATTTTTTATTTATACATGTATTTAAATTATAAAGTTTACTTGAAAGTGACAACAATGTAAAAATAAACATATATTCATCGTCCTTCATAAAATACATCCGTTATAACCCAAGGTTATAATGCAAGGAAAGTTAGTTGCAGTTGCGTATATTCTGCGTACATATTGAAACCAGTTCTCTTTTGGCGGAATTTTTAAACAAGAATAGATGCATCAGTGTTCGTTTAGTATCCGAGGAGGATAAAAGCATTAAATTTTGATAATTTTTATAATTCACATAATAGCTTCCTATGACAATAATATTTCATTGATTTTTTATGTGAAAGATGGATCCCATGTTAGGCTTCGGCATCCGTCTTGTATTGACATTACCGCCCTGAGACAGTACACTGCAGTACAGAAGATGCGCCCACCTCTGAAATAACTTTCCTTGAATTATAACCTTGTGATAACCCATTAAAACTTTGTGATGTAAATATTGCTCAATGCTCTCAAGTCATCTATTACCACCGCCAGGTTGGTCAACCTGTGAAGAATGGCGATGCACCTACAGAAACTCGCCTCAGTTTTGGACATCAGTGTTTTAAATGCCTTTATTTCAAGCAGCCCAAGAAAACTAAGTAAAAGTAGATTAGAATGAAGAAGGAAATTTTGAATTTTTTAAAGAAAAATTTCTTTATTTACTGCCTGCCTTCTTTTGGTTATTTTTAAATCTAAAAATAAACTATACTTGCAGTCTCCCGCAAAAAAAAATCAGCAAGAATAATAGCAAGAAATAAAAAATCATTCTCCCTTCATTAGAATAATATAATAAGATATGTATAATTTTAATGTATAAAGTTCAATCAATAACTTTTATTATATCGTTATTAGATAAATAAATGGATTATTTATTACTATAAAGAAACTGTCATTTTTCCATGGTTAGAGCGGTAAATAGAACTTTTTAGCAATGGAGGGGTGGGGGTGGGGATTTCTTTTTAGAAGATTACAAGGGGTGGGTAAGATTAATGTAGGGAGGGGGGGTAGATCATTTTTATTACACGCCCCTATCTTAAATCCTTAAGCCTCCCTTGCATGCTTAGTTTATGAATTTTATTTGCTAAACCATATAAAAGTTAACAGTTTAGGCATCTTGGTATTGAGGGGTGTGTTCAATCAAAACCTGGCAAGGCCTAACATTTTCTTTTAGCATTTAAAAATAAAATTCCGTAATTGTTTTTGAGAAAAAATGTTGCAAAAGAAAATGTCAGTTTATATTGTGAAGTTTATAAAAATTAGGTTGGTATGCCAAACACGATAATTTGAACCCGAGGGGGGGGGGGGGGCAAGAATAATTGTTGTGCTAACTAAATGTCATTTTCTGGACAATTGACCCCCTCGTCATGAAACCACTTTCTGGAATAATTATTGCAATCAATTCAAATACCCTTTCACTTGTTTCTTGTTTTGAATCAAGTTCTTGCAGTAGTATTCCGACTAGATATTAGATCATTATTAATTAGGTTTAAGGCACTGTATGACGTAATTTCAAGTGAATAGTAATGACCCTTCATCTGTGATGTCCGATTTACAATTATGCTCTTTACATCTCTAGCTGAGTAGCAATTAGGAAGATATTGTAGTATTACTTTTTTAACAATTTAAACTACTTTCAACACAATTCCGGCCCCTTTTATTGTTTACTAACGAGTGCGACCTACTTTAATCTAATCTTTAAATTTAGTGGAGCTTAGGAACCCATCTTTTCCTGAAATATCTTAACCTTTGTCCACTTAGTAATAAGCAAAAACTTGGTTCGATTAAACAAAAACTTTCATTGTTTTCTGACTTATAAAAGGATCTACAGATATAGTTCAAGGTACCAAAAATCATAATCTGTATTCTAAAAAAGTTTCATTTTCTTAAATATGCAAAAATTTTGCCTTAGAAAAATATTAGAGAAAAATGTTAAAAAAAAATTATCGAAATTTTGGTTCTTTTTTGTGCATGCTTCTTTTGAAGGTTTTTTTTTATTTTGTATTAGGTAGGAAAAGCAAATGCAAACAATTTAGAAGTTTGTACAATTGCTCAGACTTTTATAGAACCTTTAAAAAGTTTAGAAAGCTTCAGTAAGCTATATAAATGGATGACGACCAATAAAATTAAAACAATTTTTAATCGAATTTTTAAACCAAGTTATAAGATCTTTCCTGTGGTTTTAATGTGATCCCCAATCTAGATTATAAATCAGTCAAGGGTTTATGAGTTTATGATCAGCCGTACAAACAGACAGAGAATATAAATGTACATTGTGCATTGTATTGTAGGAGAAGCGTGTATATAGCAATGCAAAGTGGATTGTAAGTGTAATTAAAACAAGACTATAGAGTTTTATCTATCTATCTATCTATCTATCTATCTATCTATCGATCGATCTATCCCAAGGTCTATTTTAATCATTACTATTTGTCTTCATGTCATTAAACCCAAGAATTTGAGCAGAGTTTTGGGAACAGCTTTTATTCCTAGGACATATGGCGAGATTTTTGGGCCTTAATAAAATGTAGTTGTGACAAAACTGAACCAAAATAGGAAACATTGCCCCCCCCCCTCTTCCTCCTCTTCTCCGTGAATTTGACTTCCTTCCCCTTTTTAGACCAGAAGCCTTTTAATACCAAGAATTTAAAGCGTCTGGAATCAAAAGGATTGCAAAATTTTGTAAAAAAATTGTATTTTAAACTTTAAGATTTAAACTTCAGACGTTAAACATGACGCCCTATTAACTCCTGTATAGATGTCAAACCACGAATAAGCGATTAGCAACATGCCTTTCTGTCTCACGACTGTAATACTATTGTATAAAATGTATACCACTGTAATACTATTGTATATAATGTATCCCACTGTAATACTACTGTATATAATGTATCCCACTGTAATACTACTGTATATAATGTATAGCACTGTAATATTACTGTATAAAATGTATACCACTGTAATACTACTGTATAAAATGTATATCACTGTAATACTATTGTATAAAATGTATATCACTGTAATGCTACTGTATAAAATGTATACCACTGTAATACTACTGTATATAATGTACACCACTGTAATACTATTGTATATAATGTATCCCGCTGTAATACTACTGTATAAAATGTATACCACTGTAATACTACTGTATAAAATGTATACCACTGTAATACTACTGTATATAATGTATAGCACTGTAATATTATTGTATAAAATGGATACCACTGTAATACTACGGTATATAATGTATACCACTTTAATACTACTGTATCTAATGTATACTACTGTATATATGTATATAACGTATATAATTTATATAATGTTTATAATGTATATATTGTTTATAATGTGTATAATGTTTATAATGTATGTATTGTATTTAATGTATATAATGTTAATAATATATATAATGTATATAACGTATGTATTGTATTTAATGTATATAATGTTTATAATGTATTTAATGTATATAGTATATGTATTATGTAATGTATATAATATATACCACTGTAACTCTGTTGTACTTCTTATGGTAGGTGTTGCACTCAGTAAACCTGAGTCTCAACTGTTTATGGTTGACATTTAGAGTATAAGGGGATGCGTACAAATGCGTCAATACCTCATGCGTAGCCTACACATACAAGCAAAAGATAGGCAGGTACATTATTAAGTGTTTGTAATGATTCCAGATAAAGATGTGTTTTTTCCAGATAAAGATGTGTTGTTTCCAGATATGATGTTTTGTTTACAGATAAAGATGTCTTGTTTCCAGATAAAGATGTCTTGTTTCCAGATAAAGATGTCTTGTTTCCAAATAAAAATGCCTTGTTTCCAGATATGATGTTTTGTTTCCAGATAAAGATGTCTTGTTTCCAGATAAAAATGTCTTGTTTCCAGATAAAGATGTCTTGTTTCCAGATAAAAATGCCATGTTTTCAGATAAAGATGTCTTGTTCCCAGATAAATGTCTTGGTTCCAGATAAAGATGTCTTATTTCCAGATAAAATGCCTTGTTTTCAGATAAAGATGTCTTGTTTCCAGATAAAGATGTCTTGTTTCCAGATAAAAATGTCTTGTTTCCAGATAAAAATGCCTTGTTTTCAGATAAAGATACCTTTTTTCCAGATAAATGTCTTGGTTCCAGATAAAGATGCCTTGTTTCCAGATAAAGATGTCTTGTTTCCAGATAAAAATGCCTTGTTTTCAGATAAAGATGTCTTGTTTCCAGATAAAGATGTCTTGTTTCCAGATAAAAATGTCTTGTTCCAGATAAAGATGTCTTGTTCACAGATAAAAATGTCTTGTTCCCAGATAAAAATGTCTTGTTTCCAGATAAAGATACCTTGTTCCAGATAAAGATGTCTTGTTCCAGATTATATTTTCAATAACATATTCCAGACTCTAAATTATATCCACAACAATTAACAGCCTCAATTTTCCTTACAAATTTAAACCATGGTAGGTGATGCTTCATAGTTTAAGAATATTAAAATATAGATTTAAGATTTATTTACTGTGCATATTTCTCATAACAAATACAAAATACACTGGTGGTTTATAGGTTACGAAATATTGAAGAATAAAGATTTGTATAATTTCAAATTGATTTAATATTTATTTATCAAAAAAAATAATTCTTTTCGAATATTCTGGTTGCATATTCATAATACCGAGAAAACATCGTTGCTTCTCCTCCAAACTTGATTTATGAAAGCAAGAGAGAAGAAAGTCCATCGTTTACATTCTCTCATGAAGATTTGGACTGGAATGTAGTACCATGTACGGCTCGTAGTGACGCAGCATGTACATTGTACAATGTACATAATGTTTAGTGACCCTTGAACGTTATTCAAAACTACCTGAAGATCATTTATTCAGCAAATCAATTAATAGGCTTTAGTGCAGAGCTTTCATTGCAAGTCAACTTGATAAAGAACTGTTTACTTCCAGAATGATTTTGCTTTCTAAGTAATTTTATAGATTTCCAGATAAGCAAAGTGAATAAATGATAACATGGGGGCCCAATCAAAGGCCTGCAGGCTCAATCATAATTTTGAAAGTCTATACCAGACCTAAAAATCCTTTTGACTCAATATTTGTTCGTTACTTTATTATTTATTTCCTTTGTATGCTAACAAGATACTGTTTATTTCCTTTGTATGCTAACAAGATACTGTTTATTTCCTTTGTATGCTAACAAGATACTATTTATTTCCTTTGTATGCTAACAAGATACTGTTTATTTCCTTTGTATGCTAACAAGATACTGTTTATTTCCTCTGTATGCTAACAAGATACTGTTTATTTCCTTTGTATGCTAACAAGATACTGTTTATTTCCTTTGTATGCTAACAAGATACTGTTTATTTCCTTTGTATGCTAACAAGATACTGTTTATTTCCTTTGTATGCTAACAAGATACTATTTACTTCCTTTGTATGCTAACAAGATACTATTTATTTCCTTTGTATGCTAACAAGATACTGTTAATCTAAGTTTAAAGGATGAGTACTGATTGTGGTGAAAATTATGGTTTTAATAAATGCAAGCTTAACCCTTCCATGGTTTCATGCTAGGTTTAACCTTAGGTGGATGAATAGATAGATATAGAGTAGAGGGAGATGCACTGTTAAAAAATAGTACAGGACGTGGGTTCACTGTTATAATTAAAAGTCCAGGATGGAGGTGCACTGCTATAAAGAATAGGCAGGATGGAGGTGCACTGTTATAAAGACACAGTACAGGATGGAGGAAGGAGGTACACTGTTAAAATAATGGTAAAAGAGGGACGTGCACTGTTATAAAGAATAGTACAGGATTGAGGTGTACTGTTATAAAGACACAGTACAGGATGGAGGAAGGAGGTACACTGTTAAAATAATGGTAAAAGAGGGACGTGCACTGTTATAAAGAATAGTATAGGCTTGAGGTGTACTGTTATAATAAATCGTACAGTATGGAGGTGGAAAGTAATAAATAAAAGTGCAGTATTTGGAGGTGGACTGTTATTGTGAATGGTGCAGAATGGACGTGCACAGTTAAAGATAATAGTGCACCTCCATCTTGTATAGGATGAATTAAAATGGTTAAAACAAGAATAAAAGAACAGAATGAAACGGATGCAATTTATTGAAATAATTGGAATTCAAGACTGTCGGCTGAATCACCCCTAAACATTTTATTCTTACATGGGGGGCGTAGCTTCAATAGGCCTCCCTCCCTGTTTACTCATCTTGATGGATAAGGGATAAAAAATAATTAAAAATATTTTAAAGATTTAAAAAAACTTCTTTGAGTATATTGAATAAAGACAGTTAGTTTTAACACTAGCGTATTATATTCGTATAGAACCACACCCGTCTTCAATCTTCTATTTAGGAGACAAGGGAAGGTTAAATAAAGCTGTTGGAGGGAGGGGGGGGGGGTATTCAAGTACTTAAATAATTAAGATAAACAAAAGTAGGACCAACTGGATTTTTTTTTTTGGGGGGGGGGGAGGTTTTTTTTAAGAGTGTAGGTGAGGAAGCCCCTCGTTTCCATTTTTTTTAAAAGTATGGTCCTTCAGAGCTTAATTCTGTTGTTGTAGATTGATTGAGCTTATTGTAAATTGTCCAACGATATTCTCAGAATCCCGTATTCATTATTATATTTTTATGAATTTTTAAACATGAGTTTCAACAAAGGAACGAGGATTCAAATTGTTCTTCTACTTTGCAAGATCTATTTCTCTGTATTTCTAATGTCTTATTGTCATTTGTTCCCCTGTACAGTGTACATATGATTATACATTTCTTTATCAAGTCTTGGAAGCACTTTCGTCAGTTCATAATTTATCGTCTTTTTTGTATTTCTGGGGTTCTTGGCATTCGTTTTCCCCTTGCATACCATGGAATTAGAGGCCCTAGACATGTAAACTTCAAAACTATAAAGCACTTGTTTCAAGAAGTGACATGCAACATTCTAAACAATTTTTGTGTGAAAAATTGTAACCTTTGCTTTTGTAATGAGAGTAGAAATTAAATTGTTTTAGTTTCTGAGAAAAAAATATCGAATAATATTTTAATTTGTTTCTTTGATTCCCATGTTTATTGGGACACCCTGTATAATATGTGTGTTTAGTTGAACTGAATGAATATCTATTCCAAAATGAAACCTTTATTATAGCTAAAGTTTATAAAATTTTTAACAGTACTGACACGTCTAACTCTCACTTTCTTCAAAGTTTCTGAAAAAAAAGTATTATTGGCAATAAATACTCATGACAGGATAAATAAAATATAATAAAATCTGCGACGCTTATTGGGTTTGATTTAATTTTAAAGAGTAAAATAATTTGTAACAAATATAAAGCAAGAACTTCCAAAATCAACCTTTAAACAGTATTTGATGAGGCCTACAGCTAACATTATTCCAGCGAAGGCAAAAAGAATGTATCCTATAACCGTAGTCTAAAATTTTAATAAAAAATTCATAAAATATAAATTGCGCACATTTACATGTATATTTACATGTACATTTACATGTATATTTACATATGTATATTTGCATGTATATTTACATGTACATTTATATGTACATTTACATGTATATTTATATGTACATTTACATGTACATTTACATGTATATTTACATGTATATTTACATGTACATTTAAATGTGCATTTACATGTACATTTACATGTACATTTACGTGTATATTTACATGTATATTTAGATGAATATTTACAATTCCATTTACATGTACATAAGATAAATCCTAGACTGAGGTACTACTTTAAAGGTCGTCTGTTCTGTTTTGTTCTGTGACTTTACCGAATTTTTACATAAAATCTATTTATAGATCTAACCTGATCCTCTCTATTTAAAGATCTATCCTAATCTCTCTATTTAAAGATCTAACCTGAACCTCTTAATATAAAGATCGACTAGATCGACTAACCTGATCCTCTCTATTTAAAGATCTAACCTGATCCTCTCATGTTTAAAGAACTAACCTGATCCTTTCTATTTAAAGAACTAACCTGATCTTCTCTATTAAAGAACTAACCTGATCCTCTCTTTTTAAAGATTTAACCTGATCTTCTCTATTTAAAGATCTAACCTGATCCTCTCTGTTTAAAGAACTAACCTGACCCTCTCTTTTAAAAGATCTAACCTGATATTCTCTATTTAAAGAACTAACATGATCCTCTTTATTTAAAGAACTAACCTGATCCTCTCTATTTAAAGATCTAACCTGATCCTCTCTATTTAAAGAACTAACCTGATCCTCTCTATTTAAAGATCTAAACTGATCTTCTCTATTTAAAGAACTAACCTGATCTTCTCTATTTAAAGATCTACCCTGATCCTCTCTGTTTAAAGATCTAACCTGATTCTCTCTGTTTAAAGATCTAACCTGATCCTCTCTGTTTAAAGATCTAACCTGATCCTGTCTATTTTCTTTGTAAATATTAGAATATCTTCTTCTAACTAAAGGTTCTGGTAATCTAAAGAAAACAGTTTAACCCAGAACTTGAGTAACATGGAAGGAATTTATAAAATGTCGTCTTACAATATTTCCATGGGTTTTATACAATTATACATACGTCTTCATAATTGTTAAAATAGATAAGTGACCATGAAAAATGCCGGAACAGTTTCATAGAGCTCTATATAATTATTCAATAAAAAGAAACTAATTATCACCAGCATGACATTACCAGTAGGTTTAAAGACGACAATTTATGCATTCTTTCGATGCCTCCGAACTTGTAAGTTAAACCGTAAGTTATCAAGAGTTTGCATTTTATCAAGTTTTTTGAAATATCAAGTTTTAACGAAAATTGTTTACATTTGTAAAATTAGGCTATTTTTCTTGTTGAAAACTATTTTCTTTCTAAATTCACAAACAATTTCAATATAGTCAGTTGATTTAAAAATTTAACTAAAATAACCAATAAGAAATATATTAAGTATACAAACTTACATTTTAGGACTGAACCTCTGGATATACTCTTCTACGCCATCTTCGTAGATAATAACTCTGAAATACAACACCATAAAATATGGTCACGTGTCACGTGATTCTGTATCGCTGGTTTAGCTATAAGGTTTGGGGGCTGAGAATACCTACCCCTTCAGGTCAATGCCCTTTATAAAATAACAATTACAAGTTGTTTGCATCAATTGTATTTGATCATTTGCATTACAATCGATTTAGTCTCTTTTATTTTAATATATAAAAAATCTTGAGATGCGCGCGTAGTTTGCATCAAAAGAGAAAATGTTTTTTCCAAGTTTTTTGAGGTTTCTGGGCCCCGGTGGAAGACATCTCATATAAATTTGTTTTGCAGGATAAAAAAAATACGATTAAATTAATTATAAAAAGTACCATACCGACCGTATATCCTTTCAACCTTTTTTTCTAAACACACTTTTTTAACAAAAAGTTTGATAAATTTAGAACAAAACATTTAAACATTAAATCAAAAAAAAAATGTTAGAAATATTTCTGCTCTCACCTAAGGAAAGAATGACAACCCTTCCTATTTATAATTCCTACAACATGGAACCCCTTGTCTTCTCTAAAACAAAATAATTTTGATAACATTAAATGGTGAAAGTAAAATAAGATTTATTATATAGAAAGAAGTGATGAAAGGCAAGGTTTGATTTAAAAGAACCCTCTTCATGCACACTGCATAATTTATGGGTAACTATTTGTTACGTTTACCACGCTTCCATTCACTAAATATTCCTACAGTTAAACCTTTTTAATAAAATGAAAATAAGTCTCACTTTTCGAGCGCTTTAATTCTGATATTTCTCTTCCTGAGGCCCCAAACGATTTAAGTAACATTTATTGTTGAGATATTCTAAATATATTTTTGTTGCTAAAAAATGTTATTATTTGATTAATGAATAAAGGATTTACCGTGGATTACTACCCTCTGCCTTATAATTATAAAAATAAAGATTTTCTTTTTCTCCCGCCATTTGCTTTCCTAGAACTTCGTCCTCTAGTTTTGTCATTTTCCTAGAATAGATTTAGAGATCAGAAATTTTGAAATGTTAATCCCTTTATAATTCTTTTTCCAGTTTCAGATGTGGGATCCGACGGATCAAGTTAATTCTTTTTATATATCTCTTCTGGAATTGATGGAGTAAACCGCGAAAAAATTATCAGTTTTTCAAGGATTAAACACTTAATCGCCTCAAATTAAGAGTTTTTAGAATGTAGTTTAGGTGTTTTAGGTTACTGCCATCTATATACTAAAGTTCTGACTTCTGAGCTGGGAACTTTTGAATGGTGGATATCGGGATTAATGCTTGATCCACTATTTTCTTAATCTTGAGATTAAATAATGCTTGTTCTCCTCTTGTTATTAATCTCCAGATTAATTAACCGATCAGGATGAAGGATATCCCATTCTAAAGTTTTCAGCTCAGGATATTTAAAAAATCTTAATTTAAATGAAAAATAGATAAAAAGATGTTTAAATGATAATTCATGCACAACAGATTAAAACAAACGCAGATGTATTATTAATGGTTTACAAATAATATGAAAACAATCATGCAGATTTCAAAAACAATTTCAAAAAATTTTGTTTAACAAACCTGCTTAAATTTTAAGATTCATATCAACCGTATTTTCAAAACCGTGCATATGTTATCAGAAAGGTTTCTGGAAATCAACTTTGTTTTGGTAAGTGGCTCGTGAACTTTGCTTATTTGTTACAGCTATATGATACCAATATGCTTGAAGGTTTTGTAGTGGATACTTCCAGTTCCCATTTTCATCAATCTCAGCTGGTTCATAGTATACTTGAAACTACAGGAATACAAGGGTTAACATATGAGGGGAGGGGCTTGAGATTGAAACCCACATGGTGGCCTAGCTGAAGACTGGAAACTGCAGGAAATGAGGGTTAAATAGTGGGGGGGGGGATGGAGATATTAACCCACAAGTAGTAGACTTGAAACTGCAGGAATAGAAGGGTTAAATAGGGGGGGGAAGGAGGGGGGTGATATTAACCCACAAGGGGACATAGTAGGCTTAAAACTGCAGAAATGGGGGGGGGGGGAAGAAAACCAAAAGGCACTGCGATTTAATAGTCTCACGCTCTCAAGCAAAAATCGTTGAGAATTTTGCCAATTACTTCTAAAAAACCATATCTAACAAGAAGTGCTTTACATTGCTAAAATGTACATGTAAAGGGATACCGAAAAGCATAAGTGAGTTAGAGCGGTAAAATCAAAGCTTAGGGCGTTGCGACAGTTCAAAGTCAGCCCTGTCTTAAAAATTGATGAGACTGTTTATAAGGAGGCTGAATCTATGTGAAGGGGGCATAATAGACTTTAAATAACAGAAATAGAAGGGTTACATCGGTGGATGGAGATTAAAGCCCACAGGGGGCTTGGTAGACTTTAAACTGAAGAAGGAAAAGGGTTAAATAGGTTGGGTGGGGGGTTGGAGATAAAACTTTTGAAAAATAAGGATGTATCGAACATATTCAATCTCTTGTCCTTGTTTATATAGGTGTTACACTCATACGGAATATACCAAGGAATAAATAATCTAAACATAAATTAAATTTAATATTAAAATTTGTCTCTAATGAACAAAATTTATGATACCTTAACCCCTTCTCGGTTTTTCCAACTTTTGAAATTAAATATTTAGAGTCATCAGAAGCTTGCTTTATCTAAAAAAACTTATTTAGCTTTATATTTAACTTCAAGAAACAATTATTGATAAACAAGCAAATGTATAGATAGATATAGATATGGATATCAAATAAAATACAGTGAGAAGCAGAAAACTGTTGAATAGGAAGACAACTTTAAATCTTAACTTGTCTCTTTAAATAGGCGCAGTGCATGCATACCTATTCTACTTAAAAAGTGATATATTAAGTTACTAGTAAAAATACTTGCTTTATAACAACATTCAATATACTTGCGCATAACTTTAATGTCGTCTTGCTGTTCCTCAGTTTTATGGTTCTCATTGTAGTCAACAACTAATTTTAAGCTAAACTCATAAAATCCTTCAAAATTATTTGAAAATTAATCAACATTTCTAAGTTGTTCTATCTGAAAATATGAGATTCCTGGATTTCTACAGGATTACTGAATATGTAGTATTCCAAATTAAATTCTGAACTATAGTTTTCTAATAAATGATTTAAGGGAATTGAGCATACTACGAGTACAACCTCTCACTACGAACCAAGATGCCCACGCTCTCATGCAAAATTTGAGCAGTATTTTGTGAATTAATCCTTTAAACTTTATATTGTAGAAACAAGGCGACTAAAAAGTAAAAGTGACTTGGTGAGGAAAAATCAAACGCCAAGCAGCTGCAACACTTTAAAGTTGATGCTGTCTAAAAAAGACTAGCTTTAATAGTTGTCTAGATATCAGTGCCCTAGTTATATAGTTTAAATTGCTTATATATACCTGAAAAGACAAAGCTCCGCAAGTTCTGTAACCTGAAAAGCTATGGTATTATTCAAAAGTTTTTAAAAAAATTTATATTTTCTTACCAAAATATTTTCCGCCATGGTCATTATTGTAGATAAAAACATTCTACATTTAGATTTAAATTAATAATCAGAGCAAACTGTGGCGGCTATGAAAGTCGTCTTTCCGTAGAGAACTTCTCGCGGCAAGGAGAAAGAAAAGGGGAGTTTTCCAGAAGCCACGTAGAGAAAGGATGTGATTTTAAAACATGATATATGTTCTAACTTTGTAAGTTTAAATTAAAAAATATAGTTAGTCGTTATCAAATCCTCGTCTTATTGCTATCCGCCAAATTGGTGACCCCGGACTATTGAATACATTCCTTGTTTTAAGTCCAAGTTAAACAACCCACCGCGTTGTATTTTTCCACCTATAAACTCATATAATTTAAAACTCAGTGTTTTGAGTTAGTGTTTTGTTTTTTGCTCGCTAGTGTTGTTTTCGGTAAACGAAGCAATGAATTTAAACAAACATGATTGAAAACAGCTTACCCTTTACCCGTTGTTCATAGACACTATGTTTTAGAATTAGTCGATTTATATAATTGGAATTTGATAAATTTCTCTAGTTTTTTTTGCCATTATTTTGAACAACACTTTTAGACGATTCAAAAGCTTTTTATTGGGGGGGGGGGCAAATATTTAGGCTATTGTTGTTTTAAAAGCGATATTGTTCTTCGATACAATTATATTAAGATTTTGGATAAATCGTGCATTGTCGTGCTTCGTTGCTTAGTGTTACGTTAAAAACAATTTTCTTTTAATAACAGAAAGGTAACGATAGAAAGCGGGGAAAGAAAAAGGAAACAAAAGAAAGCAGGGAAAGGAGAAAAGGAAACAGAAGAAAGCAGGGAAAGGGAAAAAGGAAACAAGAAAGCAGGAAAAGGAGAAAAGGAAACAGAAGAAAGCAGGGAAAGGGAAAGGAAACAGACAGAAAGAACGGAAAGCACAGAAAGTAAATTGAGAAGAGAACGAAGAAAAGCCAAGTAAAACTATTAAAATACGTTGTGAAGGAAACAGAAAAAGGAAAGAGAAAGTAAAAGCATGGCCGCCGGAAAACGGAAAAAGTGAGATAACGTTTTGCAAGGAATTGTTTAGAAAAATATAGTTTAATGTTTCCTTGGTGAGTGGAGATATTGCAGTTACATCATGTATTCCACCAATCTTGAAATAATTAAAACAATACTTATAGGGACTGTAAGCGAAATAAGTGACCCCCCCCCCCCATGCAAAGAGGAGAATGACCGTTTAAAAACGTAGACCCATTAAATCTTTGACTGTTCATTGATAGCAAAGAACTCCGTGTGATTATTTCTGTAGATAATGAAGAGTAATTCCGTCATCAGTGAATCGGAAATAACATCTGTACAAAATTACAGACAAAGTCGGCCCATTAAACACATTTTGAAAAAATACTTTATATTTTAACGTTTTAACTCAAGTGAGAGTGATTCCGTATCATTTTTTTTTGTTTCCTAAGAAAAAAACGTATAATCGTTTTTAATCATATATATTTAAGGAATTGAGTCTTTGCCACAATTTCTCAAATTTTTTAATCTCTATATCTTTGCGATCTGATGGTGCAACATCTTTATTATTTCAAACTTATATTATTTGATTTAAAAGAATTCATAGTTTTAAATATCTAAAGTATTGAATATCGAGTTTGTGTAAACACTCATGATTCCTTATTGATTTTTTCAATAAGTTTTTATCTGGTGGCCTAAATTACAGGCTATGGATACAAAAGGATCATCAAGCAGTTTACCTGGTAGCCTAGATTATAGGCTAGGGATACAAGAGGATCACCTGGCAGTTTACCTGGTAGCCTAGATTACAGGCTAGGGATACAAGAGGATCATCAAGCAGTTTACCAGGTAGCCTAAATTACAGGCGAGGGATACAAGAGGATAACCAATCAGTTTACCTGGTAGCCTAGATTACAGGCTAGGGATACAAGAGGATCACCTAGCAGTTTACCTGGTAGCCTAGATTACAGGCTAGGGATACAAGAGGATCATCAAGCAGTTTACCTGGTAGCCTAGATTAAAGGCTAGGAATACAAGAGGATCACCTGGCAGTTTACCTGGTAGCCTAGATTATAGGCTAGGGATACAAGAGGATCACCTGGCAGTTTACCTGGTAGCCTAGATTACAGGCTAGTGATACAAGAGGATCATCAAGCAGTTTACCTGGTAGCCTTGATTACAGGCTAGGGATACAAGAGGATCATCAAGCAGTTAACCTGGTAGCCTATATTACAGGCTGGGGATACAAGAGGATCACCTGGCAGTTTACCTGGTAGCCTAGATTATAGGCTAGGGATACAAGAGGATCACCAAGCAGTTTACCTGGTAACCTAGATTACAGGCTAGAGATACAAGAGGATCACCTGGCAGTTTACCTGGTAGCCTAGATTACAGGCTAGGGATACAAGAGGATCACCAAGCAGTTTACCTGGTAGCCTAGATTACAGGCTAGGGATACAAAAGGATCACCTAGCAGTTTACCTGGTAGCCTATAGATTACAGGCTAGGGATACAAGAGGATCAACAAGCAGTTTACCTGGTACCCTAGATTACAGGCTAGGGATACAAGAGGATCACCAAGCAGTTTACCTGGTAGCCTAGATTACAGGATAGGGATACAAGAGGATCACCTAGCAGTTTACCTGGTAGCCTAGATTACAGACTAGTGATACAAGAGGATCACCTAGCAGTTTACCTGGTAGCCTAGATTACAGGATATGGATACAAAAGGATCACCTAGTAGTTTACCTGGTAGCCTAGATTACAGGCTAGGGATACAATAGGATCACCAAGCAGTTTACCTGGTAGCCTAGATTACAGGCTAGGGATACAAGAGGATCACCAAGCAATTTACTGCTGTAATTCTCTATCTATGTGTGTAGGATTAATATAATCAGCTTCTATCGGAAAATTGCCACATAAGAATAAAGGAAATCTTGACTGCACTGTAAAAAATGAATTCGTTTGCTGTTTTTAGAACTTTAGTTTTCAAAAGAACTTTCACGAACTCTATTTTTTATTTTAGAAAACGGATTCTGAATTAGAATAATTTTAACAATTAATAAGTTTAAGAAAAGTTTATACCTGAATTCTAATAGATATTGCATTACTGCTCCGCTACAAAAGTATTATGCATTTTTTTATATTCTTATTAAATTCAAACCTGCAGCTACCGTAGTAATTAGAAATTTTTTTTTCTTAAAAAGAATCATGAAATCATCTTCTTAAATATTTTTTCATTAGATTGTTCACCTGCTTAAATTCCTCGTGTTTTTTGTCCACTTCGTTTTGGTTTGAATAAATACTCGAATTTGTAAAAGAAAGGGCTTCTAACTTCTAGATCAACATCAAGTTTATGAAATATTTTTCACAAAATAAATGAATTGAAAAAACGGTCAATAAATGAATTTAAAAATTGATGAATTGATGATACTTCTTATATTTTTCTTTTTTTTATAGTTTATAATTGTATCATATTGAGCAAAACTTGAATACATAAAACAAATGTTTAGCCATGCCAGAGGTCAAATTCAATAAATTGTGAAAAATATGTTTAAACTGGGTATGGCTAGTTAAACTATTTCTCACGGATAAACTAGGGAAGTATTTAAACTAATTCTCTTCGTTCATAATTTCCGACCCTAAGAATCAATTACATAACTTTCCATCGAGAACCGAATTTGATGCATTTAAACTTCCTGCCACCGTTTTAATGTTGAGTCGCCGTTTTAAATCCTTCCTTTAATTTTGAATTGGTGGTTCAAATTTAAACCAGCAGTTGGTAGCTCAGCGATATAGCTCAAATTCGATTTACATTCGGTCGCGGGCCGCGTCGGGTTTTTACTGAGGAAAAAATATGTCACGACCATAGATAAAGATAGATTGTGCATATTTATTTATCTATGGTCGCGACATTCTGACCAAGCGATCGCCCAAAGTATTGTTTGGATAAAGATTTTAATCTGTGACCGAATTTTATGAATTGAACCGACGTTATTTTAACGACTCGTTAAATTTGGTCCCTGATATTTTATACATTTTTGATTTCTTGAAATCTGTTCTCACCTCAACCGCATTTCTAAAAAAAAACATGGTTAATTGTGGACAATTAATCATTTATAACTATGTGTATATGTGTAAAATAAACTTACAAGATTTTACGAATAGAATTTTCAGGATCATACTTTTTAATACAGCAACAATGGGTGAAAAACAGAAATAGAAAAAGCATTTTCTGAAAAATTAAAGAATCTACAGTCGTCGTCGCATATAGCAACTTAATGAAGACGACTTTTGATTGCAATGTTGATTTATATCAAGTTGCAGTTAAACTTATGGATATACACATAAACATAGAAGTCAAGAGAAGCTGTTAATTAAAAAAGCTTCTCTTTAAATACTCGTAATTACTTGTATTCTAAAAAGCTTGATAATCAATCAAAACTGAAATAAAAAAGTCGTCTTCATCAAGAATGTATCACTAACTTTTCTAAATAGCTAAAACCTTTTTTTTCTATAAATATACGTTATTCTATTTATTTTAAATTGAAAATAAATACATTGTTTGTATTATTTCTAATAAATATTGCATATATTGCAGGATTATGCAATGTTAAATAAATGTCTGAAATTAATGAGCAACAGAAATTATACTATTGATTGTTGGCTTATCATGGTACATTTAAAGAGCATGTGCGCCTTTTCTAACAAAGGAGAGGGGGCACAGAATAGTGGAGGGGGTACAACATAGTGAAGGAGGCACAAAATAGTGGAGGGGGCACAAAATAGCGTAGGGGGCACAAAATAGTGAAGGGGTACAAAATATGGCGGGGGGGCGCACTGTGGCTCAAAGTATTAAAAAACTGAAAACAACTAATTTTCAAAAGTTTTATTTTCACTTCAGTTCATAACATTAACTGGGGAAATAAATTTGATTTTAAAAGTATAAAAAGTTTATGTTTTTATTCTTTATCTTGTTTACAGGGGAACTATAGTCCAAGATTTATTTTATGAAATTGTCAGCTGAAAAGTTAACAACTTCTTCCTGGGGCTGATAAGGTTCTTTTTCCTTGTCTTAGAGTTATTTCTGTTACTAACCTTAGAGGGCGCTTCGCGCCCATCTTCTAAATTAATTGTGAACATGTTCTCTTTGTGTACATCGTAAAACAAAACAAAAATAATTCGCGAATTTTCACAAAAAATTTCATGGATTTTCAAAATTTTCAAAAATTTAATGAAGATCGAATTTGATGGAGACAAATATTTAAAATTTCAATCATTCATAAACGTTCCCTGAAGTCCCTAGATGTCCCACAAAAAATTTGGGCCCGATCGGTTCAGCCGTTTTGACGTTTATTGGACACAAACAAACAGACACACCCAAACAGACAGACAAGCCAAATTTATATATAGACTAGCCTTAGAGGGCGCTTCGCGCCCATCTTCTAAATTAATTTTGAACATGTTCTCTTTGTGTACATCGTAAAACAAAACAAAAATAATTCGCGGATCTTCACAAAAAATTTCGCGGATTTTAAAAAATTTAATTAAGATCGAATTTTGATAGAGACAAATATTTGAAATTTAGATCATTCATAAATCCCTGTGGTCACGTGATGTCCCACAAAAAATTTGGACCCGATCGGTTCAGCCGTTTTGACGTTTATTGGATACAAACAAACAAACAGACAAAACTCCATTTAATCTTTTTCAGAACTCACCCCCGGGTACTGTATAATACAGATTGACCTTTGGAAGTGAACTACATGGCCTGTACGTCATCACTCTATGTACTATAACCTCGTTGGTTAGCATGCTTTCATGCCTTGAATATAGTTTTACAATATACAACAACTTACATTAAAAATATAATCTATAAAATCACTTTCAATAGTAATCCAAAAATATTATGCACTATAAACCAAAGAGCATCATTTCAATACTTTGAACCAGCCAGGGTTATCAACAAAAGGTAAACCTTTACCAACGGCCAAAACTCTTTGACCTTCCCTGGAGTCATGTGAGGTCCCACACAAAATACGGGCCAAATCCGTTTTGCCAATTTGACGTTTATTGAATACTAACAAACAAACATTTCAAAACGTACACCTAGGCAAGCAAAGTATATATGAGAAGATGAAGGCTGAATTTAGACTTCTGTGTCTAGAATACAGTCTTTCTGCGAAAGAAAGATACTTTGCAGTTATACAGGGAACCCTGAGCGCATGAAACAAGGCCGAATAAATACCGAACTGCAGTCGTCTCTGATGTCCTGATTGCATAGGTAATCTTGAAGATTCCAAACCTTAATTATTTAATTTTAGCAGAACTATTGCGGAATGGACAGTGGACACAGTTAGAAATTGGGGAGAGGGCAAAGAGCGAAGGCTACCCCCCCCCCTTCCCCACGGTAACGGACACTGTTATGGGTGACTGAAAAAATTATATTTTACGATTGTGCGCGGGGAGGAAGTCCAACCACAATATTTCTCTTCCAATCCACATTCTCCTCATTTTCTCGTCCGAGCCACCTCGTCCTTTCAATATTATTTTTTTAAGTGTCTAATCCTCCCATGGATAAAACTATTTTTATAGAATCGGGCCATGTTAGCGCATATAAATAAATTATCAAATTTTTGTAAATAAAAAAAGTTTTTGATTGAATTAAAGTTTTCAAGTTATGTCTTTGAAAATGTTCACCTTTTTTGCGCATTATCAGATATTCCTGGTGTAGAATGCCGCAATGAATTCCGAGTTTATAGAACTTCAATCTTTTTTATTAACTGTAATGAAAACCATAGCATTTTACCGGGTGGTTTCATGGGACAAATGATAGGCAGAGGTATGCCGAATATTTTACTATTTATTTTTTATCGCAAAGAGGCAGAAGAGATCTAAGTTTTACCTAAATAAGGTTTGACATCATTCTCATGGGTTTGATGCATCATATGTAATCATTGCAATACTTTAGTCCATCCAACTTATATGCTTTAACGGGGCCAGATTTTAAAAAATAGTTTTATCTTCGAGAATTGGAAACTTTTAATTACAAAATAATCTAAGGACGAGGATTCCGAGGTAGCTCGGATTCGGACGAGAAAAATGAGGAGAATGTATAGCTCGGGCGAGAATTTGTTGTGGCTGGCCTTCCTCCCCTCGTTATGCAGGTTACCTAATATTTTACATAAATAAAGTTCAAGGTTGCATAACCACTAAAAGCAAAATTATAAAGAAAAAATTTCATTCAGGGCATTTATGAACAAAAGGCTCTTTCACATTAATAATGATGATTGCGAGTTCCTACATCTGGTAGTGTAACGTTGCTGGCGAGTTCCTATTTTCTAGAGGTTTCTATGGATTGAGGAAGAAAGGGAGTCTGTATACTGTGTGTACTTAGTAGTTAGTAGTGTTACACAAACCACTGACTAGGTAGGTTGAATCTATCCTTGAACGTTAAACATTCTAGTATCATTTTATTTCATTCGTTTATTACTTTCTTATTTCATTGACTAGACAAAATGACAAAAAAAACAATTCTGTGCAATATGCGCTGTCAAAATTGTCAGCTTAAAAATTTGGTGAATGGTGAAACAGTTAAATAATATAACAATTGCGCAGTAGAATGTTATTCCCTCACCTTTACCTTCATCTAATTCAATTCGTTTATTCTGTTTTGCCATTTCAAAATATTTTATTATTTTCCATAAAATGTTCAGACCATTCTTTCTCTGCGATGTGAGTATGTGATATGATTTATGGGTATAATCTGAAAAGTATAATAAATAAAAAGAAAAGATCTGAACACAATTGCCTCAACCTTAAAGTAAAGTACTTGATAAGCTCATTAAGAACTCCAAAAAAGATTATTTATTAGGTGGGTTTATTGTTCTTATCTTCAGAGGGGCGACAATGTTTGCTTACTCCCCTCCTCAGTCTCAACCCCTTGATATGTGTTTGAAAAAAGTTTATTTCTTAAAACCTAAAAATTTATAAAGTGAATGGATGGTTCTAAATATTCTTTCTATTCAGATGAATGAGTTAAATCTGCTCCCATGCTGGCTAAATGATAATGTACCTTGAAGGATAGAAAGATAGAAAGCTGGAAGGAAGTGGAAAGCTTGAAACGCAATATATGAAGTAGAAAGGCAGATCTCAGGCCCAGGTACAGTTGACCTGCGTCGAACAGTGTCTCGCTGTCCTGACACTAAACGTGTATTTTACTATCACGCCAATAATACTGTTAATATGTCATGTTTATTTTAAACAACTTGTATTTAGTAATGTTTAATCCTATATTACACCAACCAATAAGTATTATGCAGTACATACAAACCGTAAATAAACCTGTTACGAACCTTTAATAAACCTGTATTATATACCAACCTTTAATAAACCTGTATTATATACCAACCTTTAATAAACCTGTATTATATACCAACCTTTATTAAACCTGTTTTATATACCAACCTATAATAAACCTGTATTATAAACCAACCTATAATAAACCCGTATTATATACCAACCTATAATAAACCTGTATTATATACCAACCTATAATAAACCTGTATTATATACCAGCCTATAATAAACCTGTATTCTAGAAAGTTCTAAAAGTGAAATGCCAAACTTCGGTGGAGAAGGTTGTAAACTATTTGTTTACGGAGTATCAACAGGCACACCAAAGGTCAGTCAGGATATAGGATACTGGATATAGGATACGGGATATAGGATACTGGATATAGGATACTAGATATAGGATACTTGATAAAGGATACTTGATAAAGGATACTTGATAAAGGATACTTGATAAAGGATACTTGATAAAGGATACTTGATAAAGGATACTGGATTCTGGATACTGGATACAGGGTACTGGATGGTGGATACTGGATACAGATTAGAATAAAGTTTGAAGGTTAAAGATACAGAATATAGAAACAAGATCTTGGTGCAGGGTTCAGGGTTCAGAACTCAGGATAAAGTTGTGCGCAGAAGAGTGAAGATACAGTGTTAATGATACAATGGGTATAGGTTCATGATACCGAATACCCAGTTCAGGCCGGTTATAGGTAGAGTTCTGAATGTAGGGTAAAGGATTTAAGATACCTAGGATGTAGGGTACTGGATCTAGGATAAAGGATATAGAATAGACGATATAGGGATCAGGGTATAAAGGATGCAGGGTTTTAGTTCCCCCTCCTATAATCTGAAAGAATGCTCTGTTGTTTAAAAACTAGCTTTCTCGTTAGCATTTTTTTTTTCTATCGATCTCTTAAACCCCCACTTTTTTCTAGTTTTTCGTTGCTTAAGAATTCAAATACTTGGTTTTGCATACTTTTTTTTCGCAAATAAAAAATTTATGGAATCAGGTTAGATTTTAATTTTTAGTTATTTAAACCATATTTTTGTTTCAGGAAGAAATACAGGATGAATTTGAACGATTTGGTGAAGTGACAGACACATACAACAGTGGCAAAGGGTAGGACATCTTGTAAAATAATTTTATCTTGAATCAAAATTACGGTGAAATAAAGATCTCCTCTTGAGTACAAATCAAGTTTTAGTTCAAAACGCTAATACGCTTGAATATGTACTTATTTAAAAAATTATTCATAAATGAAAGAAAAAAATATTATTTCTGAGCGTTTTTGAGATGGAATGAGTTAAACTAATTTTTCTTATATGCCAGGAATAGTATGGTTAAAATGTAAAAGTATTATATAAACTTAAATATATTTTTGATTTTTAGGTACGCGTTCGTTACATTTAGTTCAAAAGAAAGTGCTGAACAGGCTAGAGAAGGAATGAACGGGCAAACTATAGGCGGACAGGAGATAAAGGTCAGAATATGTGGGTGTCGGGCAGGTCGATCACAGGACCTAGCAGGGGGTAGGGGGCAGGACAGCACATGGAGTGGGACAAATTAAGGAGTGGGGACAGTAAAAAGGACTTAAAGGGACAGTAAAGGAAAAATGAAAGGGGGTATAGGCTGAAAGCTAATCACTTTAGCTCTCGATCTCGACCCATGAAAGTCATATCTGATGTTCCAGTCTCGAGAAATTGATATAAAACTGTGTCAAATCTATACGAAAAAAAATATATATACAATTTTGTATAAAAGTAGTAGGTTTAAACAGATCATATTCAGCAAATAAGCAACCAATCTGAAAACGATGACATCCCAGAGAAAGCTAATTGTAATTTAGGTTTACTTTTATAATTGTTGTTTCTATTTTCAATAGATTTCATTCATAATATTATTTTTACGTCCGTATTACTTGACCAGAAATTCCACCAATGGCAGTGCAGTAAAGTGGTCACGTGATACAGACGGAGACACGTGACCAGTATACTGCTCTGCCATTGGTGATAGTTCTGGTCACGTGATTTAAAATATATTTTAAACTATTTTTACATCTGAGTTATGAGAAATTTGTATTTTATCAAGTTTATGTTTGAAATTATAAGATTGATTTTAAAGAGGTTAGTAATTAACTGTTAGTATTTGATAAAACGTATTATATCTGAATTAAGAGATAAAATAACAAAAATATTAAAAAGACTAATATTTAAAAGACGTATAATGTTTATACTGACAAAATCAATTAAGTACTGGACAACATAATTTTAGAAGTTTGAGAATTGGTGTCTAGTATAGGAGTGCTAGGTATACCATTGACGTTTAGCCAAGAAAAAAACTACTGTTAATATTTTTTACTACTTTCTATATATTTATATATACTGTTTATATTTTTTACTATACACTATACACTAATGTTAAGAAGAAAAGGCTTTTTGTAAGTTCAGCCAATTTTTTAAAAAATTATAATTTTTAATTTCGATTGGTTTTTAAATTCAACAATTCGACTCAACTAGGTGTAAATGGTTTAAAAGTATATTACGAAAAGCAAAAAATATTGGTGTTTTTCACAGGTGTTTAATTTTTCAGGGGTGCACCAAATCTACCCAGATTTAAAGGATCCCCTGTTTATGGCTAGAGCAGACTGAACAGTTTGTGGAACATGTGGGTGCCGCCATGTTGTAGAATGTCCCGTGGTATCGCGGCCATCTTGTTTTTGAATCCGCCACGTGGTGACGTCTTAGATATTTTCAATCAACCAAAGTCTGATCTTTAACATGACCATTACGGCGAACATTATGTTATAAAGCTTGTGAAATGATCTGCCTTAAATAAAGGCCTGAAATTGTTGTCTCTACTCGGCACCCCGGAACCATATTCCTTCTGTCGTACCAGAATCGTTTAAATTTTCATTCTTCACCAAACCATGTTCTCTATTCATTCTAACAGTTTACAATGAACTGGAAAAAGACATTGCTCATGTTAATAACAAATCATCAATCGTATTCTCTCAGAAAAGTCGTAATTTGTAGCATCCCTGGTTTATTTATGTGTGCACCTGAAATATTATTCTTAGTAGACACTGCTGGCATTGCCCAGTCATGATTCACCAAGAATATTGACATAATATGTATTGTACAAGACTTAAAGACTAGAAAAGATTCCATTACTCGAGATTGTGATACAGAAATTAAAATATACCCTTTACTCTTTATAAAGGTGAACCAAAAAGATGTTAAAAATTGTTAATGTCTTTTAGCAGAGTGGGGGGGGGGGGATTAAAGTATGTCGAACAGTTAGCAGATATATTATCAAATAAGCAACATTATCATATTGCTATTTAGTTTTATCTGATTTTGTCTATGTATTTATTTAATGTTCAGAATTTTAAATTAGGAAAATTAATATAATTATATAATATTGTTGTATAGGCCCTGACAGAAGACGAGGAGGGTATGGTCAGGGTATGGGGGATTTATAATAACCCCCCCTCCCCTGACCCCTTCCACCTTTACTCCCACTTGTCGACCTTTCATCTAGGAAAACTCAAATAATAAATACAACCCTGTTCTCTAGTTTCTATTTACTTCAATCATATGGTTGTTAAACTCAAGCCGAAGGACTTCAAGCCAATCTAAGATGCAAAGATATTGATTAGAAAGGGTAGACATGTTAAAGATCAAGGGAGGGGTCTAAGGAAGTTTTACCCATGTTTTCTGTCTCTCATCGCTGAAGAAGTATTTTTACAATTATAATTTGTTCTGTTATGTTTTGTAATAAATATCTTGTATAGTGTTTCCTTTTTACTAGTACTAGAGGATGATGATGGAAGATTGTTAAGAGTATTGTATTTCCAAGGAACTAAACATTTACTTTAAATTTTATATCTGCAACCTTACACAATATAAACCTTAAAACTTAAGACTGTAAAAGATCAATGTAAATATCAAAGTTCTGTACTTTCTCTAGTTATATTTCTGAAATTTGGCCTCTCTTTCCTTATAGATTCATGAAAATGTTGAACAACTTGACACACAGGATAATTCGCAAGAAATTCAGCTGTAAAGACGACCTGGAACTAGTATAATATGACCGTCACTAGGTTATGTTTTATGATAGCTTTTTTAATGATTTAGCAAAGGCATAAATAAAACCTTTCAGTTGCAGGGAATTTTGAATAGCAGGAAACAGACTGTATGAACTCAACAATGCCGTCTCTTAAAGTTTCATTCTTTGTGGGTAACCCTGTATTTCTGAAATACAGTCGGAATTCGTTATTTAAGTTTTATGCAAGTTTTCAAGATAACCAGAATAAAGCTAAATGAATGTTATCTCTGAAAATATTAGTACAGTTGCCGAGGATATTTCAATTTGTAACTGTTAAAACAGCCTTTAAAAATGAATATAGAACATATTCGGAAATATTAATAATATCCGACAGAACGAAGTCGGCATTAATTTCATTTTACTCTGGTTATCACTGTACACAAATCTTTATAAAACTACTGTTATAATTAATGATTTTTCATGTTAGCGTTAATTATGTTATCTGGGGCTACCTTCTTATTTGCCAACAAATTTCATACAACATTAGAGGACTTTTTGCCGGCCCTGGAAAAGCATGAACTGAATTTTGTCCTGTACCTTGAATATAGTTTTTAAATTATGTATTTAACGATTTGACAAAAAAAGGTTGAGAGTTGTAAGGAACCAAATATATAAAAGGCTTGGAGTAAATTTCTCAAAAATATTCTTTCTGTGTATTTCAAGCTATAAATCTTTAACCCTATAAAGGAATCTATGTACAGACAGTATAACCCAAGTTTGCAAGGCTAGCACATAAAAAAATTTAAATCGATAACTGTTATAGTTTGGGTGCTAGGGAGGGTGGAAAAATTGCCCCAAAAAGGTAAAAAAAATGTAAAAAATAATTTTTTTGTTTGAAACACATATTAAAGTGTGACACATGTTTCTACATCTGGTTTTCAAGGAATTTTCTAAAATATAGTTTTAAGATCTGTAGATTTAGTCATAACAAAGTTATGAGCTATTTTAGATTTTTTTTTTTACACATATCAGACTTTTTACCACCCTGTACCCTACCCTATGCATAAAAAGAATTGCAAACAATCCTTTGAATTTTTATATATGAAAAATAAAAAAATTTCACGGTGATATTTAGTGTCAAAAATGAAAGAGCTAGGCAAAGAAAAACTAGAGGGAAGGGCACCAAACGCCCCCCCCCCCCTCAGCTAAGGAAAATTTCCTTTTTTAAACTTTGCTTTAAATTTCTTTATTTACCGATTTAAAAAAAAAAAGATGGGGGCAAGGAATGATTTTATTAGATGATAGCCACAGTGGAAATTGAACAGTTAATAATTTGTATTATTCTATTAAAATCTTGATTGCAAAGAGAAATAAGCTTTATAAATATAATAATGATCACTTAATAAGATTACTTTGATGTTTATATTTCGAATTATTTCTTAAAGAGGCCCCAATTTGACGCCATGATAAAAATCTTCTATTTCTAAGGTCCATTAGAGCTGTTTGCAACTATGGGGCCGGGATTAGAGGAACCTCTCTTTTTAGACAATTCTCTTTACAGAGTTCTAGGAACTACGTTAACACCTTGGATTTCAGAAAGACCTGAAGAAAACTTTAGGGGGGGGGGGTCAGATATTTCTCAATGATTTTTGGTTGCTTCTTTAACAATATTAGTAAGACTAACCGTTATTTAGTTAACGGAGAGATTTTCGATATTCAAAATTGAAAACTTTATACAAATGACAAAAGTACATTTTCGAGTCTTTTTAAAAGATCTAAAGGGGCTGAAAACCTTGATCCCTGTATTTTTTGGGCTACCCTATATATAGATCCTAAAGATTGCGAAAGTATAAAACAGATTGCATAGATACGATCTAATAAATCTTTAAATATTAGTTTATATGTATGGCTCACAGATTATATAAATATATATGAATGTTGGGGAATAGTTTTAAATGTCTTCTTCCATATACTGAATTAGGTGCTGAAGACTTTTTAGTTAATTTCGTTAGAAAATCTTTCATTAAAATATATTTTACTTTGAAATCAATTTACTATAATAATATGACTTTATGACTGTCCTATAATATTTTTTATCATTCTCTGAGGTATCAAACAACTTAAAAAACTATGGAAGAAGAATTTTTAAACTATTCACCAACTGTCATGTTTCGTAGGACACCCTGTACAATATTAGGTATTGATAGAAATACTTGATCATATCTATCATAAATATTGCTTGCAAAGTCGTCTTTCAGATTAGAATTCCAAACACAGACATGATTTCTAGAATCCTAATATAATTAGTTTCAATGTTTAAAAAGAAAAAGAAAACATTATAGTTTTAAATTCAATGGTTCTGTTAGGTATTGTTGTTAAACTCACATTTACCAACCTTGTTGTAGTAGAAGTACACATTTCTGTTTACGTGACTGAACGAAAACGTTCGCGAAAAAATGGGAACATTTTTGTTCGTTTTTCGCAAACTTTTTCGCGAGATTTCGCATCTTTTACGAAAATGAAATAAGCTAAAAAATGCGAAATCTAGCGGTAAAAAAATCCGCAAAAACCATAAGTTTTGTAGCTGAAACAATTTCCAAAAAAATTATCTGCTCCGAAAGCTCAGCATTAGAAGTTTTATAACTAACAATTTCTCTTATGTATTTTTTCGCAAAATTTTTGCATCTTGTTTTTCCAAATATTTTTGCATTTGTTTTTTCGCAAAATGTTCGTAATTTTTCGCGAAATTTTCGCATTTCTTATTTCTTGAATGGATATATGATCGTTACTTTAACCCGCCTGTAACAAAAGGTTTTAGAACGGTTTGTTTAAAACTTTTTTAATTTATTCTCGTCATCACGTCATTTCAATCCATTGTGTGATTTGTCTTTGCCACAAACTCAAATCTTTGCAACCTGATGGTGTAAACCTTAGATATTTAAAACTTACATTATTTGATCTAACATAATTCAAAGTTACCACATTTGGTTGCAAAGATATAGGGATTAGAAAGGTTGTGTCAAAAATTTTATTCCTTTCCATGTATTAATTTCTGTTAATGTACATTTATATGATAAACACGTTTTAATTTTAGAAATTTATTTTAATGCAATATTCTAGATTATGTTTTCACAAACCAAATTACCTAGCCAACACTTTTATTATGGAATAAAATTAAACTTCCGGGGAATAAAATTTTTTTAATTTGAAACAAAAATTGTGCTGTGTAAACAGACCCATTAAACTTGACAGCTGAATTAATAAGTTACTTTGCTTTGTAAAAAACCTTAAATACACTTAAGTATTGCAGCAATGTCGTCTTCCTTTTTCTACAGTTTCTGGTTCTTATTGTAAAATTCACAGATTTTTCTTTTTCTCCCGCACCTGGTGATATATCATCACTCTTAGGTAATTAGTTAAATTTTTGATAAAACCCTTAGATATTATATAAAATTTTCCTCATGGGATTTTGCAGGTGTTAAGGTCTTTTCAGGGAAAAGCTAGTTTTAAGAAACATAATTAGTCTCAATAAATAATAATAATAATAATAATCTCAAAGTGTGACATGTTTCTACATGCATTTTTCAAGGGCTTTTCTAAAATTTTTTAGATCTGTAGCTTTAGTCACTAAGTTATGGGCTATTTTTGATTTTTTTTCACATACCGAACTTGTTTTCCGCCCTGTACTCTACCGGCTACCCTATAAATAAAAATAAAAATTTACAAAATATCCTTTAAATTGCTATTCATTGAAAGTCACAAAATTTCACGATGATAGTGCTAGGACAAAAAAACAAACGCCAAACGCCCCCCTGCAGCCTGTTTATGTTTAATTTAAAGACCTAAAGATCCAAATTGGACAGCAAACGAGTTATCTTGTATAAAGTCAATATTCCGCAAAATGCGTAATTCTAAAACTTTTACAAAAGAATTTTCTTCATATGGTCTTTATATGACTGATGTGAGTTTAAACCAGGGGTAAGATTTCTTAACGAAATTTTCCGAGTTTTTAACTGAAAAGCTAAGAATTGCATTTTAGGAGTAAGGTCTCAAGGTTTAGAAAAACAAACAAGAATCCTTTTGTTTTCGGAAAATCAAAGTTCACATCTAGATAATCTGGATTAGCTAAAAAAAAACTGTGGTCAAAACTCAGAGGAATGAACAGAAAAAAATAGTTTTATTTAATTGTTAACTGTAATTCAGTATTTTTTAAAAAAAGAGTTTTTTATGTCCAATTCTTTAAAAGGTTTTAAATACCCCTCCTTAAACAAGCCGTTCCCCCCCCTCCCCCTCCCCCGACTCACGGAAAAGTTCGTTAATTAGATCGACCCCCACCCCAACTCAATATTCACACATCTACACAGTTTGTTTTTAATCTTTGTGAAGAAACAATCTCAAGGAATAATAATTGTCTAAAAATATTTTTTTAGAAAGTGAATATTTGCAAATTATCTTTTTTCCATCTCATAATCTGAGTTCTTTTCCCTTATGTCCATTTGACAGCCCAAATTTTTATTTTGAATAATCTTTTTGTTTGTTTATATTCTTGTGATTTTTACATTTTTAAATTTTTTTTTTATCGATTTTGATGGTTATTATATCGTTAGAACTGACGAGGGTCAACCCAGACCGAAATATATTTTCAATAAATGTGGGACTAACATCTACTTTTTTACTCTACAGAGGTTTGGTCCATCACCATCACTGAATGTTAAAACATTTATGTACTTCTAAGTAGACAAAGAAAATGAAGTATGAATTGATGTATGTGCTGATATAAAAATGAATATGTGCACGTACATAATAATATTTAAAAAGGGCAAATTTTATGCGACAACATCTGTTAGCAGTTCTGGAAACAGTCTTGAGGTTTCTGGTAGCAGTAATGAGATTTTTGGTAGCCACCCGAAGGTTTCAGGTAGCAGTCTTGTGATTTCTGGTAGCAGTCTTGAGGTTTCTGGTACCTTAAGGTTTCAGGTAGCAGCTTTGTGGTTTCTGGTGGCAGTCTTGAGCTTGAGGTTTCTGGTGGCCGTCTTGTGGTTACTTGTGGCAGTCCTGGTGACAATCCTGGTGGCAGTCCTAGTGGCAGTCCTGGCGGCAGTCCTGGTGGCAGTCCTGGTGGCAGTCCTGGTGGCAGTCCTAGTGGCAGTCCTGGCGGCAGTCCTGGTGGCAGTCCTGGTGGCAGTCCTGGTGGGAGTCCTGGTGGGAGTCCTGGTGGGAGTCCTGGTGGCAGTCCTGGTGGCAGTCCTGGTGGCAGTCCTGGTGGCAGTCCTGGTGGCAGTCCTGGTGGCAGTCCAGGTGGCAGTCCAGGTGCTTCTGATGTTAGAACATTGTTCGAACTACAATATTTGGATCTCCATCAAGTTGAAGAATTCCATAAGGCATTCATTAAAGGAAAAACTGTTGATAATTACTTATTTCATGCTTGGTTAGCAATGAAATTGGCTAGTAGTAAACCAACTGAAAAGGAAAGTTTTGAGCTTTTCCTTCATCAGTATTAACCTAATTTGCGGCCAGCCAAGAAGAAAAAGGAAACCATCAATTGGGACCTTCCCAATAGATGGAATATGAGTAGTCAAGGATGGAAGTCATCCTAAAAGGACGGGAAGAGTCTGATGGTTCCCAAGAAAAAAGGGTTCGTGGTCGAGGACGTGGGAGAGGTCGTCCTAAAGGGTCAACTCAGGGTAGGAGAGGTTCCTCTGCTGTGGATTCTGATTAGCTTCCTTTTCCATAAGTTGATGTCTTTATTTAAAACAAATATAAATTGTGAGCAGTTTTCATTTCTTTTTTATCCATTCCTAATCTGGATATAATTGTCTTTTAATTTCCATTGGACAAATATTGCTGTGTTCAAATATTTTTGAGATAAAAATCGTAATTCCAAAGAGTATTGAATATATTTGTTTGCATTACCATCCTATTTTTTTTTATTTTTAGCCAGATTATTTGAACTGGCATATCTTTCTATCCTTGCATTTTATCAACAAATTTATAAAATAAAATTTTCCGGGTTGTCTTTCATAGTGTTTTAAAAAATTTAACTTTCTATGCTGCATAGTTTTTCTTTATATGGTGTTAAAAGATATATTGTTATGTACGTACACAGATTAATACAGTCGCTGCACTACTAATATGATTTTGCACATAGCACCCCTTGTTGAAAACTTACATAAATCACTAACCTAAAATCGGAAAAAAAACTTTTGTCAACACTAACAAATTAATAAACCGAAAACTATTATGAAGGTGCACTTTACTCTACGACATTTGGTTTCAAAGATATAAGGATTAAAGTTTGAAACAAGACCTCACAAGCATGAGTGCTCGCCGTTCATTTAGGCTAACTCAGATTAGAAAATGTCTTTTAAAAACTTAAAATTATTTCTACTTATGTATATTTGCTTCTTTAAAGAAATAATGTTTTTTTGTTGTGCGATGTAAAAAGGCCCATATCACTGAATAAGTGATTCAATAAATTACTAATAGAACTACAGGGTCTCCCACATTGCATATTAGATCTTTAATCGGTTAAAATTACGATTTCCAGACTAATCAGATAATTTAAGAAGAATATATCATTTTGAAAAATTGAAAAAGGCTAATATAAGAATAATTTTCTTGCAGAAAATGCTAGGTATTTTGGGTTTAATTTGGCGTTAAAACTTGGAGATAATCTATTATGATATGGGACGCTCTGTACTTGCAACATTGCAACAGCATAAAATAAAATTAATAATTACTTTAACATCGTCTTCCTCTTCTACAGTTTTCTGGTTCTCACTGTACATAATAGTTGGAAAGCTGTGACTAGGTGTGTATACATGCGAATAGTGTGTGATGGGACTCTTGAAAAACTACATTTGGACTTTTTTGGATAATTTTAGTTTTAAATCATCAAACCAGATGGGTTATTGGTTTAAGATTAGAACTTATATATAAGCAACACTAGACGACAATATTTTTATATTTAAAAATCTGTTTAATTTTACAAAAAGTTGTAAACTTTTGTTTAAGGTTTTATTATTATTTGAATATAATCGGATTTTTGCTAATACGGAAACCATAGAGTTTAAGCCTGTTAACTTTGCAAGTACCTCTTCTAAACTATAAAGTAGAAAGTCTATCAGTAGTAAAGATAAAAGTAAAATAAAAGTTCTTCTAAATATATAAAAGCATTAAAAAATTTAAGATTTAAGAACTTGGTAGTCAGTAAAATATCTTGATTTTAGTTCTAAAGCAAAGGTTAAAGGAATTGAGTTTTTGCCACAAACTCCGATTCTTTATCCTTATATCTTTGCAACCCGATGTCTTAGACCTTTGATATGTCAAATTATGAATTCTGGTGGATCAAAAAGACTAGATTTGAAATATCAAAGGTTTACACAAACAGGTTGCAAAGATACATGAATTATAAAATTTGAGTTTGTTTCAAAAATTCAATTCCTTTGCAGGAAAATTCATAAAAGGAATTGAGCCTTTGCCACAAAATCTGATATGCTAATCCCTAAATCTTTGCACCCCATTGTCGTCAACCTTAAATATTTCAAAATAATAATTACGTTAGATCAAACAATCTAAGTTTAAAAAGTTTAAAATGTCAAGTTTTTATGCATTCAGGTTGCAAAGATGGGATTAGAACATTTTAGTATTTGGCAAAGAATCAATTCCTTTGGAAAGCCTCAGTCCAATACTTTTGAAGATATGAAAAAAAAACTACGGGGGGGGTAAATTTGCCCCCCGCCCACCCAGCAGGAATAGGGTTAACAAATCATTTTTTCCAAACAGTTCATTGATCTATTTATTTCTAAACAATGTTGAAGAAATGTCTGTTTGTGCGTGAGTGTGTGTATGTTTATTATCACATTGTTAGCCAAGTGTTAGAAAGTATTTAAGCTCTACAAAACCTCGGGAAATAAATATTTGGCAAATTCTCTAATTCCGGGCATTTTCATTATTTATAGATACCGTTGTTCATCTGTTTATCTATTTATCTATTTATCTATTTATTTGTTTATCTATTTATCTATTTATCTATTTATCTGTTTATCTGTTTATCTGTTTATCTCTGTGTATCTGTTTATCTGTTTATCTGTTTATCTGTTAATCTGTTTATCCATTCATCTATTTATCTAGTTATCTGTTTCTCTGTTTATATATTCATCTGTTTATCTATTTATCTATTTATCTTTTTATCTCATTGTGTTTATCTGTTTATCTGTTTGTTTATTTAGTTGTTTATATTTTTATCTATTTATCTTTTTTTTTTGTTTATCTGCTTATCTTTTTTTCTGTTTATCTGTTTATATTGATTATCTTTTTTCTGCGTATCTATTTGTCTTTTATTTCTGTCTACACCTTTGTTTATCTGTTTGTCTGTTTTGATTTTTATCTGTTTATCTGCTTATCTATGTATCTTTTTATCTGTTTACCTGTTTATCTTTTTATCTTGTTATCTGATTATAAGTTTATATGATTATCTTATTACCTGATTATCTGTTTATCTGCTTATCTGTTGATACATTTTTGTTTCAGACCGTGGTTTTTCTGCGTATGGAAAAGTCCACTGAGTGAAAAACATTGTGCAACAAATATTAATCAAGTAGGTCAACTTGTAGTTTACATTAATTCAAGTAGGTCAACTTCTAGTTTTCATTAATTCAAGTAAGTCAACTTTTATTTTTTCACTGAATCAAGTAGGTCAAATTGTAGTTTTCATTGAATCAAGTAGGTCAAATTGTAGTTTTCATTGAATCCAGAAGGTCAAATTCTAGATTTAATTAATACAAGTAGTTCAACTTGTAAATTTCATTAGTTCAATTAGGTCAACTTGTAGTTTTCATTAATTCAAGTATGTAATCTTGCAGTTTTCTTTGAATCAAGTAGGTCAAATTGTAGTTTTCATTGAATCAAGTAGGTCAAATTGTAGTTTTCATTGAATCAAGTAGGTCAAATTGTACTTTTCATTGAATCAAGTAGGCCAATTTGTAGTTTTAATCGAATCAAGTAGGTCCACTTTTAGTTGTTTTTATTAATTTAAGTAGATCAGCTTGTAGTTTTCTTTGAATCAAGTAGGTCAAATTGTAGTTTTCATTGAATCAAGTAGGTCAAATTGTACTTTTCATTGAATCAAGTAGGCCAATTTGTAGTTTTAATCGAATCAAGTAGGTCCACTTTTAGTTGTTTTTATTAATTTAAGTAGATCAGCTTGTAGTTTTCATCGATTCAATTTGGTTAAATTTTAGTTTTCATTTAATCAAGTAGGTCAGCTTATAAATGCACAGGTTTAGTTTTTATGATGATTAAAGTCTAGATATTTAGATATATCTATTGTTAAGTATTACTTTCTTTTTTGCTTCATTAAATACCGTGCGTAGCCGTTGGTTTTACGTACTTTTATTACAGTAAATAATTCCCTTTTTTACCATTTGATTTTTTTATAGTTCAAGACTGTTTAATACTTTTGAAGTTGGGGATATCATATGCAAAGACTCAATTGTTGGTCTCTGATTGAGTTGAAATAGGTGGTATAATCGGTAATATTTCCTACCATGATAAAACGAGGAGCTGAAGAAAAGATGTTCCTACTTTTACAGAAATAAATCATGAAAGTTACGCAAAAGAAAGCTTTGCGGAGGAACTTGACATGATTAATACAATTGACAAGGCTAAACATGCAGCTTAATTATTTATATCAGGGAGATTAGGACCAATCGACCAGGGGGGGGGNGTTGTTGACAGCCGCCCCTCTGTCCTCCTACATCCGTCAGGTGGTCATAACTGCTAAACCAGATGTCGGCTTCAGATGTTTTTGAAACCACAGGTTTGTGTGGAGTACGGGAATCGAACCCGTGAACACCAGTCTGGACACCAATCCAGTTACTGGCTGTGGACAAGTGTGCTTAACTTCAGTGATCTAACGAGAACTGGTGTCACACACTCTCCACCCCACCCCATTATGTTATTATTATTATTATATTAAGAGAGACATATTGTCCTACAGTGAGAACCAGAAAACTCTGGAATAGGAAGACGACTTGTAGACTTAAGTTCTGACTTTATCTTTAATTGTGGCATTATCTGTGAGCATCTTCTCTTTGAACAGTATAAAACAAAAACAAAAAAAAGTTTGCGGATTTTATAATATTTTTTCGCGCATTTTCTAAATTTTACAAAAATTAAAAATTTATAAACACAAATTTTTTAAATTTTGATCATTCATAAACCTTCCCTGGGGTCACGTGAGGTTCCACACAAAATTTGGGCCCCATCAGTTTAGTCGTTTTGACGTTTATTGGATACAAACATACAATCTAAATTTACACATAGACTAGAAAATCAAGGCGCTTCAGGCCCTTCTTTCTAGGCTTTTAGGGAGCTTCGCGCACATCTTCTATTTAAATTGTGAACATGTTCTTTTTGTTTTCATTTCAAAACAAAGAAGAAAAAAATTTTGCGGATTTAAAAAAAAAAATTCGCGGATTTTCAAGAATTTAAATTTTTTTTTACAAAATTAAAAACCTTTAAAAAACATTTTTTAAAATTTTTATCATTCTTAAACCTTCCCTGTGGTCACGTGATGTCCCACAAAAAATTTGGGCCCCATCGGTTCAGCCGTTTTGACGTCTATTAAATACAAACAAACAAACAGACAAGCTAAACTTATACATAGATTAAAGATAAATTTAGTTTGCAGATACACTAGCTAAAATTATTATTCAGCTAAATATTTAATCTCCCAAGTCCGTAGTGCATCAACATTATAACAAATTTTTAAGAGAGAGGGTTTGTTTACAAGTTTCCACTGAATTAACAAAGGAATGTCAACTACTCCCAGAAAAATTGAGAGATTCAATGACCAATCCGAGAGCGAAGGCACAGTGTTAACCAGAACACTGTAAAATAGGAAGACGACATTAAAGCAATACTAAAGTGCATTTGATGTTGCTACTAAGAAAATAGCTTTAGTAGTACGCCATTAAATCACTAGTTAAACGAAATGGTTCTGTTTACACTGGACAATTGCTGTTTTTCATGTTCGTTTGACAATTTTCAATTTTACCACTGGTTCCCTCGAACAATATTGGTCTTATTTGAAATTCAGTGATGGTGATGGACCAAACCTCTGTAGAGTAAAAAAGTTGATGTTATGTTTAAGTAAAATTCTCGTACCTATCATGTAAAGAAGTTGTAAATTTTTATTAAAACTCTACCAAATCAATCATTTTTTAAATCAATCCAACTATTTATTTTTAACTACATCGTAATAAAAAGATTTTATCCTAGGTATTACCTGCTTGTAAGAATACAAGAATAAATATTCATGGAAATAATTCATCCTGCTCCATCGAACTTCAGGTGATATTGCCATTTTATCATTCATTCAACTTATATTTATTTGTCATTTACTCAATTTACATTCATTTTGTCATTTATTAAATTTCTTTTTATTTATTTACTCATTCAATTTCTCTTCATCCTGTTTTTCATTCAATTTATTTTCGTTCAATTCCTTTTAATTTCATTCAATTTCTATTCATTTACTTATGCATTCAATTTCTTTTCATTTATTCATCCTTTCAATTTGTTTTCATTTATTTATTAATTCAATTTCTATTAATTTCTATTCATCTAGCCATTCATTTAATTTCTTTTCATCCTGCAATTAATTCAATTTCTTTTTATTTAGTTATTTTATTCACCTATGATGTATTAGTTTTAAAAGTTTCAAAAAATCTGATTTTCTTACACTGCACAGTGCCAAATCTTAACCTTAGATATATGCAAAAAAGAACGAAATTTATGAAAATAAATTAAAAGACTGAATAGTAAATAAATAATTCAATAGGATGATTGAACAAAGTCAAAGAAAGAAGAAACTGAGAAATGAATACATGGATGAATATTTTTATAAAAATAAATTATGAATAAAATAGTTAAACGGATATTTTCAGATTAATTAATAAAAAATAAATTTAAAAAAAGGGTATATTGAATATTGCAAGGTTGGATCACATGACCATGGTGCCTGGAGCTGTTTGATAACCTATGATGTTGACTATCAAACACAGGTATCTATTCAAAATTTAGAGATCAATTTGGAATTTTTTCCAAATTTACAAAAACAGGGCATTTTTTGTTGATAATATTTTTCAAATATGGGGTCAAATTTGTATGTCAAATTCCTTGTCAATCAAAAACTAATTTGTCTACCAACCCCTAGGATCTTCAATTGAAGTACATGTCGTCTTACTTTTAAATATTAAAAGTTTTATCTTTTCTCCCTTCATGAAGAGTGTATTAACCGAGTAATAAAACCGATAACCAGATAAAATATTTTAGTTAAATTAAATTCTGGGTATTTAAATCAAAANAGCGTATAAAATAAAAGGAAATAAAATATTTTTCATTTTTTTTTATATTTTTAGAAAATGTTCATAGACCTTGAAGTAAGCCTGCCTCCATCCGAGGTTAATATTTTTGAAATGAGGTATAATTTATAAGAGTTAAAGGAATTAATCGCCTTTTTAGAGAAACACATAATTTTTAAACTTTCGGGATTAGGTGCACAACTCAGCCCATATAGTACCTAGCTCTCAAAGATGTTTCTGAAACAAGAATCCTCATTAACATCTTTGAGTGAAAAAGATGGCCCACTTATGGCTCGCATCCTAAAATATGTTTTGAAATATGTGAGCAAAACATTTGAATTAACCAAAAAAAAAAATGATAAAAAGATATAATCTCTTCTCTTGGTTCTCTTTAATCTCTTCTGTTTTAGTTCTCAGCGAGTCAGCAATAAAACTGAGAAAAAGGAAATGCTTTAAATGATAAATTAGTTTTTTGATTAAACCTGACAATGAAAATACCTGAAAATAATTTTCCCTCAGAGATTTTTGACAGATATCCTCAATCCCAATTAAGAAAAGAACGTCTCTGGAATCGAAAACAAGGGACTCTCTTTCCAGCGGTATTTTTTATAAAATCTTGCGGTGAGCATTTATTTCCAGTTTTTTAATGAAAAAAAAGTTTTTCGTGACCTTTTTACACTTAGAGATTCTTATATTTATTATTATTGGTTATTACCAATTCTATAACATTTCTACCAAATATTCTAAGTAATATAATATTAGTTGATAATAAACATCATAATGATCAATAAGATTGATCATTGTCTTCGCTCTTTCTTTAAATAATAAATATTTAACTAAAATGCCCTCGACATTTTTGCAAAGAACTTAAAAGATGCACAGATACAATTACAAAATTGCTAACTGAATTTCTACAGCGGAGTGAAGACGACATTTATAGGTTGGCACTTTTTTATTTTTTATTTGCACTATAACACGTCCTCTGTAAACTGAGGTTCTTTTTAAAGTATGAAGCAAACCTATGGTCCCCCTGGACCATTTGCATAGTACTAGTACTCATACTAGCATGATAGAAGACAACATGGGACATTGTTATTTAATTCTAGTATCATTCTAGTATGAGATTCAGCACTATTTTCTAGTTGCTGTTAAGTGCCTAACTTGTTCTGAAGAACATGTATTGTTATCACAGGAAAATACAAATATAATTTAAAGCGTTTCACGTTAATTAGTCATTACACGTTGAAAAAGCTGAGGAGGATAGTTTAGAAGATTCACTGATGGATGATCAGCTGATTCAAGGGGAGCCAGGCCAGCTGATTACTGTCACGTGTTCAGCTTTCAGAGCTTATCCTCGGTAAGTCGTCTTCAAGTTCACAGATTACATGAAAACTAGTAAACAGTTAAAATGCTGAAAACTTTGTCAATATTCATCAATTAGGGATTAAACTTGAGCCTTGGTGAAGAATTTATCAAGGACAGCAACCTCATTGTCTATTAATATTAGATAATGGAAAACAAATGTTTGTTGTGGTAAAGGTCTTGTTAAATAATTGAGAATAGATGTTGATAACCAGTTCTCGAGGACTGGTTTTATAAATATATAAAATCTCAGTTTACCTTAATACCCACTCAATATCCTTGATTTCCAACAGACTATCTAATATTTATGTATAAACTGTTTTTTAAGTAGATTTTGCTTTGTAACGTGTAAAAGTGATGTTTTATAGTGAACTGAATGATGTTTTAAAATTCGGTGATGGTGATAGACCAAACCTCTGTAGAGTATGAAAAGTAGATGTTAGTTCCACATTTATTGAAAATATATTCGGTCTGGGTTGACCCTCGTCAGTTCTAACGATATAATAACCATCAAAATTGATAAAAAATGAATTTTTTTTGTAAAATATCACAAAAAAATAAACAAACAAAAAAGATTGTTCAAAATAAATTTGTTTGGAAATAAGATTTAATCATTTGTAGCACAACGTGCTCAACGTCAGAGATTTTAAATTTTCAATGGAACAAGTTGAAGGGCCCGGCGTTGCCCGTGGCAAAAATTTTTTTTTTAACTTAAAAAAAAAAATGGAAAAAAATTTAAATTGGAAAACAAATTTTTGAATTTTTTAAGCCAATTACAGTATAACACCCCTCGGCCACCCATGAGTGTCCACAAAAAATGTCAGCCCAATCGGTCCAGTCGTTTAGCCAGCTATAGGCAACAAATATATATACGAATGTCTAGTTTTATTATAAAGATTATTAATAAGGTGTGTAGGTGAATTGTACATAATTATATCTATATATACTATACAGGCCTGTGTACGCTTGGGATCTTTATTCAAACGGAGAAAACGAGAAACCTAGAGATTTTGAAGTTGTAGATCAACAGGTATGGTACATAAAGTACATGCAGTACATTACATACATTTGATACATTACATACAATACATACAGTACATGTGATTGTCATATTTTGATTGAAAATGATTAATTTTAGTTTGACATTGTTGAAAACCATTACTGGATCAATAGCAGCCAAGCAGTCAGGTATAATTACGCGGCATTGTTAAGCAAATCGATTTGTTTATTAAAATCATCTGTTTAGATTTAAAATGAAATCAGATATGAATAACTCCTTGCTTATCTGCTCTACAAGGTAATTATATTTTCAGTAATAGCGGTCTCAGGGTAATCTTCTTTGTTATCATTTAGTTATCCTCTAAGTGATTTGCTTGGTTATCCTCCATCAAGTTATCATTTTGGAGATTTTATTGGTTATCCTCCTTGGAATCCTTTTAGTAATTTTCTTGGTGATTAATTCCATGATCCTTTTAGTTTTCTTTTAGTTATCCTCTCAGTTATCTTCTTAGTTATCCTCTTAGTTATCCTCTCAGTTATCCTCTCAGTTATCCTCTCAGTTATCCTCTCAGTCAGCTTATTGGTCATTTTTTCGGTATACCATGTAAGTTATTATTTTGGTGATTCTTTCGTCAAACCATTTAATTTATACAAGAGATGGTAGTAAAGGGGGTTGAGGTTGTGATCAGGTTTTCATGTAGACAATCTTTTATGTTGACAGAACTAAAAATAATTCAACTAGTAAAGATGAGATATGAACATTTTTTATGAGAATCCTTACGATAAGTAGAAAAAGAAAAGAAAAACAACTGAAAAATGGTAATAATAGTATAAAAAATCCCACAACTGATAGACTCCCCGCTACCACTTATTATTTTATTGCACCTTTTACTGCCTTACATTTCGTGCCATTACTTTATTTACATTGTTATTGTAAACTATATAACCACATTCTACATCATTTTCAACAATTACAGTTTTTATTTTAAATTCTACTTTTTCATGTTTGAATTAAAAAAAGAAATTAAGAATGGGGGTATGATTTATTGATACAATAAAGTTTCCATGAAAAAAGGGTAATCATTTAATAGTCACATAAACGTAATTTTACCCTCATATATACATATAATTTGCAATAGTTGGGTAAGGACTAATAAAATAATTATCAAAAATGTGTAATTTTAGACACTTCTGTCAAAAAAAAATTGTGGCGACTAAAACTGATGAATTCTTAATTATTATAAATTTAAATTTAAAGGAATTGAGTCTTTCCCACAAACTCTGAATTTTTAATCCCTATATCTTCAGAACCCAATGTCGTAGACCTTAGATATTTCAAACTATGAATTGTGTTAGTTCAATTGATTTAAGTTTGAAATATAAAAGGTTTACACCATTAGGTTGGTAAGATATAAGCATTAGAAAATTTGAGTTTGTGACAAAAACTCAATTCCTTTACCAGCGAAATAAAGAACTTGGTTATTGTTTGAATTTATTGAGAAAACCTAAAATTGTTCAAACATCTAATGTTATTTTTTTAAAGATATAACAAGTATTTTGACAAGCTTATCGTAAGTCATACAACCCGGTTGGATCTACACGTACATTTACGATCTGTGAGTTAAGTCTCTCGGTCATTATTATATTTTTTTTAAAAGAGATTTTTTTGTCATTTTGGTCATCTTCCAAGTTATCCTTATTGTTATACTATTTAGTGATTTATAGTGTTTTTAATTCAGTAATTAATTTTAATAGTCTTCTAATCATGTCTGTCACTTTTTATCATTAAAACATTTTTTAAAAAAATTTAAAATTTTAACTTCTTTTTACAAAATAGAGCAAAACACTGAAAAATACGACAGTCCCCTGGTTTTAATTCTTCTCATGTTCAATGTATAGGCAGCAAGTTCTTCGGTACTTTTGCTTTTTTCTATTTGCTCCTTTACCTCCCATTTCTTTAGATAACCAAGTTCCCACTTGTATATTAATGTGATGCACGGTAAAAGTACAGTTTTACACTTTGTGTGTACTGTGAACAACTAAAGTACACAATAGTTTGTATACGTATTCAAAAACCTGATAAGAAAACTCTTGTGTAAGATAAGTTTTTCAAAAAATTTGTTTCTAGTCGAAAAATAAAAAAAAATGCACAATAACCTGAAACGCAATGTATATTAATATAAAGTTGTCTGCAGGCAGTATGACAGGTTGAGCGGAGATCTAGTTTTAGAAACTCAGAAAACTATCAAATTAATGGTTTCAGCTCCGCCACCTCTTCCATTCAAAACGTAAGCAAAAGATCTGAAAACTTGCCACAAACTCTAATTTTCGAGTTCCCATTTCTTGCAACCTGTTGTTGTAAACAGTTGATATTTCATGCTTAGAATATTGGAAATTTGAATTGATGTTTGAAATATCAAAGATTTAGGTCATCTGGTTGCCAAAACAAAGGGATTTGAAAAAGGTAATTTTTGGCGAGTGTTTAATTTCCATAATTTTTTATTGTTTTTTGTACAAGTTAAATAATTTTAGTTTGAGAGCGAGAACTCGGGGCGTTGTTCTTTTACTATTTCTTCTTGTATGTACAACAGGTGAACAATCAAATTATGTACATGTACACTGTACAGTGGGGCTCAAAAATCAAAAATCAAAAATTCCTTCGTAAATAATTAATGACAATGAAATTCTTTTTAGATAATTGCAAAATATCAGTTAACCAATATTTTTTACTATTAAGGACTTTGTGTTTGTTTATTGGGTCTTCCTTTATGCTACTGTAGACGTTGGCAAAAAAGGTGATTTCCAAAATATAAATAAAAAAAAATAAACTTAAATGTACTTTATCCTAAATTTTAGGAAAGACGATGATCCTTTCACTAACCAGATTTCCCAATCATGTTCTTTAGGAATCATTCACTTTATCAATAGAAAAATAAAATTCTTATAAAAAATAAAGATTTTATAGTGGGCACTAGACGACGACTTATTAAAAAAATCGATCTGAATAAAGTAGCACTCATAAATTTTTCAACTTTCTAAAAAATTGTTGAAACATTCTTTTACATAGTCTACTCCTCCTTTAGAATTGTTGTACTAAAAGTCTAAAATAGAATAAAACTTTTTACAGTGTAGTCTAATCTGAACTTTATGCAAAATTTCCTTATTCTCAATTTAATATCATTTACTAGAATAAAGCAAAATATTAATGAATGATTTGAAAACAGAAAGCATCTCCAAGCTTCCACAAAACAATAAAGAAATTTCAACGATTCAAGAAATATATAAAAACAATAACCAAATAACAACAATTCAAGGGATATTTCAAAACAATAACCAAATAACAACAATTCAAGGGATATTTCAAAACAATAACCAACTAACAACAATTTTAGGGGTAATTAAAAAAAATAACAACAATTCAAGGGATATTTTAAAACAAAAACCAAATAACAACAATTCAAGTTATATTTCAAAACAAAAACCAAATAATAACAACTCAAGAGATATTTTAAAACAAAAACCAAATCAATTCAAGGGATATTTTAAATCAAAAACCAAATAATAACAATTTAAAGAATATTTCAATACAATAACGGACGGTTCGCGTCCACTCTTCATCCTCTATAATCACCACAGTTTATCCATGGTAAATATTAAGAGGCATTTTTGTTATGATTTCTTCTCAGAAAGATTTGAAAATCAAATTTTGAAAGTCGTCTTACGGAGAAAAATCCCCTGGATTTTGACATACATATTTTATTAAGTGTTTGACCATTGAATACATAGAAACCGTATGCCTTTGCAACCTAATGTCGACGTATACCTTTACTAATTTAAAATACGAATTCTGTTACCTATGGACCTAAGGTTGAAATGTTAAAAGTTTACACCATCGGGTTTCAAAAACATAAGGATTTCAAAATCCGAGTATGTAGCAAAACCTCATTGCCTTTGTAACAAACAATAGAATTACTATGTTGATATTAATATGTTTTGAATATTTAGGATTAAAACAAAAGAATGATGACAGGTATTAAATTACATCTAAAATGTCCAAAGTTGAATATTTTTCATATAAAAATTCTGATTGAAAGAATAATAACTATTATTTAGAAAACCAGGGCATCCAAGTGATTCAATGCATTTACAGGTGAATATATACATTTTTTATCAAAATTTATTTTGAAAAATAAAGAATATATATACATGTAATATAACATACGGTGAGTGACATAAAACTGTGAAATATGTAGACGATTGGTAGCTCAATTTATGATTTGATATAGTCCAATGAACATGAAACACGGCCATTGTGCAGTGTAAACCGACCCATTTAACTTTTTTAATAAGCTAGTGGTAAAACAATATTACTTTGTAACAACATGAAATACACTAAATTACTTTAATGTCGTCTTCATATTTCACAGTTCTCTGGTTCTCACTGTAATAATACTGTGATATAACCAATTGAAAGCCGAATAGTTTTCATCTTATACCTTATCTTTAATAGAAATATTAAAACATTCTTGAGAAATTGAAATGAAAACAAGGTTTAAGATATATTTAATTTCTACAACATTATATGTATTTAATTTAGTTTGGTCCTAATGGATCGTCATCACAGAGAAGTATTCCAGATCAGTTGAATCGTAGAGATCATTCACACCCAACATATCCTAGAGATCATACAAATCTCAAAGATTATTTAAATCATACAGATTATATAGATCATAAAAACAGATATTCAGATCTCAAACATAAAACTCATTCTGTGATCATTGAAACTAAACCTGAATATACCTTAGATCATGATTATCAGAACCAAGAACCAATTGTAGATGGATCAACAAGGATCAACGGTTCCAGTGAATACAGAACCAGGAACCAGGGTTCATTTTATGATAGAACCAGACACCAGAGTTCCATAGATAGAACTACAGACCACTGTTCCATTGATGATAATACAAGGAACTTAGGTTCCATAAACGATAGAACCATAAATCCTGACTTTACCGATGATAGAACCAGAAACCAGGGTTCTATAGATGACAGGACAAGGAACCAGGGTTCTTTTGATGATAGGACAAGGAACCAGAATTTTATAAATAATAGGACAAGGAACCAAGGTTCCATTGATGATATAACAAGGAATCAGGGTTCCATCGATGTTAGGACAATGAGCCAGGGTTCCATTGATGATAGGACACGAAATAAAGATTCTACCGATAAAACCACAGACCCTGATTCTACTGAGAATAAAGATGAATCTACACCTGTACACGTCTCACCTGACAAAATGATTTTATCCATCAACAATCTGAGCAGAAATATTCCTGCTAATATCTCTGAATCCTTATCTGAAGATTTGAATGACTCATCAACCCGATTGTATGTGTTTGGCTCTGAGGAGGAGATGAGTAAGATATTTCCAAGTTCTCCGATAGCTCTGAAGTATACGGTGAACTCGGGGTACACAGGGGATGCGGATCAATTGGAACCAAAGAAAAAACTATCCTTATTCTACTGTAACGAGGGTTGCTTTAGGAAAGAATATTCATAAAATTTGACGAAAAATGAAAAATGATAAGTAAAATTTTTCTAAGAACTGGGGGCACTAATAATTGGTGGCATTAAGCCTTTTTTGATTCAAAGTTTGAATATTTAGATTTCCGTGCTTATTTAAAGGAACAATTATAAGTTTAAACTTTTCGGTAAGTTGCGTTTTCACGCTCAAATACAATAAAAAGTACCATGCTTCTCAAACAGCTTTTAGAGAGCTTACTTACTGAAGATAATTTTTTGATTTACTCTAAAAAAATAATTCTAAATATTCTGCCTAGGCAAGATTCACCGTGCACTCACAGTTTAGAATCAGTTCCTGGTTCAATCTTGTAAATGATAAACATTGGTCTACTATTCACTCATTCTTAAATAGTAGAGTTAGAAATTTAAATCAAACAAAGTTTTTGAAACCATATTCATGGATGAAACAAATAAAATAAAGGGTTGGATTAAAATTGTATAGGATAGAGTGGTCGGAATTTTTATCAAAACATTGATGACGATTTTTTATTCAAGTTTAAATTGTTAACAAGCTTTTTTCGAATTAAAAGTTAACAATCAAGCAAAGCGGCATAAATTTAAACCGCCGCTCAAATTCTTTAAATTCGGCCAATGGGAAAGGTTTAAAGTCCAAATAATTTATTAATCCACGTGAACATGCGTTGATCAGTTTTGTGGCATTTACTTTTACATTCTTTTAATTGAAGAACTAAGGCTCCCAACGTATCAATTTACATGGAAATGAACTGAACACGTGCCAAAAACTCTAATTTTCGAATCCATAAATCTATGCAACTGGATAATGTAACATTTTAATTATTCAAACTATATATTCTGCTTTATCTTTTTGTGCTAAATTGGGCTTAAATGTCATTTTGTTATTTAATCAAAATGCATTTTAAACAAAATCAAATCATATTTAAAACATGACGTTAGTTAAATATGAAAAAAGTGTAAAAAGAACAAACAAAAAATACATCTGAAAACACGTAAGCAACGCCCGGACGAAAAATGCGTGTTCGGAAGAATTAAAGGTATATTGTGACGTTATTTGTGGTGTGGACAAAAAAAATGGTGTGGTGTGCCTTCCCCCGCTCATTGTACACTGATAGAAAATATCCTCTTTATGTAATAACGTACAGCAATATTCCATGTTTAAGCTGAATTTAGTGGATTTGATGAAGAATATGTAAATCTAGTTTTATCAATTTAATTTATTTATTGAATAAAAAACTAATATGAAGTCATAAGGTTTTTTTTAGAGATTTGATACATAATCCAAAAATCTTGTAAACCCCATCAGATTTGCTTCCATTAAAAATATGCAATATTTTCTGTAAAGTCTGCAGACTATGGTCTAATTCTATAGTCATCAGAATTTAAAAATTATATTAAAATCAAAAGTATATCAAAATCAAAGTTAACTATTTAGCAGTCAAAGAAGAGAGTCTAGTGTTGGTCCAGTGAAGTTGAATAATACAATAAACAGAGAAGATTTGGGTAACCCGTGTACTGTACGGTACAGTGTACATAGTACAATATGCTTATTCTGTGCACTTTTTTTACGCTTGTTTATTTGGAGTATTTATATCAAATATTAAGTTCGAATTTTAAGGTTTGTTTGGAGAAAAGTAGGGAAACTAGGGCCCTATCAGTAAATGGAAATATTTACTTCAACTGAAACTATAGGGACTATAAAATCGGAGGGGAAATTACCCCTCTCCCCCTGTGGAATTTCAAAGGTACCCACCCCCTTCCACCCTAGGGGCTCTCTCAGTTTGATTTGATCAAAATCATGTCGCTTGTTAAGATGCAGTTACAAATCAACAATGTTAGTAAAAAGTGTATGCAAAGAACATGTGATGTGTTGTATAAAAAGCTTTTAGAAAATTAACAGAAAATCTAAATTAAATGTTATTTCTATCTCAAGTCTGTATATAGTAGATACCATATAGTCCTTAAATTCATTTCGGTTGCTAAAAAAATCCTCCTCACGCAATACACTTTTCCAATAACATTATTTTTCTTTAATTGGAAAATGTAATATTTATGAACAGAAATTGAATAAATTGTCTCGGTGATTCGGGTTGCGGGAGTGAAATGTAAAAGTTCCGGACTACCGCGTCTAGTATTGAACCTGTATATACTTGATAGTGTTGTAGTAGTAGTAGTACATATACAACCATAACTAGATAAACATCAGATAACCAATGCATACCTACGTATTGTATACTATCATTATACTGAATAGTACATCTAGCTCCTATACTCCACACCATAATTTTATAAAAATTTTCTAAATCTTCTCTAATTCAAAGTTTACAGAATACATATAGTTTACAAAATACATGAAATTTAGGCTTCTTCTTGCACAAAACTTTTACATTTTTCTTTGGTTTTCTTTTAATCATCATTACATACAAATTCTTTACTCAAAGAGACTGTACACGTCATTTTAAGTGATCCTCCGTTTATAGAGTGGTATGTCCGATTGACAAGGGTAAACTACATGTTTTTCACTTTAAAAGTGAGTTAGTTTCATAGTGGTTTCTCCGCAAAAGTGACTTCCAATTTCTGATGCAAAAACTGAGAGATCATTTATTAGAACTAAACACATTTCCAGCTAGAAAACGACAATATCTTCCACGTTATTAATCAAAAAATAAATGGTACCTTTGTGAATCAGAGTACCTCTCTTAAAACCAGGTGTCACTGAAGAGAACAGCCACTGTCCCTTATGATATCTTTAAAAGTCTCTCTCCATTTTAATTTAATGGCAAATCAAAGGAATTGAGTCTTTGCCACAAACTCTGATCTTCTAATCCCTATATTTCTGCAAATGAAATTCAGCCGCGTCTTATATCCGCCAAAAACCGGTTTAAATTGAGCACCGGCTTAAATCTTGAAAAAATAAATACAATTTTAAGTGTAACCAACCATATTTGAGCCGCGGCTTAAATTTAAGCCGTGGCTCAAGTTCTTTAAATTCGGCCTCAGTCTTCATGAACCTTCGAAAATTTCACACGCTAAATCAGACAATGAAAATTTGAAATTTCATATTGATAAGATATACCTAGGTATTAGAAATTTTGAATTTGTGGTAAAGACTCAATTCCTTTACTTTTAATTCAAAATTATTTTTCATTCATTTTTTTCTCCTTTCAATTTCGCTTTCTCTTTGTTATCTTTTTTAGCTAATCATATTCTAACAAATCTGTCCTAACTAAACGTTAGGTTCAGACCTAAGTAACAGAAAGATTGCCCTCTAGCTGTGGTTATATAAACTAGTTTAGCCCAACCCTCGAGATTATAAGAAGGGCTCTAAAACCAGATATGTCAGGTTTACTGGGAAATCTCATCAAATTCTCCAGAGTCAGGGTGGGGGTATGCCCTTTTAGATTTTCCATTTTCCCTTGAAAAGCCTAAACCAACGTTTCTTTAATGTGTATTTAACAAAACCCATATCCAGCGAACTACAGAGTGTTCTATCCAGCGAACTACAGAGTGTTTGGAAAAAATTCCACTATAATGTGAATGAAATAATTTAAGTTAAAAAGTGACGTGAAAGATAATTTAATTATTTGAAGAATTTTTTTTTTGACAGAGCACTGGGTCTTAAATTTCAATTCGACGGATAAGATTTGTCCAGTGACTAGAAGATCTGTTTTCAAGATCTTTAGGAATTTATAATCGAAGAAAGGCAAACCATAGAAACCAGTTTTTCGTGCTATAGGCATTCGTATATATGTTCCCTCTCACCCCTGGCCGGCCAAACAGCTGGACCAAATGGGCTGACATTTTTTGTGGACACTCATGAGTAGCCGGGGGGTGACATAGAATTGAAAAAAAAATCGATTAAAAAAACAAATGTTCTTCTTTTTTCCACGGGCAACGCTGGGCTCTTCAGCTAGTACAAAATATGATAACACATTTTTTAGAATTTATAATTTTGAGAATGTTCTCGTTAGTTATTTTTTAACCTCTAAAAGAGATTGAAAATGGATAGTAAAGAAAGAGGAATCGATTGATTTTCTTTATGTTTAATAAAGATTCGTTCTGTTGTGGTAAGCCAGGCCAGGCCAACTAATGAGTAAAAACATCCATTATTATTATAAATTGCTTGAAGAATATTTAAACAATGGCTTAAAAGATGGTTTAATAGGTTATAGTGTACACTGTACAGCCAAATGAAAACTACGGGTTTACCTACAAAAGAAAACTACTGGGCTTCCTACAAATGAAAACTACGGGGTTACCTACAAATGAAAACTACGGGGTTACCTACAAAAGAAAACTACGGGGCTTCCTACATTACCTACAAAAGAAAACTACGGGGTTACCTACAAATGAAAACTACGGGGTTACCTACAAAAGAAAACTACGGGGTTACCTACAAAAGAAAACTACAGGGCCTTTTACAAATGATGAGACGATTGCACGAAATTTTTACCGTCTGTTCTCTTACAGTCATGATTCCCTGCAACTGTAACCTTGATTGTTTCTTTGCCAAATTATTGAATAAGCCATTATATTAATATATTTCAGGCAGAATGCATAGTTCAACCTTGGGCTCGTCTCAGTCTCATTCTTTTTGGGTAACCCTCACCCTGTACATTTATACTAAAGGATGTAGAATCGATTTAAAGCTTTATAAAATGTGTGACTCCCTGTTTCAAAAAAGCTGTTAGTTGTAGTGCACTAGCCTGCACCCATACTAACATGGATAAATATAAACGACCAGGGCTTTATGATGACATTTATTATTTCTTACGTTGCAACCAACAAGTGCATAAACCAGTTTTTCAGTTTCTTTCTTGAGTCGAGACAGTTCTGTATGCGCGAAGAAAGCCAAGTGTAGGGCTGTGCAAACGATAAAAAGTTTATTAAAATTAGGATGAAATGTCGCTAACCAACCGGAAACCCCTGTACTAATTTCCGTAATATTTACTATATACTCTAAACTAAAATAAACAGTTTTTGGAATTTGAAATAAACCCCTTTTTTAGATGAAAGCAGGGCAGGGGCAAAGTTCCATTGAATCCATTCATAAACGAAAATGTATGAAAAATAACTGAAATTTTCGTAAACGAACTTAATATTGATAGGCCTATTCGTTACATTAATTCAACTAACCATTAAAGAACCGGTTAGAAAAGTAACAGTGTTTTCAGTCCTACACAAGTGTAAGTTGCGTATTATTTGCAAAAGATTTGTGCGTTTACTGAAAAGTTTCAGAATAAATGAGAATGTAATGAGAAGAAAAAAGTTCTACTTTAAAAATCAACATCTGGATCAATGTCAGAAGCAAACGCTTTTCTGGATAAAAGCGACAAAATAATAAGAAATGAAGAGGGAATTTGAAGTTGAAGGGAGGCTGGAAAATAAAATATTTCGGCCAGGATTTTTTATTTTTTGAGACTTTTTAAACATCCTTTTCAACCCCCCTTTAACTATATTTAAATATATATTATTTACAATGTTATATTTGCAATGTTAGACTACGAAAATGGAATGACAATTTTATGATTTTTTTACAAGCTTTCACAGCAAATCAAAGCTTAATATGCTGACAAATTCAGAGACAAATACACATTAGAGAAGTAATATTAGCTGCAGCACTCAGTATTTAGAGAAGTAGTATTAGCTGCAGTAATCAGTAATTAGAGAAGTAATATTAGCTGCAGCATTCAGTAATTAGAGAAGTAATATTATCTGCAGCAATCAGTAATTAGAGAAGTAATATTAGCTGCAGCAATCAGTAATTAGAGAAGTAATATTAGCTTCAGCAATAAGTAATTAGAGAAGTAATTTTAGCTGCAGCAATCAGTAATTAGAGAAGTAATATTAGCTTCAGCAATCAGTAATTAGAGAAGTAATATTATCTGCAGCAATCAGTAATTAGAGAAGTAATATTAGCTGCAGCAATCAGTAATTAGAGAAATAATATTAGCTTCAGCAATCAGTAATTAGAGAAGTAATATTATCTGCAGCAATCAGTAATTAGAGAAGTAATATTAGCTTCAGCAATCAGTAATTAGAGAAATAATATTATCTGCAGCAATCAGTAATTAGAGAAGTAATATTAGCTGCAACAATCAGTAATTAGAGAAGTAATATTAGCTGCAGCAATCAGTAATTGGAGAAGTAATATTAGCTTCAGCAATCAGTAATTAGAGAAGTAATATTAGCTGCAGCAATTAGTAATTAGAGAAGTAATATTTGCTGCAGCAATCAGTAATTAGAGAAGTAATATTATCTGCAGCAATCAGTAATTAGAGAAGTAATATTATCTGCAGCAATCAGTAATTAGAGAAGTAATATTAGCTGCAACAATCAGTAATTAGAGAAGTAATATTAGCTGCAGCGATCAGTAATTAGAGAAGTAATATTAGCTTCAGCAATAAGTAATTAGAGAAGTAATATTAGCTGCAGCAATCAGTAATTAGAGAAGTAATATTAGCTGCAGCACTCAGTAATTTGAAAAGTTTAGGTTTAATTGTAATTAATACTCCCATTAGCAGAACTTTATAGATAAAATGAAGCAAGAAACAGACTGATCCAAAATATGAAAAACTTAAATTCTTTAGGTAAAATTTAAAATTTTTATATCAATTATCAGCTAATGTATCTAGTATATAAGCAGCTACTGAATCCAGTATCTAATCAACTACTGTATTCAGTATCTAAGCAACTACTGTATTCAGTATCTAAGCAGCTACTATATCCAGTATCTAAGCTTATGTTGTATCCAGTATCTAAGCTTCTACTGTATCCAGTATCTAAGCAGCTACAGCATGTAGTATTTAAGCAGCTACTGTATCTAGTATCAAAGCAACTACTGTATCAAGAATCTAAGCTTCTACTGTATCCAGTATCTAGGCAGCTACTGCATATAGTATTTAAGCAGCTACTGTATCAAGTACCTAAGCAGCTACTGCATACAGTATCTAAGCAGCTGCGGTATCGAGTATCGTTTTAGCAGCTACTGAGCCCATCACCCAAGCAGCTACTATATCCAGTATCTCCATTCTTAAATTATCTAAAATAAAAGTTTCATCTGCTGTAGATGAAAAGACAATTCGTTCATGCATATATAAAGCTCAGACTGTTATTGTCATCAAGTCCTTAAATTTTTATTATTTTAGGAAAACAGAAGAAAATATTTTTCAACCTTGGGATGTGCACAAAAATGATGATGATTGATGATAGACCATTAACATGATTTTTATTTCTAGGTTTCCTTGTTGGATCTTTACTCTTGATATATCCTAAAGTAACAGGTAGAAAAACACAAGAAATAAACAGATCATATTCAGCAAATATGCAACCAATCTAAAAACAATTACATCCCACAGGAGCCTGAGAATCTCAGGTTTGCTCCTATTATAATTTTTAGTTTCTATTTAGCATTTTTAATAGATATAATTGATAATATCATTTCATATAGTCTGTATTACGTCACCAGAATTTCAGCCAATGACAGTGCAGTATACTGGTCACCTAATTTCCGCCTGTATCACGTGACCAGTATACTGCACTACCATTGGCTGAAATTCTGGTGACGTAATACGGACTATACGGACTATATGTAATAATATTATCAATTATATCTATTAAAAATTCAAAATAAAAATAAAAATTCATAAAAGGAGCAAACCTGAGATTCTATGAATATGATCTGTTTAAACCTGCTACTTTTATACACTAAATTGTATATATATGAATTTTCGTATACAATTTTGACACATATTTATATCAATTTTCCGTGACAGGTATCTTTCAACGCCTGAGATTCTCAGGTTTCAGCCTATACCCCCATTTCATTTTTCATGTACAATCCCTTTAAGTTGAACCATTTTTGGTCCACCCTGTATAATCTGCTGACTAATCTTCTCTGATTCTATCGCATAAAATGAATGGATGAATGAATTTCTATAGAAGGGAACACTGAACAGGGTGGTTTGATCAATTGATATTATTAGACACACTCTGGTAAACATTGCACAGTGTGTAAAAATGTAAAAATCTAGGTACCTCACAGTATTCTAGAGGACACTGGTCCACATTAAAAGTCTAGCTAATCTTAACTTTAGAACCCATTTTTGCACATTTATATTTTGTATTTACTAAGTTCATACTCTTGTGTTTGGCTGTAAATTTTAATTTCAAGTATGAAAGGTCCCTGAGGAGTTTTGAGTAATTGAGATCAAAATAAGACGTGAAGTATTCCGATACAGACAGGAATCTCTTTCGTTGTAGTTAGTTTTACGTGACCTCAGCCACTCCGATCTCGACATTAAATCAATGTTATGCAATCTACTTTTACAGCTTTGCAACCTCGCACTTCGTTCTCGTACTTTCGCAGAAACTTTTTTCAATATAGAAATTTGAGTGCCCGGCCACGCACTGCGTTAAAATAACTAATAATTCAGGAGTTCGAGACATAACTAAAGATAATTATAATATTGATGAAATAGATGACGTTGACAACAGATTATGGAATGCTTACAGGTTTCAAACTTTAAATACTCATTCCTTTACAAAAAGTTGGTTTTTTGGTATGCAACAATTTTCATTGAATCCCGGCGGGATTTTTCATTAAACAATGCAATGAAAAATCTTAGAAGTGCGCGAATTTATTTTACAAAATTCACAAATTCCAATTTTAAATCAGTCAGTTCTCTTTAAGCTTTTTAAAAACGAATGTCATTTACTCTCAGACAAATTAAAATCAATGGAAATTTGTCTGAGAGTAAATGATACATTGACATAATTGCAAATTAAATTCGTCAACCAAAAATATTTATGCTAAGCTGGCCAAGAAAACTAAAATCATATGCTATAATACATAACAAAAACTATACGAGTTTTATGTATTACTAGCAGAAGTGCCCTGCGTTAACCGTGGATTTTCAAAAAAATCTTTTTTTTATCTCCATCTTGTTTATGTTACCCCTGTGATACCAATGGGTTACCTAAAAATTAAATGTCAGCCAATTTGGTGCAGTCTTTTGGCCAGCTATAGCTAACATATAAATATATATATATGAGCGAAGAGCTTTAAATATAGAAAGAATGATAACATATTTAAAACGTAATGATTGTCGGTTTAAATACCTCTTCTTTTGATTAGAAAATTTGTAACTGCATGGTAGCCAATGATATCTTTGAAAATATCCATTGCACATTTTCAGATAAAATTATAAAATTTGTTCAGTGATTTGAAGTGAAAAAAAGTAATAACGAGAGAGAAAAATTTCATTTTACGATTGTTATCACTGTATAATCTAATATCTTTTACATTTTTCGTATCTTTTTATCATTTTTTTTCTGATCTATATTTGTCCTAATCTATTTTATTCAATACTTTTCTTCTTTAAATTCTATTCTATTCTATTCTATTCTATTCTGTTCTATTCCATTGTAATCTAAAATCTATTTTATTCTTTAGAAGACGACCAACTTATTTAATCCTTGCATCAAGAATTATACGTCCATCTTCTATATATCAGGTATGTTTATATTATGTACACTGTACAGTGTACAGTTTATAGTGTACAGTGCACAGTGTATGTACTTGTACATTTAACAGTTAAACTTGTACAGGATTTTTTTCAGACTTTAAGTGGCTAAGTGTACATGTCAAATAATTATTTAGAAAGCAAGTACTCCTGATTTTTAATATTAGTTTCTTTGCAACCAGACAGAATAGAACTTTGATATTTTAAACTAGGAATTCTGTTTGGTCGTCTGAGATTTAAATAAAAAAGGTTTAAACTTGGGATTGAAAAAAAAAGAAATATAAGATAGTAGTGAATCTGTTTCCAAATAATAGATAGTAGTGAATCTGTTTCCAAATATTAGATGTTAGTGAATCTGTTTCCAAATATTGGATAGTAGTGAATCTGTTTGCAAATATTAGATAGTAGTGAATGTGTTTTTAAATATTAGATAGTAGTGAATCTGTTTCCAAATATTAGATAGTAGTAAATCTTTTTCCAAATATTGGATAGTAGTGAATCTGTTTCCAAATATTAGATAGTAGTGAATCTGTTTCCAAGTATTAGATAGTGATGAATCAGTTGCCAAATATTAGATAGTAGTGAATGTGTTTTAAAATATTAGATAGTAGTGAATCTGTTGCCAAATATTAGAAAGTAGTGAATCTGTTTTCAAATATTAGATAGTAGTGAATCTGTTTCCAAATATTGGATAGTAGTGAATCTGTGTCCAAATATTAGATAGTAGTGATCTGTTTCCAAATATTAGTTAGTAGTGAATCTGTTTCCAAATATTAGATAGTAGTGAATCTGTTTCCAAATATTATCTAGTGGTGAATATGTTTCTAAATATTAGATAGTAGTGAATCTGTTTCCAAATATTAGATAGTAGTTAATCTGTTTCCAAATATTAGATGTTAGTGAAGCTGTTTCCAAATGTTAGATAGTAGTGAATCTGTTTCCAAATATTAGATAGTAGTGAATCTGTTTCCAAATATTAGATGTTAGTGAATCTGTTTCCAAATGTTAGATAGTAGTTTATATGTTGCCAAATATTAGATATTAGTGAATCTGTTTACAAATATTAGATAGTAGTGAATCTGTTTCCAAATATTAGCTAGTAGTAAATTTGTTTCCAAATATTAGCTAGTATAGTGAATCTGTTTCCAAATATTAGATAGTAGTGAATCTGTTTCCAAATATTAGCTAGTAGTGAATCTGTTTCCAAATATTAGATAGTAGTGAATCTGTTTCCAAATATTAGATAGTAGTGAATCTGTACGCTGAAGCTGAACCTATGAGAGTAAAAGCATCTTTGTCTCGCGATGGAGTGGAGGTAAGAAATCATAAATAATTAAAAAATAAATAAAATTTTGCTTTCACCTTTTTTTCAAGCTGTCAAAAGAAAACTGACTTGTTTTAATATGTTCTGCAATAACCCTTTTATTAAAATCTTTTTTTTCAAACTTGAAATAGAAAAATGAAGCAAAAAATCGCATTTGGTTAACCATATGACACTTTTTGGATTTTAGTGCAAGCGGAAAGCAAAAAAAAAACTTTTTGTTTCTTGATAAAAAAATTTGTATATTAAAAAAACATAAGGGACATTATTTCAGTGGTTCGAAGTGCACCTCGACAGATACCCATATCCATGTTTTTCGATAAATTCAAATATTGACCTCTCTTAGCAATCTTTGATTTTTAATGTTTTTTAATTTTATTTTAGATTTTTATTTAAGCATGCTTAAATTATCAGTGAGTTTTGGTATTTTTTGTTGTACAAGGGTTAATTATTATTATATTAAAAGATTTATTCACACGCAAATATAAAAGTAGATATTTAAATGTTGTAGTTTAAATTTGTTTAAATAAATTTTTGAAAATGCAGCTTTCCAAAAGAATAGAGTAAAATATGCAAAATTATGCACAAATAGACGACATTGATCATTACTCATTACATAACATAATTATCATTTCTGTTAATACGTAATCATCGAATCCTTCAACATATAATTTATTCGTTCTTGTATTTAAAAGTTCTTGTAAAACCGGAACTTTCCATGCATGGTCCAATGGGACATCAAAATGTTTCATTTGTTTCTTAACTAACATATTACTAATACCCGAAGGATTTACAGAACAATCATTTGCAATAGAAAATAAATTTCTGCCAAGAACTGTGCTAAGGTCATGTTTACATAAGTTAGAAATAAATCTAATGCAAAGATTAGGAACATGCTTTAATAGTCTCATAGAAAGACACACATCTGCTAGCTAACATAGTTTTTACATGTAAACATTGTGAAGTACTTTCAATCAAGTACCTATGCGTATCTCTAGGTACATTAAAAAGAATTTTAATAGCAGTATTCCATGCTGTATACAATTTTAAAACACATTGGGAACTGAAGTTCCAAATACTAGATCCATAAAAACTACAACAATAAATATTATAAAGTTTCAAAATAACATCTGGACTGTTAAAAAAGTTCTTTGTTAAGGAATGAATTTTTGAAATGAAAATAGCTCGTTTTTTTTATTGCAATCTATGGTCATTGAATTATCACTTTGCAGAACATTTCCTAAATGTTTTAAGTCGTTGACAAATGTTAAAGGTTCAATAAAATAGGGTTTATTTCATTATAATTAACCCTTTCTTTAGAAAAAAATAAGGCATTTAGTTTTACATTTTTCGATTCGAATATTTGTAAATTTCAGTTCAGTAGCTTTGGCAAAACTTTCACAAATTTTCACCATTTCCTGAAGACCTGTTCTGCTAGGAGAAAGCAGAATAATATCATCTGAATATACCCAGATGCCCATATAGACACCCTGGATTTGGCATCCAATGATGTAAAATAATGGTTATCTACAGTGCACAAACTTTAAATAATTTGATAAGTATATATATATAGTGTCTAATACTAGGTGTCTGGGTCGGATGAATTCCTCTCTTCTCTGGAGGCAAAATCTATTCTACTCCAGGTTTGTGTATTTACAGTTTATTGCTTTATATTTGGGTATTATTGGGTATAAAGTATTGATATATCAATACAGTATTGTTTTCCTGACAGATTTGCTGTTGAATCTCGGTATAAGAAAAAACGCATTAATATTCTAACGTGCAACTTTATTAGGATATTCCAATTGCAAACTAAAACTAAGATTTCTTTTAAAGATCTAAAATCTAGATATCCATGGCAAAAAAATGAAAACTTAGGTTGGCCTGAGACCTAGCTGGTTAAAAAATGAAATTTAAGACCATGGATTTCCATGCTAACCCGATTGTTAGTTTAAAATGAAGGGTGCACACGGTGGTTTAGATGTTTGGGTTTCTCGTTGTCTGTAACGTAATAAGTCTATAAATTAAGATGTGACGTATTTTGCGTGTTGTACTTTATTGCTTGACGTCACACGTGTTACATATTTAAGTATATAAGGTTCATGACTTTTATTTGGTGGTTTTCAAACAGGAGATCTAATCATGGATTAGCTAATTTCTGATATAGTGAGGACGTACTTACTCTTTACAGTGTATCTGTATTGGACACTGTACAGTACATATTACAGTTTATCAATAAAATTTTGGTTTCTTTTAATCCGAATAGTCAAAATTATTCGTGCAAAAGCATATTTATAATCATGAACAATCTCTGGATAATTTATCATAAAATCTTATTTATTTCAAAAATAAAATGTAATGTTTAAAAAAAACTATTTCAGGTTCCTGAAGGGAATAGCCAGGAATACTCATACAAACTTAGAGTAGAGGGTTTTAGTCAGGTATGATCAGGGGGTGGGGGGTGCAGAGGGTTCATTTAGTCAGGTATTTTTACATAACTTTTTACATAACTTTTTACATAACTTTTTACATAACTTTTTACATAACTTTTTACATAACTTTTAACAACATCAGTTTTTAGCTACATTATCTCACGGTATTGTTTAGATAGTCCAGGCACGATATCTTTGTATATAAATTAGTAAACTCCATTTATTTGCCTGTTTGTTTGTTTGTAAGTCCGATTATGACTCGTAAACCACTTGACCGATTTGCCTCAAATTTTGATTGTGGAGGTCGGTAGAACCATGGAAATATTTTTACCTTGGTTTATAAAATTCTAAGTTGAATAAGTTGATTTGCACTCTGAAAGATTACTTTCCAGGGAAAGCTGGGTTCCCAAGCTAGAATAAACATTATATTACTTTAGGATTCTGCTGCACTATTGTTCCAAAATGAAACTCGCCTAGAATTTACAAATAGGTAATAATAATCAATTCTGTTTTAAATTTAAATTATTTGGGTTTAAATCATGTGTGCTTTGGTTTAGAGGGACTGCATTCTCTATTAATAGTATTACGTGATTTGTGAATATAAGCTTCAAAATCCAAGGTGAAAATTGTCATAATTAAACTTTTCTTGCTAAAAACGGTGATATCTTCAATTTACAAAGAATCTCTTAAACACTGAGAATTATTGGTTTTGCTCTAAAAAGCCGAGAGCTTCTTGAAAAAAAGTAACAAGAAAGCCAAAACATAATTCTCAATTACAAAACTAAGATTTTTTAAATATTTTTTTCTCCTCCCAGTAAAATAAGAAATTATAAAATCAAAATATTAATTTTTAGTCTACAACTATTCTAGAAAAGTCAAAAATTTGTGTTTCAAAACTGGCCAAAAATTGCAGCTTCCAGTATTTCTTAAAACAAACATGCATTTCTCTCTTGGTGTGAAAGGGTTTGCTGCACCTTAGTTCTATTCATGTTGATAAGTGCAGTGTATCCCCACCTTAGTTCCATTCATGTTGATTAGTGCAATGTATCCCCACCTTAGTTCCATTCATGTTGATTAGTGCAATGTATCCCCACCTTAGTTCCATTCATATTGATTAGTGCAGTGTATCCCGTGGCATACCTTTACCTCCTACTTTCTAATGTTTATAACATGATAAGCAACATTTTTAACTCAATACTTATTATATACTAGCCTTAGAGGGCGCTTCGCGCCCATCTTCTAAATTAATTGTGAACATGTTCTCTTTGTGTACATCTTAAAACAAAACATTCATAAACCTTTCCTATGGTCCCTAGATGTCCCACAAAAAAATTTGGCCCGATCAGTTCAACCGTTTTGACGTTTATTGGATACAAACAAACAGACAAACAAACAGACAGACAAGCCAAACTTATATGTAGATTTAATTTACATAAGGATAGACAGAAAAGAATAGAAAGAGGAAAACAAAATCAATTCTTAAAAGGAAAAATTCCTTATCTTCTTTTTTTCACTTTTTATCGCTGACTGAGAAAAGGAAAAAAGAACATAAATCAATTATGTTAATTGAAAATCCAGCTTTCTACAAGTCATTAGCAAATCAACGATACATGCGATTAACGAAAAATCATTATTTTTTAACCAAACCTTTTAGTTAAGCTTAAGGAAAAACAGGTAGCAAGATCAGCCCGCGTAAAATAAGTGTTCACTATGCTTTAAAGGGTTACCAAGAAAGACCTTGATGATAAACTGGAAATAGATTTGTTGATATATTGTTTTATTTGTATGCGTATTAAAGATAAAAACATATTTGTTATGTTTACATGGGGCCCATGCAGTTAAAGATGATAAATGTAGATATATCAACATTATCTTTTCTTATTTATTAAAATTTTTAGCTGTTAAATGTGATCTTGATGAATAATTATGTGCTTTTTTAAATTAAATTCCAGGCGATAAAATTATCATTTTTTAGGTTTCTGGCAATAATTATTTCTACAAATAAAGTCGTGTTCACTGCTCTACATACAATGAGGGTATTTTTTTTGTTTTCACATAATTAACTACAGGGTGTCCCAATAAACATGGGAATTCAGTGACGAATTCAATATCGTCTTTACAATAATTCTTTGATTTAGTATAGTGATACCTACTGAGAAAGCTGTAATCTGTAAGAGTTTCGTCTGCTATGTTCACATTTTGTTTATTTATGTTTTGACTGCATACAGTTGTATTAGTAAAACAAGAAAATTGCAGTATACAAACAGAGTAAACTTGTCCGTCTTCACTGTTCATCTTGCGGAGACATTATAGACACATCTTTGTAGTCTTTTACCCTTTTCATTAAATAAACTCTAGCAGACATAATAATATTATGGCTTTTGAAATTAGGTATTACAATGCTAATTCATAGCAAAGACGATATCGAATTCGTCACTGAATTCCCATGTTTTTTGGGACACCCTGTACAGTGAGAACCGTAATACTGTGGAATAGGAAGACGACATGTTACCAATCTTAGGAGTATCTTATGTTGCTGTAAATTTAAAGCAAATAGTGTTGCCAAAATCTCGAAAATCTAATCATTACGGGGGTATTAATTCTACCATTTCTGTGTCTTATGTTCAGTATTCTATTAAAAATTATAACTGTTGTCTAGAACTCGTCTTCATTTCACACATTTTTTGTAGTAGAATATTTCAGAAAAGAAAACATAAAAATTGGAATAAAAAACGAAACACTGATTTATTTTATAACTAATTATTCAACAAAAGAAGAAATGGTTGAAAGGAATTGAGTATTTGCCACAAACTCTGATTTTATAATCCCTATCTTTACAACCCAATTTCGTATACCTTAGCTATTTCAAACTATGAACTTGCAAAGATTTAGAAATTTGAGCTTGTGGCAAAGACTTAATTACTTTATCTTATTTCGAAGTTAATTATTTAGTAAGTTTCACTTTAACAAATAACATTTTAAGGATGCTGACAAAATATCTTCATGTCGCTCTTAAAATGATCCTTTTGATTACGGTAACAATCCCTTTAAGGTTCGAGCAGTATTGTTGAGAACTGATCTCTTGCCCTATGAGGAGGTAGCTGATATATTTATCCTGGATCCAGACCAGTTTATTATCAGGTTAATTAGTGGAGTCCATCTTAAAGGGACTGAGACTGAAACTCAAGGTTTAAATGGTAGCAGGTTGAAGATGCTACTCTGAAACTTGAAAAATCGTCTGGTCTCTTTTATAATCATTACGAGATCGCAAAGTTGGAACAGTTTTTATGCAAAATCATCTTTTATCCTTTAGTTCACAATTGAAATTAGAGCTTCTCCATATATATATATATAGTAAAGATTTTCCAATTCCGGGGCTCCATATTTATAGTAACAGAATAGGTCCATTATTATTTCTAGGTTGGACATTTCTGTAATTTTTAGTTTCAAAACTATTTCATATATAATATTTGATTTTGATATATTTTTAAATATTTAAGTATTTAGGAAATGGCATTCTAAGCAGTTAAACAATGGAGTCCTCACTGCAGATTTTGAGGTTCAATCTTTGGCTTTCATTATAAATAAGTACAATGTGCAATGTATATTTCAGTTATTTCAAGGGTTCAATCTTTTCTTTCTAGGCCTCATACTTTTTATGCTACAATCACTTCTTTAAGTATAAGTCGAAAACCAATTTCCCGGATTTTCAAATTTTAGTTTTTTTCCCAGTCGACAAAAATTATCAAAAAACATTTCTTTTTTTAAAATCAATCGGTACATTCCACTGCTCGCTTTTTCATCAAATATATTTGATCTAACCCATCTGAGAAAAAACTTTTCAACTTAAAGGGAGTGACCGGCTATGTAAGGTAGTTGAACTGAGTATGCAGTGTTGTGGAAAACTTCTTTCGGATTCATTTGAGACATATTAAACTTTTTAAACATCTGTGAATCCTGAGTTTGAGTGCAAATTCGACGTTCAAAACTCCTACTTTGGGGGTGGATACGTTTTCAGATTTAGTTTTGTTTTAATTATTAAATAACGGCAACGAAAAATAGAGTAAAAATTATACAGTAATCTAATTAGATGGCTAAGAACATATTATAAACTTGGTGAGAAACTCACGTATAAAGAACTCAATAAAGGAAACTTTACAAAGAGAAACTCAATATAACAAGCCAGATGGAATCGATTAAAGCACTAACTTTGCACAGACATTTATTTTACATTATTATTAAAATACAAACTGAGGATCAACCGAAGTTAATCCTGGAATCATAGATGGAGCTAATTCTCCTCTCGGAGCTACTGGAGCTGTGATCGACCGCTCTCTTCTCCTCCTTCATCAAGACTAACCCTTTTCTCGGGGACAAAATGGACGTTCAGATTGCTTTCTCTTCCGACGAAAGCACCGTTATCCGTGTTCCCCCGATAAGGATTCCCAGGATTTGAACCTTGCTACCCTGGAAATTTCCTATGGCCGTTGATACCAGCTCCAGTAGTAACGGGTTAAATACAATCAATATTNTTATGAAACCAGCCTATTTCATAATTTGGTTTTCTTTTAACAATGATTTTAGATTTTCTATATAATGATATTCCAGGGCCCAACAGGTTATATAGCATAAATATGTGAAGTACACCTGCAGTATGGAAACAGTACAACAAAATGGCCGTTTTACACTTTTTTCCATTAAATTCCTCTCTATATATTCTATGTTCCGAATGAAGCTTTCCACAACACTGCATACTCAGTTCAACTACCTTACATAGCCGGTCACTCCCTTTAATTAGATTTTTAGATTTTCGACTTACACTCAAAAAAGTGGTTGTCATAAAAAGTATGACACTTGGAAAGAAAATTTAACCTTGAAACAAGTGAACCATAGAGCTTTGAAATGACACCTTGACTGTGAATTTGTTTTCAATTTGATTATTTCTCTTGTCGCTTCCGCAACTATCTAAGAATGCTGCGCACCACTCACATTTTTGAAATCCGTTAAAAACGTTTTCTAAAAAAAATAAAATATAAAAAAATATTATAAAATATAAACTATTTACAAATAAAATATTATAAAATATAAAATAAAATATAAAAAAATATTATAAAATATAAACTATTTATAAATGTGGCGAAAGATAATCGATGACTATAGGTTGTAATATCGGAATGTTCCAATTTTCTCAATTTGTATGGACGGTATGAGACGTCTTTAACAATTTTCTCCTTATAGACGCAACGCAACAGATAGAAGTAAGATTAGTAGCGATCAAAAGCGCTTTTTTATCGCATTAAGCCTATACCCCCTTTCATTTTTCTCGAACACTCCCTTTAAGAACAAGTTTAAACACGTTTGTAAGAAAAGCACATGCTTGACCCTGATAGAAAATAATGGCAAAAAAACGTTCCAAAAACAAGCCAACAAAACGCACATCACTAATCAATAAAAAAGATAAGTTATCATCAAAAAGACGCATGGAAAGGGCCCTATAATCATAATGTACATGTTTATAGATAATATTCACAAAGTTTATGTATACAATCTTTAGTTACCTGAGTTTCCAAAAGTTGGTTTCTGGACTATTCGAGTAGTAGCTCAAGGGCAAATAGAGGAGAAAAAGGTAAATTTTTGTGATTTTTATTAATAAAAATATTAGTAATTATAATAATAACAGTAATGATAATAATAATAATAAAGATAATAATAAAAATAATAGTTACAATAATAATAATAATAATATTAATAATAATAATAATAATAATAATAATGATAATTATCTAGGTAAAAGTAGAGAAGTATTATGTTCCAAAATTTGAAACTTTTGTTAGTATGCCTGCCTTCCATTTTCCTTCAGAATCTCATGTTGAGGTAATAGTCTAAATGCTGATAACTAGTAACAACTGACTAGTACAACTGAGTAGTTCAACTAACTAGTACAACTGACTAGTACAACTGAGTAGTTTAACTGACTAGTACAACAGACTAGTACAACTGACTAGTTCAACTGACTAGTACAACTGATTAGTACAACAGACTAGTACAACTGACTAGTACAACTGACTAGTACAACTGACTAGTACAACTGACTAGTACAACAGACTAGTACAACAAACTAGTACAGCTGACTAGTACAACTGACTATTACAACTGACTAGTACAACTGACTAGTACTACAGACTAGTACAACTGACTAGTTCAGCTGACTAGTACAACTGACTAGTACAACTGACTAGTACAACTGTCTAGTACAACTGCCTATTACTACTGACTAGTACAACAGATTAGTACTACAGACTAGTACAACTGACTAGTTCAGCTGACTAGTACAACTGACTAATACTACAGACTAGTACAACAGACTAGTACAACAGACTAGTACAACAGACTAGTACATCTGACTAGTACAACTGGCTAGTACTACAGACTAGCACAACAGAATAGTACAACAGACTAGTAAAACTGACTAATACAACTGACTAGTACAACAGACTAGTTCAACTGACAAGTTCAACTGACTAGTACAACTGACTAGTACTACTGGACTAGTACAATTGACTAGTACAACTGACTAGTACAACTGACTAGTACTACAGACTAGTACAACTGACTAGTACAACTGACTAGTACAACAGACTAATACAACAGACCAGTACAACAGACTAATACAACTGACTAGTACTACAGACTAGTACAACTGACTAGTACAACTGACTAGTACAACAGACTAGTACAACTGACTAGTTCAACTGACTAGTACAACTGACTAGTACATCAGACTAGTTCAACACCCTCCAACATTCATCTCTATTGCATTTGTATATTACCCAAAGTATGAAAGTACGAAGTCTTCGTTGTAAAGAAATGTAAACAATGAAATGTAAACAAATCTACTCAACTATCTCTCTATCCATCAATCTTTATATTTACCTAAAATTAAACCTTTTCTGTTAAAATCAGTTAAACCTATTCTTTAATTAATCTTCACTTTTTATCATTTCATTCATGTATCTCTATCTATCTATTCTTGTTGATAAACATGACTATGCACTTTGTAATATATGAAATGCAATGTTCTCAACTTTTGCAAAGGATTCATGGGCAGGGCATGCAAGGGTTTCTTTTATTACATCTTCGTTCTTTTTTAATAAGGAAAAAATGTATGAGATTAAAAAAACCACTTTTAAAATTCGTGAGTCTTTCATGGGTAATTTTTCTAAAATTCGATGATGGTGATGGATCAAACCTCTGTAGAGTAAAACCTTTTGTTGGGTATCAGTGACAGATGATTTCATTTAAATTAAAAATTGAAGGTTTTTTTTCAAAATATTCAGATTTTTATCAAAACAGGGAATAATGTCCTTCTCATATGATTTTAAAAATTAAACCAAAAAGCAAAAAAGTGTAAGAAGAAAACAGCATTTGAATCTATATTTAAAAAATTCCTAAAATTCTTAATTAGTTCAATGTCCTAATACCAAATCTTAATGTTTTTAAATATCTCTTTTTTAATTTCAGATGGTTTGCTAAAACTATAGATCACGCTACTCCGCTCTACAACGATACTATTAAATACAGAGAGGAAAACATCTTTGCAGAATTCTGGATTAATATTTGAAACAATATACTTTTGTGCCAATTTAGTTTGTTTGCTTTAGTTTTGATAAAACAGTCCTCGCATATCACATTAAAATGTGTTTACACTCCTCTCTTTGATTCTTTACATCTCCTGACGATCAAACCATGTTTTTCAATATCATGCCTTTTATATAATATTTATCAGAACACTTAAAATATTATTTTTTATTTTTCATTTCTGGTCAAAATTCATTTTTAAGGAATATGATGTTATTTGTCCAGGAGTATGAATACTTTTATAGAAAACAAAACTTTTATAGAAACAGTGTTTATGATACAAAGTAAGGCATTTTTGATAGCTAAATATTATTTAAAAATTAGAAAATGTTAGGTTTTAGTAAAAAGTTCATTTTTGAAAAAATTTAAATAAAATTAGGTTAAAAATTAAGGAAATTTATGTTAATTTCATTCATTGTTTTTCCTCATAAATCCGCTAGTCACTTTTGTAGAGAAACAACAGTCGAAAATAATCAATTTCCAAGAAGAAAAACAATGAGAGGGTTAATTGAAATTACGTCTACAGTTCTTTCAAATTTAAGAAATGATCTATTTTAATGTATTTTTAGATCTGGGGTTCCAGATGTCACCAACACATCAGCTAATGCAAGGTATCTCTTTTTTACCAAGGATATTTATTATCTCATTATACATTAAACCAATAGTTTATAATTTTCAGGGTTTTATACTTTCTAAAACATTGACGATTAAAAATGTAATCTGAGCAGGGAACTTTAGAATGGTGGATATCAGGATTATTGCATATTCCTCTCTTTTTTTAATCTTGAGACTAACATAATCTCGATATTATGTTAGTCTCAAGATTAAATATTTAGATTAACAAATTTGATTCTAGGAACGCTAGATGTGTTCGTTTTCTTGGCTGGAAGGGCTTTCACTTAATTATTTATTATAACATTAGTTAAAATGAATCTCAAACGAATTATTAAATATTTGTCTTCACCGATTAATTTACAAATGGCCGACAACAAATTCTTTATTTGTTAGAAATTGCGGATTTCTCTCAAGGGATAATATTTAATTTCAAGGCTGTCATTGGTTAAGACAATTTACAAACTATATTCCTGCACACTCATTGGAGAAAACAATATACGGATATCCAAAGAGAGAGAAAAAGAGTGGATTAAGGACTAAAATTAAAAGTTTCCACAGTAAATATTCGGATTAAGTAATTGGGATTAAAGTTTATCCATTCTAAAGTTCCACTTTGAGGTCAAAACTTTTGTATCGTTAGTCTTGAATGATCTCGATATCCAATATTGGGCTCTTTTAAATCTGAGAATCAATGGTTAATACCTCAATTTAAGTTAGATCTGCAGGGTATGACCATCACGGGGTATCGAAGAGAAATTAAATTAAAGTCTGCAGAAGATGGAGATCAATACTTGATCCCAACACAAAAGTTCTGAATTCTGAATAATCAACACAAGATTAAAGATAATGTTTTTAGTAACCTATATGATGACCCGTATGTTAATGTGAGTGGGAAACCATATCTTCAAAAAGTTCACAATTGGACGTATCTCAGGGATATTTTATTTATAATATAACATTTTTCTTCAGATCATTTTTCTTAAATTCTAGTTGAAAAAATTGGCAAAGGTTAGTTTTTGTAACCTTTTTACAACTTTTATATTTACAAAGTATTTGTTTGTTTTTTTAATGCAGACCTTGATCTGCAATTGAATCAATCAGCGCGAGTGAAATCGTCATGTTATGAAGTATTTAGATAAAAATATTGAATTTAGAACGGACAAATTCAAGCATACACCTCAGGTATTACTGTAATTATCTTTTAAGTACTTTTTTAATGACTTTATCCCATTTTTGTAATTTAAACAAATAAATAGTTGTTAACTAACTAATTCCAAACTGGCAATACATGTTTTGAAGCAGGGCGTAAAGCTTATGGTTTTTACATATATCTAGCCAAGTCTTCTACTAATTTTACATAATCTAGGCAAGTCTTCTACTAATTTTACATAATCCAACAAAGTCTTCTTCTAATTTTACATAATCTAGCCAAGTCTTCTTCTAATTTTACATAATCTAGCCAAGTCTTCTACTAATTTTACATAATCTAGGCAAGTCTTCTACTAATTTTACATAATCCAGCAAAGTCTTCTTCTAATTTTACATAATCTAGCCAAGTCTTCTTCTAATTTTACATAATCTAGCCAAGTCTTCTTCTAATTTTACATAATCTAGCCAAGTCTTCTTCTAATTTTACATAATCTAGCCAAGTCTTCTTCTAATTTAACAGCTGGAAATAAATCTAAAGCGTATTCAATTCCACTGGTTACCGTAAGACCGGATAAATAATGTCGTACTCATTGTCATCAATGTTCTTATCATTCAAATCATCGTACTCGGTAGAAACAGTGGTAAATTCTACTTAAACTGCTCATATAGTCAAGAGGTATTTCTAAGAAAGAAAACTCGTACAGATATTTAAGATTCTACATTTTTCAGGATGTAGCCAGCGATCTTGATTTTAGAATAAGTATGGAGGAAATAGAAAACAAGATGGGTACCCTTGTTGTAAGCAACTTTAATAATAAATAAAAATAAATTATAATTGTAGTGCATGTATATTATCAAATTATCATAGTTGAAGAAGCTTAAGAATAAAAGTAAGAAATCTTAGTATTTATTTATCTAAGGTTAAAAAGCCAGATTTATCTTTTTTATACATAATTTCTTATAATCTATATTTATCTATCTATGGTTTAGGGAGTTCAAGTTCTTGCTGAAGCTTTTATGACAGATTTCTTCTATAATAACACACAGAGAGGATGGTCCATTACTAGGATAATAGATCCAACCCTGGATATCAGGTTAGTCATTCAACCCCAACGTAGTAATGCAAGGAAACTTAATTGCGGTCGCGTATACTCTGCGTTGAAACCAGTTCTCTCTGGGCGGAATTTGTAAACAAGAATAGATGCATCAGTGTTCCTCTAATATCCGAGGAGGATAAAAGCATTTAATTTTGATAATTTTGAAAATTCACATAATAGTTTCCTATGACCAGAATATTTTATAGATTATTTTGTGAAAATTGATTCCATGGCAGGCTGTGACATCCGTCTTGTGTTTACTTTTCCGCCCAAAGACAGTACACTGCAGCACAAAAAATGCGTACACCTCTGAAATAACCCTAGAAATCAGGTTAGCCATTCAATCCTGGATATTAGGTTAGCCATTCAATCCTGGATATCAGGTTAGCCATTCAACCCTGGATTTTAGGTTAGCCATTCAACCCTGGATATCAAGTTAGCCATTCAACCCTGGATATCAGGTTAGCCATTCAACCCTGGATATCAGGTTAGCCATTCAACCCTGGATATCAGGTTAGCCATTCAACCCTGGATATCAGGTTAGCAATTCAACCCTGGATATCAGGTTAGCCATTCAACCCTGGATATCAAGTTATCCATTCAACCCTGGATATCAAGTTAGCCATTCAACCCTGGATATCAAGTTATCCATTCAACCCTGGATATCAAGTTATCCATTCAACCCTGGATATCAAGTTAGCCTATCATCCCTAAAATTAAAAAAAATAATTTAATACTTTGGAGGCAAAAACTATTTGATCAACACAAATGTTTTGACCTCATGTTATTGATTTTAGACATTTTTTTAGACATGATTTTAAACATGATTTTAGACATGATACAATTAATATATTTTATATGTTTACTAGCTTGGGAACCCAGTGCCTCTTACCCGCGCTTTGTCGTAAATTACCAAGCTATGAACATTCCTGTGGCTCTCTCGAGTTCCCTCATCTAAATTTGAGGCAAATTGGTCCAGGGGTTCCTGAGTTATGATGAGACAAACAAACAGAGAAAGCAACTTTAATTTACCCTGTAAGATGAAGATTATTAAATATTAATATTTTGCCTAGATTTGTAGGCCAGGGTGTTCAAGTATTCAAGCCTGGAATGACTTTTGAAACTCAAGTATCTGTAAAACATAGTGACCAGGTAACTCCTAATTTCAAAATAATGAATTCATGATAAATGTTAATATCAGTCAAGATCAAGATCAAGATCAAGATCAACATCAAGATCAACATCAAGATAATATTAAGATAATGATCAAAATTAAGATTATATTAACAAGATAAGAAACAAGATTAATATCACGACCAAGATTAAGAATAAGAATTATGATAACAATCAGATTATTATTAGCGTCAAGATCAAGATCAAGACTAGTAGTAAGATCAAGATCAAGATTAGTATTAAGATCAAGATATGTCTTAAAATCAAGATAAGATTATTATTAAGAATAAGATCAAGACCAGTATTAAGATCAAGATCGAGACTTATATTATGATCAAGATCAAGACTGGTATTAAGATCAAGATCAAGATTATTATTAAGATCAAGATCAGGACTAGTATCAAGATCAAGATTAAGATTAGTATTAAGATCAAGATCAGGATTAGTATAAGGATCAAGATCAGGACTGGTATCAAGATCAAGATCAAGATTATTATTAAGATCAAGATCAGGATTAGTATTAAGATCAAGATCAAGATTAGTATTAAGATCAAGATCAGGATTAGTATTAGGACCAAGATCAGGACTAGTATAAAGATCAAGATCAAGATTAGTATTGAGATCAAGATCAGGATTAGTATTAGGATCCAGATCATGACTAGTATCAAGATCAAGATCAAGATGAGAATGAGTCTAAAATAATTGTGTTGCAGGTTGCACTGGACCCGTATACATTAGAGCAGTCTACTCTGACAATAGAAACTAAGATTAGGATGGAGAACGGAGAACTCAGATCATTGAGAACACAAAGGTAGGATTAGGATGGAGAACGGAGAACTCAGATCATTGAGAACACAAAGGTATGATTAGTATAAAGAACGAAGAACTCAGATCATTGAGAACGCAAAGGTAGGATTAGGATTGAGAACGGAGAACTCAGATCATTGAGAACACAAAGGTAGGATTAGGATGGAGAACGGAGAACTCAGATCATTGAGAACACAAAGGTATGATTAGTATAAAGAACGAAGAACTCAGATCATTGAGAACGCAAAGGTAGGATTAGGATTGAGAACGGAGAACTCAGATCATTGAGAACACAAAGGTAAATAAACAGAGGCCGTATTTGGTATATTTTTTATCACGCCAGAAATCACGAATCCATATCTTTTGCAGGCCGATTGATTACGATGATTCCTTTTGGATGTCTATTAATGATCCGTTTAATCAGAAGGGACACAAATTTCCTCTCAACCAACAAGCTCTATGCCTTTTCTATTGTAAATTTCGAGTTCAAACTTTGTAAATTAGGGCTATCATATACAGGCAGTTGCCTAAAGGAGGTACGCGCACTTGCCTTGTTGAATTACATGAAAGCGAGAGATTAGTATATTTTAGGGTTATGTTAGGTTAAGACAATTTCTGGGCCGAGCGCTGCGTATTTGGCGTTAGTTTTACCTTAATAACTTAATTAAAATTTCGTAGGCACAACAAGTATGATCATAGCTTCAGTGAAAAGGAGTAATTGGCAAAATCATCATTTAATTAAAAATCAACGACCCCAGTTGAGACATCAGTCATATTCATTGAGTCTCAGAGGTTTTGATTTATGAAAGATCGGTTGATCTCTGTGCGCGTAGAGACGGAATTTAACTCATTTTGTCTAATTTCAAGCGTTGATCCTACATAATTTTGTTATATTTTAGGATTCCGAAAAAGTTGGGAAACGTTTGCACTTTCCGAGATATTGTTCATATTCGGTAATGTACAGATAAATCAAATAATATATTAAATACAAAATTGCGATAAAATTAAATTTATTTATCAAAACTTTTTAGATGTGGAAAAAAGCTATTGCTTTCATTTTTTACATTTCTCCATACAATGTAGCATTTTCTGGTTTTTTATTTTACAAATCTACTTGATTCCTCATTTTAATAATCATTCCTTTTTAGAGAGTATGATAAACTTTTCGAAGATGCTGAGGAAATCATAATTATTTTTATTGTATCAAAAAAGAATAAATTTAGAAATTGTGTAAAATCCGAAAAGTTTTCCAAAAGAAAAAAGTTACAAATTAAAGAATAAGATATTATTTAAACATTAAGAATAAACATATTTAAAAAAATATTCTAAAAATTGAAAAATACACTATAGCTCAAAAGTTAATAAACTTTTGGTAAAATGGAATGAAATATGTGGAAAGAGCTATTTTGGCTATTGAATATGGCATTTTCTATAAGAACATCAGTCATTTCCGATTTTTTTAAATCTTAGCATTCAATAGACCTCCGAGCTATAAGGTTTGTACATTGTCTTCATACTGTCGGAGTTATTTGTTGAGTAATTTTTATTTTTTGCGTTTTTTTTTGAAACTTTTTTCAATATTTTTCGATAATTATGTACAAGTTAAGGTTGAGGATATAGAAGAACATGATATATTCTTCTCTGATCATACTGAGGTAACAGCTCTAAATTACAATCCTAAAATTTACTACTTTGAACTAATAGCATAGCTTATGTTTAAAGAAGGATGTTCTGTACTGATTTTTTTTAATTGCTTGAAAATTCTTTCCGTTCTTATTTTTTTAGGAGCACTCTGAGTTTTGCAGGGATATGTTTGCTTTAGAGGCATCTTTTAAAGAGTTTAGGTACAGATGATATATTCATTCATTAATTATTTGCAAATTATTTGCATAGTAACTAAATCAGAGCTAATTTGACTTCAAACCTGGAAGGGCACTGTGGTATTATATGAATACAAACACGTTAAGATCACAGTGTGATGATCAAAACTAAGTCTATTACTATCAATGTTGTATTAATGAAAATATCCGTTATAGGTAAACAAGATGAAAAATATGATTTGGGTCAGTTTTGCTACAGTTTTTTATTTTACAAATCTTTTCTAAATACAAATATTAGCTGTCATAATATTTTTTTAGAGAAACAGGGGTTCATAGAATCATAATAGATACCCCTAAGGATGCAGAGGTAATATTTTTAATTAACTTTTCAAACTTTTAAATTTTCAATCACAAGTTTTTAAACTAGGAGATTGAGATTACTGCGACATACATTGATGATGATAATACTAAAGTTACGGCATCTTTACCAGGTCCAGTCACATTTATTATCACTAGAAATTCAAGGCGCTTCGCGCCCTTCTTTCTAGGCTTTTAGGCCACTTCGTGCCCATCTTCTATTTGAATTGTGAACATGTTCTTTTTTCATGTTCATTCATAACCTTCCTTGTGGTCATGTGATGCCCCACAAAAACTTTGGGTCCGATCGGTTCAGCCGTTTTGACGTTTATTGGATACAAACAAACAAACAGACAAGCCAAATTTATATATAGAAGTGAAGTGAACGTACTTTAAAAAGTTTTTAAAAAATCTAAGAAAGGTTGTAATAGTAATATTTTAGTTTACGCTGCGTATGCTCCGTACCAGAACTTTATTCATGTACGCACTAGCACTAGCAAAATCAGAGTAGGTTAGTTTATACATTTATCAAAAAAACTATTTTTTTCTCAATATAAAATAAGTTATATTTATACAGTGATAACCATAAAAGAAGGTAGACGACTTAAAAGCAATGTATAAGTTTATTTAATGTTGTTACAAAGCAAATAGTTTACTAGACACTTTCAAATCACTAATTTAGTAAAATGGGTTTGTGTGCACTGCCTGCACAATTGCTGTGTCTCATGCTCATTGGACTCTTTAAAGTCATAACTTGATTCTAAAAGTCGTCTTCCTATTTCAGAGTTTTCTGGTTATCACTGTTTTAATAAATGTTCCTTGAATTAAGATCTTTTTATCCTAGGTGAATATGTAGTGTTCCATGTAAAGATGACTCAGGTTATTGATCATTTTGATTGGTTAATTATATCCAAGCATATCATTCTTACCAGAGGAAGAGAGTTTTCTGGTTCAATATTCTCCCATACATATACATTCAGGAACCATACACATATATATATATATATATTCTGGAACCATACATACATATATATTCCGGAACAATACATATATACATTCAGGAACCATACATATATATACATTCAGGAACCATACATATATATATACATTCAGGAACCATACATACATATATATTCCGGAACCATACATATATACATTCAGGAACCATACATATATACATTTAGGAACAGCACAAACATATATAGTCAGGGAACACGTATATACAAATATGTTAACTTACTCACTAACTTTGTTAGTTAGTGTGCACATATTATAGTTATCTTCTGAAATATTGTTAGAAATGTATGGTTTGAGTTTAGTGTTGTAGTGAGTACAGAGATGGCTCCTGGGTTCCATATTCTTGTCTACACTAAAACTGATCAGGAAATTCTAATATTTAACTGATTCATTTTCATTATTAATCATGCAAAATATGGAATCAAAAAAAAAACTTTTTAAATTTCACACAATTATACTCATGAGAATAAGGAAGACAGCTTAGCTAATCTATCTGCTCAAATATGTTTTTGTGTCATAATAATCAATATTTTCTGTCAAAATAATCATGAGAGTCTTAATTTTGGTAAAATTTTGTTTTCAAAAAAGTGAACAATCTTTTGAAAGGAATTAAGTCTTTGCCAAAAACTCTGATCTTCTTATCTCTAGTTTTTTTTGCAATGCAACTACGTGATCATGTTAGATAAAAAATATAAGTTTAAAATATCAATTGTTTACACTATCGGGTTGCAGAGATAAATGGGCTAGATTTTGTAGTACAAACCCAATTTCTTTGCTGAAAGTTGAATATTTAAATTGATTTTAGGATTATTTGATCACAGACAGTCGATATTATCCTGTTGAATCAATTAACAGGGATGAGTGGTGGTTTACAATGTTTAAATGATTTATAACTTTTTTATTGGTGGCTGGGGGTTGGGGGGCAAATTGTGTGCAATTCTTTCCTTTGATCTTAATTTTCAAGAGTTTGTTTCTCATGAGTTTAATAATAATTTTGGGATTTAATCACAGAAACTTTTCTTTTTTTAGATAACTCTACACAGACTGCATATGCACATTTGGACAATTTTATGTTATCCCTTGAATTATTAAACTTTTAATAGTTTTTTATACATAACTTGAACTCTTTGACCCTGGCCATTTTTATAAAATCAGCTCTTGACCTCTATTAGATTATTACCATTACAACTCTTGACCTTTTAAACTATTAAATCCAAAAAAAAGTTTGTATGTAAACTCTAAAATTGATGTTAACCTCCAATTCATATTTTAGACATAAAATAGAATTAAGCCTTACTCAACGGAAAGATCATACAATGAAAACAGGTTTGGAAATAAGTATCTTAAAACATTTTATTCAATTTAAGAAAAATACAAAATGATTTGACCACTTTCCTTCAGGCTTTAATTTTCGAATCCCTTTACAACCGGATGTTGTGGTGTAAACTATACAAATTGTGAAAATGTCAAATTTTTGTATATTTTATAGATTTGGACTAATTCATGGTTTGATCTACAAAAGGTCTACGACACCATGTTGCAAGTAAATAAGAATAATAATAAGAATTTTAGGCAAATATTTAGTTTCTTTGTTGCATCAATTGAGCTTGAGACAGATGTTCGATTCCTTTGTTGTAACAATTAGAGCTTGAGGCAAATGTTCAGTTCCTTTGTTGTAACAATTAAAGCTTGAGGCAAATGTTTAGTTCCTTTGTTGTAACAATTAGAGCTTTAGGAAAATGTTCAGTTCCTTTATTGTAACAATTAAAGCAATTAAGGCAAATGTTCAATTCCTTTGTTGTAACATTTAGAGCTTGAGACAAATGTTCAATTCCTTTGTTGTAACAATTAGAGCTTGAGACAAATGTTCAATTCCTTTGTTGTAACAATTAGAGCTTGAGGCAAATGTTCAGTTCCTTTGTTGTAACAATTAGAGCTTGATGCAAATGTTCAGTTTCTTTGTTGTAAAAAAATTTGTATTTTACCTGGTTTTTGTTCCTAGTTGAGGTGACGTGTAGAGGAGATCCAGGTTCAGTTTTCATGGTTTCATCTCCTAGACAATCAATGTATCCAAACCAGGTTATAATAATCATATTTATTATGATTATAACAACTAATAATGATAATTATAATAATAAAAATATCAAAAAAATAACAATGATGATTATAATAATAATAATAACAATAGTAATGAAAAATATATTTCATTTCCCCTAGGGTGGAAATCTGTTGAATGAGGCAGCAGTGCTTGACAGCCTCAATTTGTTTGAGGACAAAGATTATCATACTCATAGAGTTTTTTGGACTGTCAGGTTACAACTTTAAGAGTTTTTGGACTGTCAGGTTACAAATTTAAGAGTTTTTGGACTGTCAGGTTACAAATTTAAGAGTTTTTGGCCTGTCAGGTTAAATTTGAGAGTTTTGTTAAGTGCCAGGTTAAATTTGAGAGTTTTATTAACTGCCAGGTTAAATTTGAGAGTTTTATTAACTGCCAGGTTAAATTTGAGAGTTTTATTAACTGCCAGGTTCAATTTGAGAGTTTTATTAACTGCCAGAATTTGAGAGTTTTATTAACTGCCAGGTTAAATTTGAGAGTTTTATTAAATGACAGGTTGAATTTGAGAGTTTTATTAACTGCCAGGTTATACTTTGGAAGTTTATTAACTAAAAGGTCACACTTGACAGTTTATTATTTATCAAGTTGTACTTTATAATCTTAAAGTTTATCATTATTATATTTAAGAGTTTTATTAACTCACATGGGTTATACTTAAAAGTTTAAGGTTATATTTGTGAGTTTTTATTAACTGCCAGGTTTTATTGGGAGTTTTACATCAAATTTTGAGCGTTTCATTAACTGACAGATTACACTTGAGAGTTTCATTAACTGACAGATTACACTTGAGCGTTTCATTAACTGACAGATTACACTTAAGAGTTGCATTAACTGACAGATTACACTTGAAAGTTTCATTAACTGACAGATTACACTTGAGAGTTTCATTAACTGACAGATTACACTTGAGAGTTTCATTAAAAGTCAGGTAAAATTTGAGAATTTTAAATTTACTTCAGGAAGTACAATTAGGATTTCTTAATACTGACTGACATACAATGAGACTTTTTCGATTTTTTGATAATGAATAACATTTTGATCTCTAAATTCAATTTCGTTTTTAGGGAAGGTGAAGCCCCAGATTCTGTTGCATATTTTCCTTCTATGGATTATGGAATAGATTCCAACAGAACTCTTGAACTTCAAGATCTTGTAGGTATAGCATATATTCCTTCTATGGATTATGGCATAGATTCCAATAGAACTCTTGAACTTCAAGACCTTTTAGGTATAGTATATATTCCTTCTATGAATTATGGAATAGATTCCAATAGAACTCTTGAACTTCAAGATCTTGTAGGTACAGTATATATTCCTTCTATGGATAATGGAATAGATTCCAATAGAACTCTTGAACTTCAAGATCTTGTAGGTATAGTATATATTCCTTCCATAGATTATGGAATATATTCCAATAGAACACTTAAACTTCAAGATCTTGTAGGTATAGTATATATTCCTTCCATAGATTATGGAATATATTCCAATAGAACTCTTCAACTTCAAGATCTTGTAGGTACAGTATATATTTCTTCTATGGATTATGGAATAGATTCCAATAGAACTCTTGAACTTCCAGATCGTGTAGGTATAGTATGTATTCCTTTGATGGATTATAGAATAGATTCCAAAAGAACTCTTGAACTTCAAATTCTTGTAGGTATAGTATTTATTCCTTCTATAGATTATGGAATATATTCCAATAGAACACTTGAACTTCAAGATCTTGTAGGTATAATATATATTCCTTCTTTAGATTATGGAATATATTCCAATAGAACTCTTGAACTTCAAGATCTTGTAGGTATAGTATGTATTCCTTTGATGGATTATAGAATAGATTCCAAAAGAACTCTTGAACTTCAAGATCTTGTAGGTATAGTATTTATTCCTTCTATAGATTATGGAATATATTCCAATAGAACTCTTGAACTTCAAGATCTTGTAGGTACAGTATGTATATCCTTCTATGGATTATGGATTATGGAATAGATTCCAATAGAACTCTTAAACTTCAAGACCTAATTGATATACAATTCAATGAGATTTCTATTGAACTCCTTTTTTGCGTTTCTAAAAATCATTCTGCTTTTTTAATGATATTCTTTTTAGTTTTTACTGATTTTGTTTCTATCCCGCAAACACCTCTGACTAGACACTGTTCTAACACCACAGGACTTAATCCTTGCATGCTCACGGTAGGCCTTTATGTAGTTTAAATTGCAAGGTAAGGTTTTCATATTCACATTCTTTAAGTGCAAGTTAATTTTTGAATCGCTCAAGACATGAAAAGCTCTGTTCAAAGTACAAACAAAAGATTAATCTCCTCTAACTCTAGTTTTCTAATCCATACATAATTGTAACCTTATGTCGAAAATATCATAGGTTAACGTCATTAGGTTGTGAAGATTTAGGCATTATAAAGTTGGAGTGTGAGGCGAGTAACCAGTTTCTTGTCACACTTTTTTTATTTTCTTTTTTTGAATGCTGAAAATTATTCATTGACTCTTTACAGTAGATTAGATATGTGCAATGGAGTATAGGATATCATTAGAATGGAAGTGTTTAGGGTTGCTTACAGAAGATCAGAAATGTAATGGAGTATAGGATATTATAAGAATGGAAGTGTTTAGGGTTGCTTACAGAAGATCAGAAATGTAATGGAGTATAGGATATTATAAGAATGGAAGTGTTTAGGGTTGCTTTACAGAAGATCAGAGATGTAACGGAGTCCAGGATTGCGAGGATGGATATGATGAGAGTAATTGCGGAGACCATTCGAGGAAAAGAAAATATTTAACGTTTTAGACTCTCCGCCTTTCAAAATTTACATAAAAAATCTTTTTTTATTTTTATTTCATTGATACATTCAATATTCTCTTAATTCAGGATAAAACAAGAGCTCAATTTCAGATACAGGTTATCAAGGTACATAGTTGATTAAATTAAGAAAAAGTATTTAATTAAGCGATTATTTATTTAGATTAGTGCCTCCATTCAAAAACTGCCATTTCTATATATGTTCAGATTTAGTCGGTTTGATGATTTCTACGACAATGAGGATGGGGAGTGGGGTTGGTTTGATACTAATATAGACGAGGATCATGAACAGTTTTTAGAGCTCGAGGTGCCAGAGACAGCTGAAGAATGGTTCTTCACTGCATTCAGGTCTGTAAACTATAAAGTTGGGGATGATGAATATTGAATACTTACTTATGTCTTTAAAATATGCATTTAAAAAAAATTAGTTCATGATTAATGATTAAAAGATTTAAAAAGTGTAATATGGCCTCTTTATGTTCTCAATGAACCTCCCTAATATAACCTTTCTTAAAAAAACAACCAAATTAAAGGTTTTGAACAAATATACTTTTTTTTTGCAAACGGATGGCAGATATTTTGTATTTTGTATTTTGTAATGTACATTATCTGAAATGTATCAATTATGATCTACAAAATGTTCGTATGTTCTATCTTCAAGTCAAAATTTTGTTAATTTTAGTTAAATAAAGAAACCTTATTTATGTACTTTCAGTGTGAGTAAAACGTACGGTATTTCAATCTTGAACCAAGTTGTTCCTTTTTCCTCCTACCGACCCATCTGGCTGTACTGTGAAGGTAAAAAACATTTCATGTACACTGTACTGTATACTTGAAGAAGTCCTGAAACGGATTGAATATACTATTTATATTATTATTGTACAGGCCCTGAAACTGTACGGAGAGAAGAAACTTTATAAACTGTACATAATTATTGTACAGCTAAAACTGTACTGAGAGAAGAAACTAGATAAAATGTACAGAAATATTGTACAGGTCCTGAAACTGTACGAAGAGAGACAAAAATCTATAAATTGCAAAGTATTATTGTACAGGTTCCGAAATTGTACAAAGAGGAGAAATTGTATGAGATGTACAGTATTATTGTACAGGTCCTGAAACTGTACGGAGGGGGGAAACTGTTGGAATAAGATGTACAATTTTCAACTGGATAGATGATGATATAGAAGTTATGTTAAACCTTAGGAAATTTCTCAAAATGGATTATAAAAAAATATCTACAAATAAAAATCTTAAAATTATTTTAAATGATCTTTTTAATTGATTGTAATATTCCAAAAAAATATCTGCAGAAATAGCGTGCAAACAGAGTTGGGAACTTTTGTGTGGATATTGTTAGTCTTGAATGTTTAAGCTCGATATCCAATATGGGCATTTTTAAAGGAATTGAGTCTTTGTCTCAAAAAAAGATTATTTGATATCTAAGGTCTACGACATTGGGTTACAAAGATAGAGGGACTAGAAAATCAGAATTTGTGGGAAAGACTTGATTCCTCTGAGTAACGCCAACTCAGAATATATATACTATACAGGGTGTCCCAAAAAACATGGGAATTCAGTGACGAATTCGATATCGTCTTTATGAATAATTCTTTGATTTAGTATAGTGATACCTACTGAGAAAATTACAATGCTAATTCATAACAAAGACGATATCGAATTCGTCACTGTATTCCCATGTTTTTTGGGACACCCTGTAGAATAACAGGTGGCAGCATTTGGTTTGGGAAGTGTTGGACTGTGGAGGTTATGCAGTACAATGCATACAATACATGTCCAGATGTTCAGTAATCTTGGGGGGGATTTTGTAGATTCACAATCCAAACTTTCTCATGTTATCTTTTTATCTTTACTTCAATTAATCAAACACGTATTTTCAAAACAGTTTCAAATAGTTTTCTTCCTTTCAAAATGTGAAAAAGAAAACCAAAACAAAATGGAAATGGAAATAATCGGGGTAACTTTTCCCAAACCAAATGCTGCCACCTGTTATTCTATAGTATATATATTCTGAGATCGCCAATTATCGTTATATTTGCAGGGTATGACTGTAAATTGTAATGCATGGGAATATCGAAGAGGAATGTTTAAAAACCATAGATCTGCAGAAGGTGGAGATCACTGATCCACGGATGCTCCGATAATTCACTTTGCTAAGTTTTGACTTTAAAGCTTTTTGAAGATGGTCTCGAAACACTTTTCAATATTCCTTTTTGAGTATATTCTGAATACAGGGGTTCGGACGACTATGAGTTTGTTCATGTCTAATT